TTTGTTTAAATTGAAAATTTTCATTGTCATTATTAATGATTGCAATTTCTGTTGTTGTTTCCACACACACACACACATTTTCCAACACAAAAAAAATGTAACAAACAAACAAATGATGACAAAATGAAAATGATGATTACTGAGTAAAAGAACCAAAGAAGAAAACATTTTTTTTCAGTTCTTTTCCTATTTTTCAATGCGTTTTGTATATATGTTTTGGTTGACACGTGTCAAATTCAAATTTTCACATTGTTATTTTCTCAAACATTCAACATGGATAAAACACGTGGATCTCATATACAACACTGTTACACAAACCAGAATAAATTTATTTGTACATTATTCAATGTTTTTGATCCAAACTAACTAAACCGTTTTCGTATCTATATATATATATATATAGATTATAAAGATTATTTTGTTGTTGTTGAAGCTCAATGCTAGATAACTTTTAAATTAACTCGCACACACACACGATTCATGAAGATGATTCTGAAATGAATGAACCCTGGAAAAAGATGTTGATACCAGGACTGCCAAATTATCTATTGTTCACTATATAATGTCCAAAAAAAAAAGATATTAATTGAAGAATTAATCTTTTTTCCACTATCTATTTTGATGTTCATGTTCATGTTCGTGTGTGTGTGTGTGTTTGCACGAATTTCATTTTTTTTTTCTGGCTGGACCGGATACCATCACTGATCCGAGTAGATTTTCGTATTTTATCTATTTTTTCCGTTTTTTTAGCATTTTGAATTAAAAAAAAAATAGATTGATGATGTTGATGACTATGGTATTGTTGTTTAACAGGGTCATATTCGATTTTCAAAAATAAAAAGAAAAACAAAAAACAAACAATCTACAAATAGAATAAAGAACAGATGGACAAGTTAGTCTAAATCCGATTAAATTTGGCTTAACATCATCAACAGTGACAGTAGACACAGGATTAAGCAATAACTGTATATAGATGACAAATTAGTTCAATGTAGCATTTGCAATATGGATATTTCAACTATTACATTGGATGCTTCTGTCTGTGTGTGTGTGTGTGTGTGTATGTTGAATATATACAATTTATTATTATCTTTAGTTGCAATAATTTATTAACATCTTGTGTTGTTTATATGTGGCCAATGGCCAAATGTCATCATTATCATATATCTTAATTACAGCCATCATTTTCGATTATTACCGTTTTCTTTTTTTTTCTCTCTCTCTTCCTGGTTTTTCCACACACATTTATCATCTAATCAATGAAATGATGATGGTGTGTGGTAGGTAGAAAATTTTAAATTTAAATTCAATTTGCAAATGATGACGATGAAAAATGAATTAACATCATCATCATCATTATCTATCGTATTGATTTAGAATTCTGAATGTAACGAGATGGAAAAAAAATTTATTCAACCAGCCGAATAAGAAAAAAAACCAACGTTTCGTTCATTTCGTGAATCGTTTCTTTATGGTTATTCATTGATAATTAATGAACTTTTTTTTCGCAAAGGGTGGTGGACAGACAGGATGAAATTTTCAGGAACTTTCATTTCATTTTTAATCATGTTTGTGTTACACTTTTACAGAAGAATTTTCTTTATTATAAACCATTCATTTCAGTTGATGATCTTTATATTGTCCGCTGTCTCTTTTCTTTTTTTTTTTTTGGTTGATGATATCTTAATCCTATACGGAACGGCAGTATATTACGTGTGTTTGTGCTTAACTTGTCTGTATGTCTTTTACTTGAATGAAAGTTTTTTCTTCTTCTACGCAAAGAAATTGATAATTAATTATTAATTATACATTTTTTTCAAGAACCAAAAAAAAAAAAAAATGAACCTTGTTTGCCGGGCCATTTGCACACACCTTGAATCTTTTTCTTCTTTTTTTTGACGCTTCTTATTTGGCTTCACTTTATATGAATTGTATTGAATGAATGAATGAATGAACAATCTTGGAAAACTTTTTCTTCGTCTTCAATTTTATGAATATAGAATACAGTTTTTTTCCGCTTGAATAATTGACGAGAGTTTTTTTTAGTGTTAAACTTTTTTCTGCTCTCTTTTGCCCGTTTTTTCTTACCCAAGAAATGTGTGTGTGTGTGTGTGTGTGTGTGTGTGTGTGTATGATCAAATTCGTATGCACATATAATAAACCTGTCATATTCCTGTTTTTCTTTTTGCATTAGAAATTGAATGAACTGACTTCTGATTATATGAAATGAAATGAAACTTGAAATGTGAAATAGCAAAAAAAAAATTATTAACTTAAATAATTGTTATTATATAATTGAAGCGCGAAAAATAAAATTCAAACCATCCTCTTCAAACCAATGTTGTTTATGTGTAATATAAGATCTACAATCTTCAGATGATTGGTCAATAATTTATTCGACAAATAGAATGAAAAATAGGAAAATAAATTCAAAAAACAAGTTGAATGAATATCGTTTTTTTCTACTGCACTTCTTTATTCCACTGTCCATTTATTGGCTACCTTAAAGTTGTTAATTTAACCACCAATACGATAATTTTCTTAACGAAATTATCTTATTTCATGTTTATGTCTTTTTTTTCGCAATCACATTTCACATAATAAGATGGAGAAAATTGTTATGATTTTTTTCTTTGCTTTAAAAATTTTAAACTGAAGGTAACCAAAAAAAAAAAAAAAAAAAAATTTTTTATTCGTTGAAATAAGGTGTGTGAAAAGGCAAAGATAAAATGATAGTTCTCATCATGTATGATCATTTGTCTGGTCGGTTAACTCTATAACCGGATTGGCTAATTATATTAATCATTTTTGACCATACGAATGTGTGAGTTCCAGGAGTTTGTTTTTTTTTTCTTGTTGTTGTTGTTGTTGTTCGCCTCATTATGATTTATTCAAGTTGAATGAGGTGATTTTTGATTTTGATTTTCAATCATCATCATCATCATCATCATTACCAAAATGTTTTTAGTTTAGTCATCTACAGACAGACGAATTATCCATTTATTAAATTAAAGAAAAAAAAATATATATATAAGGTATGGTCAAAGTTCATGTGGTGAGAGATATTAATATTAATAATAATTATTCATCTCAACCTTTCATCGCCATTCCATCATTAATAATAATTATTATTATCCATAATTTAGATTGTAATTATCATTTCAAATTGTTGCTATTAGTCAACCGAATCAACCAACAACAACAACAACAACTGTTCTGTCCTTGATCGGGTCATACCAACAACCATAGCAATGTTGAGGAAGGTCAAATTGAACATTCAAACAATATACATACATCATCTTTATTGTACTTTTTTTTCTCCTACTTCTCACACATTCATTATGTATTGTGTGATGTAACAACAACAACAACAACAAAATTATGAAATTCCATTCTGACGATGATAATAATAATAATGAATATTCAGACAAATACCGGTTGAATGATTCAATATCCAACAGGATTTGCTTTGTTTTTTTTTTATATAATCGGATTTTCTCCAATTTTACAGTTGTTGAAAATTCTCACTTTTTTGAAACTCTATTTTCATCATCATCATCATCATTATAATTATTTTAATGAAATTGAAAAAAAGAATGTTCCATTGTTCCTCATAATGATGAGGACGTTGATTTTGAACAAAAAAAATCATCCAGTTAGCTTAGATTTGACAAATTTTTTTTTGTTGTTCACCAATCAAATAGTGTTGAATCTTTTTTTTTGTAAATGAAATTAGTAATCATGTACCCTGTTTTTTTGTTGTTGTTGTTCAAAAAGCAATACTTGTCTTGATTTTTTTTTATTAGCAATTCGATGTATACATGGGAATGTCTATATGATGATGATGGTACAAATGGACAATTTATGTTCACAATCTTCTTGTTTGTTTGTTTGTTTGTTGATGTTAAGGAATTTTTCGTTTTCTTCGTTAAGCAGACATTTGTTGTTTATGACTATAGTAATTTTTTTTTATCCTGAATAAGAAAAAAGACCAAGTCAATGTTGATGTGTATGTGTGTTCTCACCATCAATCGACAGATGTTTGATGAAGACAACAAAAAAAAAACAAAGTTAGGATATACATTGCCAACATGATCATTATTTTGTCCATCGACAAAATTCAATTTGTTCGTTTAAATGTTTTTCTGGCTATGATCTTCATAGAACAACAACAACAACAACAGAAATCCAATACCGGGATTGACTTGAAATCATTCTATTCATCGATCCAAATCAAATGATCAAACATACTGTTGTAACCACTTTTATGAATGATACTTGTATGTATGTTATAGCTTACTAACTTGACATGGTGAGAAAAAAAACAATAAATAAAACAAGTATATACAAAAATTGTCATAAATGAACAACAAATGCCATTCGATTTACGCTAAATACTTGAAATGATAATAATAATAACGATATAATACAATAAATTAATGTCAAAAAAAAAAAAAAAAAAAATTACCACCCTCCACTCGATTTATTCAAGAAGATGATACAGTAAACTTTTTTCTTTATATATTCGCGAGTATCATTTTTAACTCTCAAGCACACACACATGGTTTCGATTCATTTTTATTTACACTTCAACGACTATGGTTACCGAATGAACCGATAATTTGTGGCCTGGATATGTTTGTTTGTTAATTCATATTGAAAAAAAACCACATAACGGTTTTTTTTTCTCTCAATGTATTTTGATAGATTTATAATTGAATTTTTTTTTTGTTTCGTTGTTGTTTAGTTCATTTAAACCAGTGAGTTTTTTTTTTTGTCTTTTGACTGTTTTCTATTTCAGCTGGTTCATGTTATATGATACGATAAGATATACAAATGTATTGTTTAGTTTATAACAAAAAAAAGTTTTCGTTTTTTTTTGAAATCTCAGATTCCATAAAAATGTCTATTGTTTATGTTGTTTAAGAGTTACTATTCTATCGATCTATTTTATTCTCAGTTATTTTAATGGAATTTTTTTTTTCATTTTCATTTTACAGATGCTAATCTAACGCTAACAACATCGGCCATATTGAATCTAACTTCATTACATAATCCTCATGTTAATCTACATTCACACAATCATCATCATCATCATCATCATCATCATCATCAACTAAATCATCATTCAAATCATAATTCGTCAATAACAAATTCATCATCCACTACGACAATAAAAGCAATAATTGAAGATGATGAATCTAGTTTGCCATTGTTGCCTTTAGAATCATCACATCCGTCTTTAGGAATCGGATCATCTACATCATCTTCCTCTTCGTCATCAACATCATCATTTGATCATACAATCCATCCGGATAAGAATAATCCAAAAGGTTTACGTTTTGAAGAGGAACCGGCAGATTCCTATATTGTACGAAGTAAATCGGCTATACTACGTTGTCGTACATTGAATGCATTGAACGCTTGGTTTACGTGCAATAGTGGTATGTTGTTTTATTTATTTGTCTCTAAAGAGTTATTGGAAATTTAAAATTAATTTCCGTTTTCATGCCAATTTTTTTTTCAAACTGTCAATCGGTTCAATCGATTTGCCTTTAGGTGATGAACGTCGTATTCAAAGTAATCAGAAAATTTCCAACTATGTTGATCCACAGACCGGTATTCGTTTGGTAAGTTTGTTTCGTTTCGATTTTTTTTTCATTTTTTTCTTCATTATTGTTCAATTTTGATCTTTTTTTTCAATTTATATTTGAATTTTTGAATTAAGCCCGTAGGGTTAGTAATATAGTTGTCATAAGACAAATATAGTTACATCCTCATGCTCAAATGAATGATATTATATAATGCATTCCTTCAATCATCGATTACTATTACGGTTGAGTGCATTCAATGTAGCATTATTTCATGGAGACAAAAATTGTCATCATCACCATGGTGGTTACAAACGATGATGATGATGATGAGGATTTTGATGATGATAGAATCAAATGTTGTTAACAGGATTTTCTCAAACACACTGAGGAGGGTATACAAAATTTACACATTTTTTTTTGTTTCACTCTTTGTTTTCAACATGGTTCCGATTGGGTTGACTTGAATTCAATCTAGTGGAAATAGATGTTTGTATATATACTATACACATCACATCTATCCACGATATGCCTAAATACATCACATACAGTCATCAGAAAAAAAAACAAATCGAGTCGTGTCTTTTTCGTCATTTCAATTATTTTATCAAAAAAAAAAAAAAAAAAAACTAACACATACACTATAGATTCGGATCATCTAAATCGTATAGCACTATGTATAAAAAAGTTTCCGAAACAAAAAGACAATCGATGCGTATAAAACATAAATGTAAAAAAACCCAAACAATTCAGAATAGAATTTAGCCCAAAACTGGGTACGAATCAAACGCTTCGTTGACTTGAACTAGTTATTTCAATTTTTTTTTTGGAGGGGTGTGTGCTACTATAGCTTGAAATGTTCTCTTTCTTTTTTTAAAAAAACTGTCATTTAAGAATCGTCAAGAATTCTGATATGAGCAGAATGGTTGTCTTTCCATTTACCAATGATGTATTATGATGATCTTAAGAATTAAAATTATACATACAGTCCGAATATAGAAATTCTTGTTTTCATAATAATGCTCACTTTTGCTATTAGTTGAAAAATGAAAAAAAAATTCTCTCTTTCTTCATTTTTAAATTTGAATTTATCATCACCATCAGGCCATGAGCAATTGAATTCATATTTTGTTTTGGTTATTCTTTTTTTTTTGTTTTTGTTTTGTTTTTATTTTCATTTCTATTCAAACGATTCTTTGAGTTCTTATGGTTTCATGATAATTTCTGATATGAGAACCGCGTGTGTTCTGTGTGTGTGTGTGTGTGTGTGTGTGTGTGTGTGTGTATAAATGTGAAAAAATGTGTTTGTTTTGAATGGTGAATGAATGATAAGAAAAGAGAATTTTATTTGCCATCTTGGTGTTGATGGAAAACGGGGGAGAAAAAAAAAGAAAAAGTATGAATGGATGAATGAATGAATGTTTATATTCCTTAGTAAAATGAAAATTGAAAACAATTGTCAGCATACAATTTATCTTTTTTTCTGTTGTTTTGAAAAAAACGCATTTCCAAAGTGACGCCATGGCTCCCATTTTTTTCCCCATTTGTTAGATCTGTTGTGTCTATTGTGTTTGTGTGTTGTGTTTGTTCATGCACAAATGCTCAACGAATGCAGAATACGATAAAAAAAATACAGAATAACCGTAACAGATTCACGATTGATCTAAATTCAATTTGTATTATTCATTTCGAATTTATATCGGGAAAATCTTTTCAAAATAAAAATATATTGAATCCAAAAAAAAAAAAAAAATATCATCCATTTGATGTGTATGGGTATAAGGTATGTAAGGATCATTTAAATACATATTGGAATGGAAAAATGGAAATGTTCCTTATTTTTCCATATGAATTGCTCTCATTTCACATTTTAATTCAATATAAATTCAGTTTTGAATTTTTTTTCTCCATTTTTTTTTCAAAATTTACCAAACAAAACAATAGTTTAGCTCACACACGCAATGCCCAAATATTATTCTGTTTAAAATGATTCCTACGATTCACATCCATCAATTTCATCTATTCAGGTCTGAATACAAAACAAAAAAATACATGGAATGGATCATAATCTATCATTGGATGTCAAAATTTTTCAAGATGACCAGAACAACAACGAAAAAAAAATTGAGTTGTTCTTTTTCTTTCTTGTTTTTATTACAGTTCCCCGAAAATATTTTGTTGTTCGAACCACACAAATATTTTTGTTCATTTTTTTTCATAATTTTCATTCATTCATACATTCTTTATGTGGCATTTTTATGACATACGAAAATAATTCTTGTGGTTTGTTCCATCAATGTCATCATCATCATCATCATAAAATATATATTCTCTACATTGAATCTATCAGATTAAAATTTGTATAAGACGACAATTGTCAAATGAAAGACTTTTCTTTCTCTTTGTTCATTTTTATTGTCGATTGTCATATTGTATGTGTATCGGTTGGTGTTTTTATTGTGAACAGAATTTTCATAAATGTTTGGTGCAAATATTTGTAAAAAAAAGTTCAATCATTGTGTGTACTAAACCGTTCTTTTGTTGGCAATGTCCACCACCACCACCACCATCATTTTTTTCAATTTAAAATTATCTTTTTTTTGGATTTTCATATTGCAAAAAAATGAAAATTGAAATGTTTATGAGCCACGAAATCGAGACCATTGTACAAGTGATGTTTATTTACATTTTTTTCATCTCAACAAGAATTGAATTCATTTCAATTCAATTTCAAGTTGGAATCACATTTTTTTTCTACTTACTATAGACGATCGAATTTGAAATCGAAATATAAAAAATAATAACAAGTGAAAAATTCTTCAAGAATTCTATTTTTTACTTTTTCTTCTTCATTCAATTTTTTTTTCTCTCTTCATATATAATAGATTGAAATCGATTTGGAAATTACCCGAAGCGACGTTGAAGAGCATACCAATTCTGGCTATACGAATCCGTATCAATGTTGGTGTACCGCATATGGTGGACATCATCAAATTATGAGCCGTAAAGCATCCGTTTCATTTGCTTGTAAGTTAAAAATGAAATTTTCTTACTTTTCCCTTTTCTTTCTATTTTTTTCTCACTGATTCTTCACTTTCATATATATATATATCTATTGGGAATAATTTCCATGGTTTTTTTTTGGGTATCAATTTTTTCCAGAATGTTATGTGTGTGTCCTATTATCGGTTTTTTATGCGGAAATGTTTTTTTTTCTCAACTGTTTTTCTCATATATGTTATATTAATACTTTGCATGTGGATTTAAATGGATGCTAAATTAATTTAAAACAATCATAATCAAAACATACAATACACACACACGAATACCGAAAAAAAACCGATTTTGATTGCTCAGATTTATTATTGTCATTATTTACTCAGATTTTTTTGTGTGTGTTTTGTTTTCATCGTAGTCATTTAGTTCATTTCCGAGACTAATTTCATCATTACACATTCTGTCAATTGCAGGCTCATTGTTTAGATTTTTGTTTTTGCATGGCCTTTTTCATTTATTCCGTTTAGAATGATGATGATGGTATTGGTGGTGGTGGTGGTATTGTCAGCGATACGCGAAATGTCGTTAAGGTTTTTTTTATTATTATTATTTTTTTGTAACAAATTGATTTGTTTTTATCGAAACCAAAATTTTTTTTTCATGATAAAAAGAATCGAATGAATAGACAAAAAAAATCAGTTACTTGAATATAAAAAAAAGAGGATGGAATAAAATCGAATAATGTTTGGTTGATTTTTTTTCCCGTTTTTTATATATATATATACAGTGTACACTCGGCATTTTAGTTGTATTAATTCTGGGCGAGGTTTTCAATAATGAATAAATGAATGAATGAATGAAATCCAAAAGAAAAAAAAACTTTTATAATTCAAATATAAGTCATATTGTCATAAAAATTCATTCAATTTCGATACAAATATTGGCTATATTTTTTCACTTTGTTTGATTGTCATTGATCTTTTCAATTGTTTGAATATATGTGTTTGGTTGGTTGGTTGGTGGCGAAAATTCAATCGAACCACAAATATCACGCAATCTAAACACAACAAAAAAAAACCGATAGGGCCGTAACTTTTTTTTTTTTGTATATAACTTGTATTTTCAATATTATGGAACAAATATTCTCTATTGTACACATTTACATTTGTTCATTTTTTGTTTTGGAATATTTTTGTCTTTTTTTTCTGTTTTTGTTTGTTTCCATTATATCTGATTGTGTGAACATTGATTATTTTTATTTCTATTCGGTTACAAATAATAATAATAATAATAACTACGCCACCATGGTACAATATTTAATGAATTATCAATCTATTTGATTCATAAATATATATAAAAAATGTATTAATCAAATATATTCATCAATATCAAAATCAATGATCAAAATGATTTACGTTTCAGTATTTTTTTTTTTTAGTTGTATCAAATAGAACACAGGAAACACGATTACAAGATTTTCAAATTGGTTGTTGAGTTGTTTTTTTTTGTTGTTGACAAACTTTCTCTTCCTTTTCATATTCTTCATATTCGTTGTACATATTCATTTCTAGAATAATTGTATTGTAGTGAACAAAGTGAATGTTAAAGACGAAAAAAATTTGGAACATTCAAGCGTAAAGAAAGCGGACAATGATCATCGATCATTTGTGTATATGTCATCACATCATCATCATCATCATCATCATCAGATATAATAATTTGTGTATACAGAAGAAATTGTAACTATAGCCAATTGCTACTTGGTATAGAGCACACACATCTCTACATTTGCTACGTAAATTGTTCATTGAAATCGGTGACATATACACACACACACACACACACAAATAACCGTTTTTTTTTTGTTCACCACTCCCCACATATATCTTCTATATGTGTGTGTGCTCTAAATTCAATTACATTTTACACAGTTAAGCATTGATCATCATCATCATTATTGCCAATGATGAGCCCGGAATTTTTCACGAATATTGTATTAGAAGAACGACGACCATCACCACTATTATCATCACCATTTTCTATCGCCATCATCATGGTGGCCATGTACGCTAGTATAGTAAACCAATATAAAGAATCAAGAGTTCGGTTACCAGAAATAAATGGAGACCGTTTGCATGAGATTAATGTATGTGAGTTTGTATGGCAGCCATAGTGATAATAATCGAGCAAAAAAAAAAAAAAAATGAAAAGCAAAAACAACCAGCTAGATAAGACACACATTCATATCTGATATATATATGCTATTGTTATAATAATATCGGACGATCCAAGTTTTTTTTTCACCAAATCGGTCCATTCGGTCAGTGATTTTTTTTTCATTTTTTTTCTTCCAAAACGTATGGCCATTTCGTTTTATTTAATGATTACACACACACACACCCACAAACACACTAACAAAAAAAACGAAATCATTGCACCATAGTTTTATTTTTGTTTGATATTATTATTCGATTATTATGTTGATGATTACAATGATGATTATGATGTTCGGTTTGTATGCGTGTGTGTGTATATATATTTGTCCTCACCACTTTATAACTAGTGAATACTCACTTTAACGATAGAAAAATGACCAATTATTATCTGATTGTTCATTTCTGTATTTTTTCCAAAAAAATGAAATTTGGGCGTTACTGTCTACTGTATATGTTTAAACAACAGTTAGTAACTAAAACATGAACGTGTTCCATTTAGGAAATATTTTTTTTCATCTTGCAATTTGCCACCGAATTTCACATACAAATAGGAAGAAATGTTCATTGTCATAATCGAAAAAAATGTATTATATTAATGTCAAATGACAATGATAAAATTGTCCTAAAATGTTTCATTGATCGATAATTATCGATTAATCGATTATTATTATTTGTAGCAGCAATGAAAATTCTACTATCCATCCTTCATCTTCAAAAAAAAAACTGAACAACAAAATATAATTAGTCTTTGGGTAATGTGAATATATATTGTGAGGGACTATGAAACAATCTAAATCGTTTTCGATAGATTATCCTCGTTATCCATGATAATTTCAATTCATTTAGATTTCATTTTCAGTAGAATTTGGCCAAATAACACAAAAACAATGGATTCTATTTCTGTTTGTTTGTTTGTTTATTTGTTTGTATGTCGGTCGTTCGGTCGACAATGGCCATTTATCATCATTTTTAACGTTGTTGTGTCATTGAATTGTTGTTGTTATTGTTGTTTTTTTTTTGTTTTCGTGAATTGAATACAAAATTTTTTTTTTCATTTGATCTCTGGGTGTTGATTCTCATATCTAAAGAAAACTAAAAAGACAGAATTTTATTCATTTTTTAATCATAACCATAGTATGAGAATTCTGGATGTTTTTTCTTTCTTCGTCTCTGATTCATGAAATGTGTGTTGTGTGTGTGTGAAAAAATATGAATTTCATTTCGTTTCATTCATCAACAAGAAAAAGAGAAAAAAAAGTCGAATGTAAACAAACTTATCGAAATACGATTCTCTCATTTCATCGATAAGAAGCTTAGCTCATTTTTTTCTCTTGAATTCAGTGAAGCATTCTTTGTATTCAATTTAATAGGATTCGCGTTTGATTCGTTTGTTTTGCCTGGAACCTTGAAGCGATTGTTTTTCTACACCTTTTTTTTATTTTACATTCGTAATTCTTTATTTTTATCTATTATATTGCACGCTATTTTTTCCATTTCCTTCTTATACTTGTTTCCGTTTTTTTTTTTTTACATTTTTGTTTGTTTGTTGATTTTTCATTTTTTTATTAATATATTGTTTCTTTTTGTTTAATGTTTTATTTTTGTTTTTCATCCATTTCCTTGTTCCATGTTTTCGTTTCTGTCGTATGCTCGAAAATCATTCGTTTATATTTATGTGTCTGTATGTGTGTGTGTGTGTGCGTTTCATCGTTGGTGGTTTATTTGTTTTGTTTTTTATTTCTCTCACTATTTGTTTGGTTTGTTTGTCACAACTAAACCTGAACCTGAACCCCATTCGCGCCATCAAAAAAAAAACGAAAAAACCAAAAAAAGACTTAAAGAAACATTTTCATTTGGAACCAAAATCGGTCAGAATCGCATTAGATGATGGTAAATCATCCATACAATTCCGTTGCCAACCACCATTTGGTATACCTAAACCGATCGTATTTTGGATGCGTAACGATATGATCATATTGGAAAGTGAGCCAGAACATTCATCTTCTTCACAATCATTATCATCATCACCATCATCATCATCATCATTGAAATCTAGTCAAAAATCACAATTTTTAACTGAAAAATTTATACGAAGAAAAAAAAATTTTCCCGATAAAAAAGTGATAAGAAAAAAATTTATTTCAAATAATAAAACGATTACTAATTATAGTGGTAATGGTGGCCATCGTAAACGTATGGCAGAATCTGTGAATAATAATTACAATGATAATTACGATGAAGATGAAGACGATGAAATGGATGATGAAGATGATGATGATGACGACGATGATGATGATGAACTGGAATTCGATGCATCTAAACAACCGGAAAAAGAAATCGGTAGCGATGATAATGATGAAGATTCAATATTACCACATCATTTTGATTTAGCTGCTGGACATGTTTCAAATTCAAATAATAATAACATTCCAATCAATTATCATATGGCTGATGATTATTCACTTGTAATTAAACATGTTACAATGGATGATCATGCCAATTATACATGTGGTGTATATAATGTTGCCGGTGTAAGATTTACTCGACCAGCTACACTTACAGTATTTGGTAAATTATTTTTTTTTCAACCCCTTATTCATTCACTATTAATGTCCAAACAAACTAACAATATTTGTTAAATTCTAACATATGATTCTGGAAAATTTATTTGATTCCCTCGATTTCAATTAACAATTTTTAAATTTTAATTTCATTGATTCTTTATTCGTATTTTAATTTTAATTCCATTTTTCATCTTTTTTGCCCCGAAAAAATAGTGAATGGTGAATGGTCCAATTGGGGTAGTTGGTCACCATGTCAATTGGCACCCGGATTAACAGCACAAGGATTGAAATGTGGTATCGGTACACAAAAACGTGTTCGCCATTGTAGTAATCCTACACCAGTTAATAATGGTCAATTTTGTCCCGGTGAATCGGTTCAGGTTACTGAATGTACAATTCTTTGTCCACCAATCGATGGTTTCTGGTCACCATGGTCACAATGGTCAATTTGTTCACATGAATGTACACAGGTAGAAAAAAAATTAAATTAAAATTATCATTTTTTCTCATCATTGTAATCAATTATTCACTAGGTTCGAAGAAGAATCTGTAATAATCCAATTCCAGAATATGGTGGACACGATTGTTTTGGTTCAGATTTTTTGATAAAAAATTGTACAGGTGGTCTATGTCGTAAGAATTTCGGTAAGTTTTATTCTATTTCTTAAACATACAATATATACACAAACAAACATAGATCAAATTAGCTTATCTATAATATCGATCCATTTGAATGCTTATGATCTATGAGTCATTCATGATGATGACAATGATGGTAAATGTTACTATCATCATCATTCATAATCACTCATCCGTTCCATTTCATTCCTATACAGCGTATAGCTATTTTTGCTTACTGAGAAAAAAAATGAAAAGTTAGGATGTTTTCTTTTTTTTTCTTTGTTCACCATTTCAGGGGAAATATAGTTTTGACTTTCCATTAAAGCCATTTCGTACTAAGTTTGTGATGTGTGTTTCACATAAAATCTTTTTTGTACAATGCCATTTGCGTGGTTGACTTCTATTCATTCATTTATTCTTATGATGATGATGTTGATGATGATGATGGAATTGACCTCCCCCTGTTCATTCACAAAAATAAAAAGGCAAGAACAAAAGACGCCCAAGCCATCCCAAATTGAAGAGGATTGGAATTGTCGGAAGCCAAATTTTCAACATCATCATCATCATCATTCTCGTTTTCATTCTAGCCATTTGAATGCCATTTCCGGTTTTTTGGAATTAGACCCAATTTCCGATTTATCAAAGATTTTTTCTCTATTCATTTTTTTTCTCTGGTCAGACAAAAGAAAAAACTTTTGTCAAAATGAAAAAGAATAATTTTTTCTTTCTTTCTCTTTTAACATTTCAATTTTTTATTTTTACCAATCCGCTTTGGTCGAATAATTTAGTGACAGATTGATTATTATTCTAGAAAACGAATAATATGGCGTTGAATGAAGTTTTTTGGATTGAAAAAATAAAATTGAAAAAAGAAACTTTCAAGATTCGACAAGTAAAAATACTGAATGTTTTGAAAATTCTGAAATTTTTTTTTCAATCTTTTAAAGATGAAATCAACCTTACTCCAGTGTGTGTTCTGTGTTAAGTAAAAAACGAATAGGAAATCCATTAGTTTTGGATCGTTAAAACATTGCGAAGAGAGAGAGAGAGAGAGAGAGAAAGAGAGCTGTCATTCCACTTTCAGAACCATCAATGAATTTTGTTTTATAGCTAGTCGCGCGCGCTTCTCATTTACCCCATACTCAGCAGCACCCACACACATACACACACAGAGAGAGAGAGAGAGAGAGAGAATCCATGGTACATAGAATTAAATCAAATCAAATGTTTGTAAGTTGATCGAGAGTTGAGATGCTTGCTTTTTTCATAAGTATGATGATGATGATAAGTGTAATGATACAGAGAGAGAGAGAGAATCCATGGTACATAGAATTAAATCAAATCAAATGTTTGTAAGTTGATCGAGAGTTGAGATGCTTGCTTTTTTCATAAGTATGATGATGATGATAAGTGTAATGACCGAATATTCCGATGAGTTGGTTTTTTTTCCTCAACATACCACCACTATATATGCCATCAGTTGCCATTTCATGACACGAGTATTTGTCCACGAAACATTAAAATAGTGATAAAAGATTCTTTTTTTGATTTTCTCTCTTTTTGATTCTTTACGGCCACATCTAAATGGGAGAAACAAGAAAAATAAAAAAAAAAAAAACAACCACCAATGAGAATGTGGAATATATTTTGGATTCATCCAAAAAAAAAAAAAAAAATAATGTCTATGTAACCATTACATCACCCATCTACATCATTGTTTGTTGTCCGTTTGTTTTTGTTTTGTTGCTTGTCATCACTATGATGAAAATGAAAATAGCAATGATAGAAAAAACAACTGGAACGATTTGACTTGTCATTGTTTTTTTATGATTGTAAACTGACAATAATTCTTCTTAGTCGTAAGGATGTTTTGTGTATGTTTAATAACAAACATATAGCACGCGTTTACTGACTAGATTCAATTAAAGAAATTGAAATTGTCGATCTCTTTTTTCTGGTTGCGATTTTCTTTTCATTTCATTTAGTTTCATTTGTTTCATCTGGAGAAATTTACGATGGTTTTTTTTTGTTCAGTTCTCCTTTCCCTGTATTTCTTTTGATCGTTTCATATATTTAATTCATTTGAATCTTCTTTGATGATTCATACATATTCACCAGTTTATTTTATTATCATCACAAATGATGTGATGTGCAAGTGGCTAGAAGATTTTTTTATTATTATTACAATTGTCATTTCCCATTCTGATTTTCAATGACAATTTTGCCCTATAGCAGTTTACTGTTTTTCATCACCGTTTTTATGATCATGATATACGGTTTTGGATGTTTTCTCGAATAAAATATCGTTTGTTTCATATCATTTCAGAAGTAACGATTACAATTTTTATTATCCTGTTTTGGCTGTTGTTCCACGATTAATCCAGTCATTGACGATAATTTCACATGAAATTTGTCACATGTTTTACATTGATAATAATCAACCGTTTGCATAGACAATTTTCGAATTTTTTTTTATATAGCCATCCGAATGATGAATCATTCGGAATTTCTCTCACTCCAGTGTTCCTTATTGAATGTTAATCAATCTATGAAGTTGATTTAGCGTGATAATGTTGAATGAAAATGTAGATTCTGATGTTTGAAATTATTTCATTGACTTTATTGTTCTTTTTCTTCATCAATTCTTTGAAATGAGATTCTGATTTTTTTAACATTTGCTTTGTGGTATGAAGATGATGATGATGATGTTATTTCATTGTGCATCCATCATTCAATATTCTGGAACAAAAATAGCAATCAAGTAAAAACGACAATAACAATGATTCACGATGGAACGATACGCTCAATCAAGCTTGTCATCATCATGTCGTTTTCGTTGTTATCATCAATGTCAATTCTTTAGATGAAGATAATGAAATTATAACGAGAGAGAAAAAGAGAGAGATGTGCAATCACAATTTTACGATTTACGATTGAAACGAACAAATTTAACCAAACGATTCGGAATAATGATATGAGCCCCAAGTAATATTATATAGAGAGAAAGAGAATGATAGAAATTTTATGAAGGAGGATTCAGTCGATTATTCATTGTTTGTGTATATGTTGATGCGTATTTCAATCTCCTTCTCTTTATTCATTCAACTAAAGCGAATCAAGCCATTGTCGTGTATTTATGGTTAGCATAGAATTGAATAAATTGATAATATAATCAAATTAACTTTTTTTTTCCTACTCGATTCGATTGCATTGTATTGCTACTTTTATGTTTGTGAATGTATGTGATTGAATTTGATGGATGTTTAAAAAATCATTTTCAAAATCATTATTGATAATATATATATATAGATTCTACAATCGATTTTTCTTGTCTAGAACCACCATTTTAACTTGGATAATAATGATGACATTAAAATTAAATTTAAATTCAACAAAGAAATTTAACAGAAAAATCAAGTCATTTTTTGTTCTCTTTATTCTCTCTCTCTCTCTCTGCCCGAGTCGAAATTAAAGATCCATCTCAAATTTCTTACAAAGAAATAAATAATCATCATTCTTTTTATTTAACGTTTCTTAGCCAACTAAATGATGAATGAAACAAATCATGAATGAATCGGAATCAAAATCGGGAACAAAAACAAATCCTTTCCATTTATAGATCATATATTTTGGAACACAATTTTTACAAACACATGAGTTAGATTATATATCAACTTGAATGTGTATGAAAAGATTATATACAAACAAAAATTTCGAACAAAAAATAAATAAACAAACAAACGAAATGTTTGTGATGATGATGATGATGATGATGATGAAATGTGTTTGTCTATGTATGTTTGTTCATTCATTCAATTCTTCATGTGCACGAATTTGATGGAAAAATTTTCATTCTACCATCATCATCATCATCATCATCATCATCCAAATACAAAAGCAAACAAAACTCAGTAGCGGTGATGAGAGATGATGGTGTGTGTGTGTGTGTGTGTGTGGATCAAATAAAAAGGAAAGCAAAAATCCATGTATCAAATTTCAACCTATCTTTCTTTTTTTTTCTTTTCTTTCACAAAAGCTTTTTGTGTAATTTCAAGGAACAACACTCATGCAGATAAATCCTAATCATCATCAATGTGTGTGTGTGTAAAAATTTTTTGTCCAAAGTGGACCAAATGTTTTCATGTTGTCCACAAAAACATATTTACATGGATGAAAATAATAACTTGTACCCTTGAGACCACCAATACCACTAGTAACGACAACAAAACTAAAAATCACAGAATTCATTTGTTTTCTATTATTTTTAGTTTTTTTTTTAGAAAAGTTTTGATTGACATGTTTATATGAAACTAGGAAAAACAAACAAACATGAATGGGTTACTCGTTATGTGAAAACCGAAAACAATTTCATAGATTCAAATATTTAAACATTAAACATCATCATCATCATAAAACGATACCATCATGTAACAATTTTCATCTCAATATTATATCTATCAAATAAATATACAAAACCTTTTTCCCCGGAGAGAGAAAGAGAGTGTGTGAAAGAGAATCATCTCATATAACAAGTGTATTTTGATTACAAGAAAATTGTGTGGTAAAACGGTAAACGTTGCCCATTCGTTGTTGTCAGAGACTTTTACATTTTTTTTACCTTATCATAACACCATCCAATAACCAAAACGAAAACGGTATACATCAGATTTTTTCAATTCGATGTTTCATAATAATAATAATAATAATAATGAAACATGAATGATGACAACAACAGAAAAGATGGAATATATAACATTCATATAAATACCGAAAAATAAAAGAACAATGTATTTGTGAGAATTGAATCGGTAAGCATCTGTGTCTGTTTTTTGGGGATGAATGAGAAGAAGCAGAAAAAAAATCTCATCATCAACATCACGCGACAATTCCAATTCTCAACCTAGCATGGCGCCTTGGTTGTATTGTTTTTTCTACCATTCTCTTTTGTTATTTTTTTCATTTCTTTCAATTCTTTTCTCTCTCTCTGTCTCTCACATAATGTTCACCATATTGGATGAGAAGACAAAGCAAAAAAAAAATTGTTCAGCTTCATTATTATTCTGCAATCGAAATCGCACTGCTGTTGTGATCACCATTTTTTTTTTTTTTTTTTGTCCATGTCTGGTGACAACACGTTTTTTTTTTTCGCTCTTCATAACACAATGGTACAGAAAAAAAATCAGAATAAAAAACAATCAAATTCTTGTGATATGGAACGAAATAGACGAGAAAAAACTAAATTATTATTTTAAACCGAATTTGTTATTTTTGTTTGGACTTTCCGCGTTCATACGAATTGAAATATTTGATTTACCTTTTTCGATATTTCTTGTTGGTTTGGTTGTCTGGTTTTTATCTTGTCTATTGAGACAGATTGTCAATTATAATTACGACGATTTACGAATGCTATAATAGCTTGTGTGTTTCAACATTGTAATAGGATTCTCTCTCACTTTTTTTTGTAAATTTTTTATTGACAAAAGTTAGCTTGTCATTGTCAATCTTTTAGCCAATTAAATGTGACACTTTTTAACTTATTTTTTGAAACGTTAATTAACTCTTTTTTTTTATTTTTGTTTACATTCACTCAGATCCAACCAATTTTATCCAGCCAATCGGATCGCCCACAACTACTCTACAACAGTCAAATGATCAAATATATTTTATAATAATATTCATATTGATTCTGATCATATTAACTTTTGTCATCTATATTGTTTTAAAATTTCAACTTCATCGACGACGTCATGGTGCCAAATCAACTGCTTCACCTTTCAATCATCATTCATGGTTGAATGGTGGTACCGATTCTGATCATCTTTCTCATGGAAGTTTAGGTCCAATAGATCCCGAAGATTCTCTTGTACCGCAAACTTCTTTGACACCAACATTACTATTGTTACAACAACAGGATGGCCGATTTTATAATAAAGCTGTCAAACCCAGTGGAAATTATAATCATTATCCGATGGAACCAATTTTATCCAAACAACAACAATCGGCATCAGCTACTCCACAAAAAATGATGCTTGTATCTAGACTAAATCAATCGAATCAACAAAATGGCATGTTGGATCATTTTCTGATGCAACCAGGTTCCGGTTCGAGTTTGCAATCAACTCCATTGCATCCGAAAGGTCATCCATTACCAACGATTCCTCGTGATGATGATAGCGTCAGTTTTCGAAGTGGTGGATCGAGCGCGAATCGTTATGAAGAACCGCAATTTCATCATTCACTTGTCCAACCAATTTCCGGTGTCCGAAAATCAGTTAAAAAAGGCTCACCACATTCATCTAACGGTGGCAATGCTGGCACTAATAGTAGTAGTGGATCAGCCAACACTGCCCTCACTACTACCGCTAATGATATGAGTCAAAATGAATCCGAGCCAGATTATGCCGAACCAATTATAAATGAATTCGAACAAACAGCTAATATTCGACCTCCTTCGTTGACTACAGCACCTCCTATTTCGCCATCACCACAAAAAAATCTCCGTTATTCTTCGGAAGAATCTTCAGGTTGTTCGGATGGTTCGAATAACATTGGCTCTCTTTGTGGCCGACATGAGAAATTTCTTAAAATCAATCACGAATTAACTCGATATGGACATTATTCTTCATTACCAAACCTTGGTGTGTGTTTATATTTGCCACCCGAATTCCTCATTCTAACATCAAGCATGTCCGGTAATCATTCTATGAATCGAGCAACCGATGAATCAAATGGTGATTTATACATTCGTTATGGTATCGATACTCGTGCTCGATATCCTGGGCTATGTTCCTTAAGCTCAGTGATCACTTTAAATTTGTCAAAACAACATCAGCATTATATTGATCTTAATCGTCCAGCTATACTCTCTTTTCGTCATTGTCTTTCATTTCCCAATCACCAACAACCTATTGATATGGCATCTCGAAAGAATTTAGTAATCATGTGGCAAAATCAACAAGAACATCAACACTCATCTAAATCATCATCCAAATGGATTGAATTGATCCGTTTGGATGACCAACAAGATCCTAATTGCTATGCATACCTGGATTCGAATCATGTTTATCTAGTTACTCGATTATTGGGCCGATTCATGTTTTGTTATAAACATGATTTTTCTCAATATGGTTCAACATCCACGACTGCTGATTCAAATCTCGAATTACCATCTACATTTGGTTCGATTGGCCGATCTGCATCAAAAAGTGCAGAATCTTCAGTGATTTCTAAAATGGTCAATTTTTCCATCACCATTGAACAATGTAGTCAAACTGAACATTTAATCAAATGTTTTGTATACGACAATTTACCCGCTTCTGTTTTAATGTTCCAGAATGATCAATTACCATCATTAAATTCATCTTCAGAGTCCACAGTGATGAATGGCCAAAATAAGCTTGTCCAAGTACTTATTGGGCGTATGTCCAATCCTTTAATAACAACAGCATATAATTCTTCTACTAAAATTTCCTTGCCGCCAAATCGCAGTTCAGCCCTTTGTTTTGAACTTATTCAACAAGCTAATTCTACTCCTTCACATTCTCGTATTCCAAATATTGGTTCTAATCCACGCATGGAAATTCCTTTGGAACATCTTTGCTCTTTAGGGCCTAATTCAATGCTCCATTGTTCTTTTATGGTGCCGAATGTCAGAAATACGAACATTTTAATCATGGATAATGACGAAAATTTAGTTGATGATAATGATGATGATCAAGAACAAGATTCTGACGATGATATCGATTTGCAAGATTCTTATGATTCAGTTGATGATTCGAGTTTTTCTCCTACTTACGAAAATAAACCTACACGGCCGTACTCACGCAGAAAAAAATCATTATTGAAAAAGAATTATAGAAATTTGAATTATGAAATAAAAGTGTGGCAACAAAAACCCGAAACACGTAAACGTTTGCATCATCATCATTCGAATACATTAACATTGAATTATCTTAATATGAGGCCATTACATCGTCTACCGTCTAGCGATAGTGCTCAGCAATATTTTTATCATGAAGAATCTTGCCGTTTATTTGGCGATTCTGAATTAGAACTAAGACGATCCATGGCTGAACGTCTAGATCTTTCTTTATACGGCAACGATCTTAGTCCATGGAAAGAATGGGCAATGGCAATGTTGATGATATCCCGTGATAATAGCCATCATGGTTGGCTCACATATTTTGAACGACAACCATCACCAAGTATTCAATTAATGGAACTTTGGGAATCAAAAACCATAACAGAATTGATGATCGCCATGGTTGATGACAAAATTGGACGACGATCACATCGAAAACGGAATAACAACAAACAATCATCCATACTAATGTCAACGAACCCTATGAAAATGAAAGAATTATTCTTCTCGAAATTGTTACATCAAATACAAACAACTATTGGTGGTAGCTCTGATCTTGTTGATTTGATTCTTGGCCACAAGTTTTGATCCATACTTTTTATTTATTATCAATTTTCAATTTTTTTAATCTCATTCAACATTTCTTTCACATCTTATTAACGAACAAAAAAACACTTTTGGAAAAATTATATTCAATTGAACAAATCATATAAATGTAAGCAATTTTTTTCAACAAGTGCCTACCCCAAATCATTCAAGTGTCCTAGTTAGCAATTTGAAAAATTTGTTTATACACTATCCAATGGAACACCATCCAAAGAAACATGACAATAAGAGCTTCGACTATTTAAAAAGAAGCAAAGAAGAAAAATCCGTTTTATTATCCATTCACAAACAATTCTAATGATTAATGCCCTTATTATTATTGATTGATTGATTGATTGATGTGCATTGATAATAACTTTTTACACTGTTTTTTTTCAATTTACTTTTTTTTAATTATTTAATTTTTTTTCCTGTAAATATGAAAAAGATTTACTAATTTGAAAAGATGAATAAAAACATTGATTTATATATTGAAAATTCTTTTTTTTAAAAAAAACATTGATAAAAAGTATTATTTTGTGAAATAATTATCACTTGTGATTAATATTCATCATAACCGGGCAATGGAAATGATCGGGCAAACTGTTCGACTTCAGCTCTCAATTCAGCTATTTGTTGCTGGAATTCTTCTGTTTTCAATGTTGCCATGAAATCTTTCAACAATTTTCCAGGCGCTGCTTTCGTAATTTTTTTGGCAAGTTTTACGCCTATGAAAGTAACAGAAAATTTGTTAAATAAAACCGATTGAAATTAAATTAAACATTCATATAACATTTACCTCGATCGATGAACTCGACTACTTTGATCATATCTTCCTCGTTTAATCCTCTTGTAGTCAATGCAGGAGTTCCTAAACGAATTCCTCCTGGATTTAAGGCAGATTTATCACCGGGAACAGTATTTTTGTTGCAAGCAATTTCAATGTCTTCTAAAACTTTTTCAGCACGTGCACCATTGACGCCAAGTGGACGGAGATCGACACAGACCAAATGATTATCGGTACCACCGGTAGTAATTGTATATCCTTTAGCAATCAATTGTTCTGCTAATTTTGCAGCATTTTTCACAACCTGTTGTTGATATTCTTTGAATTCTGGTGTCATGGCTTGTTTCATGGCAGTTGCAATGCCTGCAATAGCATTCTGATGTGGGCCACCTTGTAACCCAGGGAAAACTGTTTGATTGACACGGTCTTCCAAATCATACATGATCTTTTCTCCTTTTTTCGTAACAGAACGAACACCTTTACGATAAAAAATTACTGCTGCACGAGGCCCTCGAAGTGTTTTATGAGTGGTTGTCGTAACAACATCGGCATATAGGAATGGAGATGGAGCGAATCCAGTTGCAACTAGACCACTAACATGGGCCATGTCGGCCATCAAATAAGCATCTACTGAATTGGCTATCTTACGGAAACGTTCATAATCCAAATGTCTTGGATAACAACTGATTCCAGCAATAATTAATTTTGGACGGAATAATTTAGCGGTAATTTCCAATTGATCATAATCAATCAAACCAGTGACAGGACTAATTCGATATGGCATCGATTCAAAAAATAATGATGTACAGGATATTTTCTTCTTATCCGTTTGAAATCCATGGGTAAGATGACCACCATCAGGCAAATCCAAGCCCATAAGACGACCTCCATGTCCGGCTAATGCAGTTAAAGCAGCTAAATTTGCCGGTGAACCCGAATATGGCTGTACATTGACACCCCATTCTTCAGGGTTACAATTGTAAGCTTCGAGCGCACGTTTCTGGGCTAACAATTCAATTTCATCAATATGTTCATTACCACCATAATATCTGTTTGGAATTAATTTTTTTTAATGGAAATTAAAAACAATAATTGAGAAAATTACCTTGCACCAGGATAGCCTTCAGCATATTTATTATGTAGACATGTACTCAATGCATGCAGGACGCCAACGCTTGTAATATTTTCCGAAGCAATCATCTCCAGACCACGTTTTTGACGATCCTTTTCTTTTTTGACAATATCATACAATTCGGGATCACCTTCATCTAATGTTTGCCATAAAATTCCTTTTCCCTTAGTTACGGTGGTTGACATTGTTGAAGAGCTATGAAACGGTTTACGCGAAAAATTGTTTGAATATAAAACTATTGGAGTTGATGATGATGAGTACGAAAATGAACACGACAAGTTTGATGTACAAATCGAAGATGAAAGCAAAGCTTGATTACAACTATTGGTGGATGAAACTAAGCGAGCTACAAGATGTTGCAGTCTAAAACGAGATGAGGACATCGAAATGGTGATAGAGAAAGCGAGAAAAAATCAGGAGATAATTTCAACAGTGAGTGTATGAGCATATGATTGAAAAAAGGGCCAGTTTTTCTCGACATGGAATGACCAACCTAATTGAAATTATAAAATTGAAATAAATATTGTCAGCAAGAAGAATGACTGGTTTTTATTTAATCCATGATCACATTCATGGTGACACGAATTTCAAAAAATGGTGATAAAAAGTTGAAAAAATTGTAATGTAATGAAAGAAAGTAAAAATAAAATTTATACCAATGATGATGATCGGTAGCTGAGTGATTTGATTTTGAGTAATTGATAGCGCCTTTTTCTAATCACGCACGCTTGCCATTATCATCAAATGCATAGGAAAAAATAACATCATCATTTGGCCACCATTCATTCACACAACAGTAATGAAAGATAAAAATCTTATATAAATTTTTCCAAATAAATAGAACTGAAACTTGGAAAAAAAATCGGATCACAACAATATATTAAACCGAACACAATGACCGGTTTGAATCTTGAATTGAATTTTTCAACGGTGGACAAAAACAACACATGTTACATCATTCAAATAGAACGTGATGAATGGAAACCAAAATTTTGCAACGGAAATCCACTGGGGATTTTTTTTTACAATCATCCATGAATCGATAATTGCAAAGACAAAATATAATGATTAACGTACATTGGTACAAGGTATCATGAGATTTTCAATTATATTCTATCAGTAAACTAATATAAACATTGGCCAGATATAAGAGCAATATGAGACCAAATAATCATCATCATCATCATTTAAATTTATAAGAATATCAATCAAAAATGAATCACGATGCTGCCATATGCGTGATAGCCAATTTTGTTGATTATTCAATGATAAATAATCAAATCAGAACTAAATAATTGTTGCAAACTTATGAAAAATTAGGCTATAATTTCTAATGATAATTAATAAACAAAACAAAACAAAAAAATCTGATTGGGGTTTACTCTGTACATTTTTTTAAATTTATTCACAATCATATTGGATGAAAAAAAAAAATTAACCCAAAAAACGAATTATTGAAAGACAAAATGATGATGATGATGATGATGAAGATATTTTCAGCAAGATTTCCATGTATCATCTTGATTGCCTAATGCTTCCATTTCAAGTTCGGCATCATATTCTTCCAATATTTCTTGGAGATCAATGGCACTTAATGTTGATTTTGGAACATTTGCAGTTAATAATTGTAAATTTGAAGTTTTAATCAAAATTGTTCCCAAATATACATCAAATGGTCCAGAAAGTAAAACTTTTTTACCAATTATTGGATTTTTTAACCAATCCAACGGTTCATATTCAATGGCCAAACATTCTTGATGTCCGTCTGTCAAACAGAATTGCCACAAACGTCTTCCATATCCATAGAATTTAACTTGGCCATTTTTCTTAACTTTCGTTCCAGATTTTTCTTTTTTTTCTTCTTTCTCATCTTCATTTTCTTGTTGCTTCTCCTTTCTTTTATCTTTGATACTTTTTCTCACATTAATTTTCGTTGGCAACGGCCGAGATATGTCGATCATTTTCTCAACCTTATAAACGATAATTAATAAACAAATTGATAAAAATTCATATAATTACTTGTAGGATATAATGGCCATGAAACGTTCGTTTCTCAACATTTAATAGATTTAAATTTAATTCTTTCGGTAAAACTTGCAAACACCATTGGCGATCTTGTTTCCAATCTTCGTCTAACCATCGTTGAAAAATTTCATTAAAATCTGGTATATTCGATGAAGAATTTAGTCCCAATTTTTGTTCAAACCATTCAGATTTGACTTTTGCATGATTTTCATGAAAAAAAGATTTTAATTGTTGTAGATTTCCGGATGGAAACATATTGTTGATTATGAAAATTTTAAAAAATTGTTGATTTTAATCATTCGAATCGAACACATGGATTTCATAATTGTTATTCGCAAATGACGTTAAAAATTAATTTAAACAATCAATTTGCGTTTTCTGATTGTTGTCGCTAAAATGTTATAAAAATCGATTGAAAGATTATACGAAAGGAGTCTTTTCCTTTTTCTATTTGGTTAAATGGTTCGCATTCGAAAGCCGGTTGCAGTGATATGTGATATTGAAGGAACGACTACATCAGTTCGTTTCTGGCATGAAGTCATTGCACCATTTATCAAGGAAAATCTCGCAGCATGTCTTCAGGATACATGGACTCAACCGGAAACTATCGATGTTGTTTTAGGAATTCGCCATAAAACTGCTGAAGACATTCGAAATGGTGATAAAGAACGTATGTGTAACTTAACGCAAACTTATTTAATATCATAATAGTTCTCATCGATTTTTTTCTTTTTGAAATAGTTCCACCAATTCTTGATGAAAATTCACCGCGAAAAGGTATGTTTGATTAGATGTTAAATTTTATAATCTTGTTGAATTTTTTTGGTTCAAATAGAAATGATCGATAGTATCGTAAAAAATGTTTGTTATCAGATGCAACAACGGAAACAATCAAACGAATTGAAGGCTGTTCATTTATTGGTTTGGTTATATGGCTATCAAAATGAACTGTTAAAAGGTCATGTCTATCCAGATGTTCAACCAGCATTTCATCATTGGAAAAATGATCTTGGAATTCGTTTATTCACATTTGCAACAGGCGATACTATAGTGCAGAAAATGCTTTTTGGATGTTCATTAATGGGTAATTTGAATCCGGTATGTGATTTTATATTAGGTATTCATTGCAGTGAATGATGTTTTAAACCAATTTTTTATTTCAGTACATTGAAGATTTTTTCAATTATGACTCGGTGGGAAAAAAGACCGATTCAGAAAGTTTTCGAATCATTTCAAAGCGTATACAAATTAATTGTAATAGCATGGTATTTCTATCCGATAATTTGGCCGAATTGAAGGCATGTCAGGCGGCTGGCGTTACACCGATATTGGTTATACGATCGCATAATCGAGATCTGTTGGATTCTTCTATTCAACAGTCCCTGCCATACAAATACATAAAAACATTTGAAGAATTGGAATTCTATTGACAATTGACAGAGAGATCCTTTTGAAAAAAAATGTTTTTTATTTGAAATTTTTGCTTTAGAATTTTGTCAATGAAATATACAAAATTATCATTGCTGAAAATTTAACTCCTTGGTCGTTCTTTTTTGCCTTTGTAAAGAGCCAACAAAGAAACGTTGGCAACTTTGACCACCTTAAATCGTACACCAGGAATATCACCAACGGCGTGACCTTTACGACCGAAACCGGCAACCAAAACTTCATCATTTTCTTCGATAAAATTTAGACAACCATCCCGAGGTACGAATGCTGTAATTTTTTTACCATTCTTGATCAATTGTACACGGACACATTTTCGAATGGCAGAGTTTGGTTGTTTGGCTTCGACGCCGACTTTTTCTAATACAATTCCTTTGGCGTGTGAAGCTCCAGCAAAAGGATTAGCCTTCCATCTGGTACCTTTTATTTCACAATTGATTCACAATTAAAATGGTTGAATCTCTAAAAATTAAAATCTTACCAAGATGAGCTTTTTTATAATCCTTGTCATGCCAACGTTGTTCACGACGATTGTTGACATGCTTACGAGCTGTCTTTAAACCTTTCGGTTTACCTAAAATAACAATAACATTAGTGATGAATTTTTCATCAAATTATTCGACAACTTACCCATGATTTAATAAGAAAAAATGCTTTAATATAAACAAAATTCTTTGAAATTAAATGAATTGACACGAGTTTTTCAATGCTGCACACAAGCACACACACGGGAAAAAGGAAGTTTTTTTTCATTGGCAACACAAAAGCATGCATGCATTTGTGCACACACACAGAATTGCATGCAAAACTCATTCACATATACATGAGCTGTTCATATACAATTGAACGCACAAAAATATGAAATTTTCATTCAAATCATCATCATCATGTTATTTATAAAATTAATCAAATTTTTTTAAATTTATTTTAAAAAATAAAATTTGTTGCAAACGTTAGAAAACCACTATGTCCAGTTACTTCAGTATTCATATAGGTAACCCAATAATTAATTAGCCGATTTTCTTTGATAGTTTTATCATCTTTTTCTGATTTTTGATTCAAATCTTTGTCGATATCTTTTTCGTCCATTGTTCGTAGCCTTTTATTTGTTCCATTGATGCCATTATCATCAATATGCTCAAAATCTTCATTCACCGAACATTGGTCTTGATCATCTGAATGGTCGAGAATTTTTGGAAACAATTCATCGTTAACAGAATCTGATCTTTCAAATAAATTATCACAAAATTTTAGTTTCTCATACGATGCTTTACGAATTTCGTATGGCCGCAAAACGCATTCGATTGTTTCGATATCTAAAAAATTTAATTTGGCTAACGTTTGACAAGATCTTTGTACTTGTTCAATGCAAGGAGAAAAACAACAAATCTTGCCACCACTTTTCAAAACTCGTTGTGCTGATTCAATAGCTTCCCAAGGATTGGGAAGATCGAGGAAAACTGCATCAAATTTTAATGGTTCAAGAAATTGAAATCCTTCAGTACAAACATCTCGTTGTTGAACATTCACAATGGAATCAATTCCATGTTCACGGAATTCTTTTTTAGCAATTTCTACTCTTTTTTCATGAAAATCAAAAGTAAATAATTTTCCGTTTGGAGCTATCGTTCGGGCAATAGAATGAGAAAGTGATCCACTGCCAGTACCAGCTTCGATCACTAAAGAACCTGATCGAAGCTGAAGATTCATGAGAATCATGCTGATATCTGGACCATAAAGAATTTGCGTTCGATGTGGTAACAAAAGTGTCCAAATTTCTGGTGTCATATCCAAAACAAGAACATGTCCCTTACTGCATTGAATTCGAGAGCCATAAGGTTTGCCAATCAATTCTTCCAAACGTAAGGCACCCAAGCGAGTTTGAAATACTTCATCACGATCCACTTTAACACGATACATTTGTCGGGGCGTCAAATAGATTACAACCGTATCGCCTTCATCGATGGTTTTCTTCAATAGACAAAAACTCATCTTTACAATTATAATATAAAAATTATCGAAAGATCCACAAGAATATAAAATCAGGAAAAATAATTCTTCATGATGATGATGTTGTACCACCAATTGATAGAACATGCATGCTTGATCATGATGATTCCAATAATTTATACGTTGCAAGTATCTGCTTATTCTTTATTTTAGAGAATTTTTAGATTTTTTCTATAGAATTTTTTTCGTCGTTCATTTTATCTCCAAAATTAACATTTAAACATTCATTTCCTTAGTTTATTTATCAATGTTTATAACATTTTAAAGTAAGCAAAATATTTTTTTGTTTTTGTATTGTTAATCATCAAAGAATATTTATAAATCATTGGTAATTTTGTGGATAAGGAAAAAAGCCAAATGGATTGGTAGTAGGATAAGGAGGATTGGGATTATTCTCATTTGATGAGCGATCACTCATTGATAATTGAGAAAACGGTAGACTTGGTGGTGCAGGAGCAGTTCGCCAAGGTTTAGGCATTGATGATTGAATATTACGAATTTCTTCGGGCATCTTTTCTGCTTTAATACGACGCATATGGAATAATTTTCGTTTTTCATTAAAATCCTACAAAACATTATTAAAATTATTTAGAATAGTCAGATATGTATTAAAAAATGAATACCTTAAGAAATTCTTCAATCGTTATCTCTTTGCGAAGAAAAGCGTTAGCAACTTCGTCAGAAGCTTCTTCAGCTTCAGCCATAGCCGCTTGCATTAATGCTAACGTCGTATCGAGCGAATGTTGTCGACCAAATTCTCTTAATTTGGATTTTTTCTTATCCATCTCTTGTTTCATGTATTGACATTCTTCATATGATTTCTTTAGTTCTTGTCGTTGAATACGATAAGTCGATTCGAATGAAAGATTATTCTCAGCTATTTTTTTATTCTCTTCGATTAATCGTTCTCTTTCACATTCCAATGTTCTCACTTGAGGTAAATCCTTAATAAAACTTTCAATTCGTTCATTCGATGAATCATTTAGAATAGAATCAAGTTCATCATTGGTGAAATTTTTAAGCAATCCATTTATACTGCTTATATCCACTTCAATTTGAGAATAACAATGTGCCATTTTTTCAATAATTCTGATAAACAAATAAAATGATTAAAATATTCAATTGATTAAAAAATTGACAATAGTCTTTTGCTCTATCGTTTTTTTAGACGTAGTTAAATTCATCACTGAAATAATAAAATAAAAAAAATAAAAACAATTATTATTATTATTACAACCCATCATTGTACGACTATATTCACTCATGGGTATATACCTAACCTACTCCCAATTAATGAGTCAATCAAATTGGCTCATAATTTGCTTTGCTCTGTTTATATTTGGATTGCTTTAAATAAATTATAAGAATAAACTAAAAAAATCATAAAATGTCATCACTAGATTCTTTTGCTGGTTTAGGTGGTTCAAATGAAAATAGCCAATCGCAACCGATGGATATTCATGATTCACCATTGACAGCTAATGATGAAGACAAAGCAACAATTGCCGATGAATCTCAACCAGAACAATCGTATCTTGAAAATGATCCCATCTTTTCTACAGCTGGTCAACAACTTATCGATTTCTTACAATATCTTGAAGATTATCAACCAACCATACCAGATTCAGTTACAAGTCATATAATGCATACATCTGGATTCAATACAAATGATACACGAATATTACGTTTGGCTTCATTGGCTAGTCAAAAATTTATTGCCGATATTGCTAATGATGCTTTACAACATTGCAAAATGCGAACAGCATTGTCACAGAATAAAAAGCAAACAAAAGATAAACGTTATACTTTGACATTTGAAGATCTTGTTCCAGTGTTGAGCGAATATGGAATTAACATTAAAAAACCACAGTATTTCTACTAAATTCAATTCATCATTTCTATCCTTTGATTTGGCTATTTTTATCATTTAGATTTATTTCATAAACACAAAAAGAAAAATCGATTCAATGTAGTTTGTTATATTTCAAGTAAATAATAAAAAATTTGTTTATACAAATCGAATGGTTGATATATAGGAGATAGTCATACGAATGGAGCCAAAATTAACGGTTACAAATATCGGAAAGACCACGAATACGTCGAACCAATTGCATGTCTTCAACTTTAATCGTTATACGTTTTGAATTTGAAGCAACAATATTCGAATCTTCAAACAATGAGATCAGATAATTTTCGGCCATCTCTTGTAAAGCCAATAAGGCCGTTTCTTTCCAACGGTAACCGATCTGTGGACGCAAATCTTCCAGGATATCTTTTACCAATCTATTTTATTAATTGAATAATAGAATTATTATTCAACAGATAATTCAATAAATTATTTTATGTTTATTTTGAATAATTAATTCACATTACCTCATAAATGGAAGTTTTTGAATTAATAAACAAGTTGTTTTTTGATAGAATTTAATCTCTTTGAATGCACGATTTTTATCCCTTCGTTTACGTAATGAATCTGAATGTCGTTTTTTCGGGGTAAGCAATTTTCGTGGCGTGAAATATTTTCGCCCCAGTTTGCTATTTGTTCGAGTCATTTTGTGTTTATATTCACTGAAAAAACTGGAATCCCGTATGAAGTCAAAGATTAGATAATCGATAATTAATAATAGAAACCAGAAAAACGTCAAGTTGAAAATTTTCGTTGAAACAAAATCTAGAACATTGAATCACGTCAACGTTTTGTTTGTATTTGAGTCAAAAAGTGCTCAATGCCAAGCGCGGGCAAAAATCTTCAGCTCAAAATTCACAACGGTTTTTTTCTCGCATTTGAAAAAATCGACCGTTCAAAAATGACGTTCGTCGAATTTCAAAATCCTGAAATATGAAAAGATTTTTGTTTTTATTTCGTAGATCTAAAAAATTATTATATTATATATTTACATTTGAAAATGACAGCTATTCGATTATGCCTGGTGAAAAAAAATGTTAGTTCAACCTAATTCGATTAGCATTAATTATGGAAATAAATGTCATTTTGTTTCTTACATCTAAATCATTCAATCAAATCAATAAAGCCGTACCTGGTGTTTTTAAAGCAAAATTTTCAACTTTTTTCCTTACAAATTTTTGTTTGTCAATTTGTATTTGTAATTCATGTTTTTTCGGCTATAATGAATCAAAAAATATCAAGAAATTTGAAATCAATAAGATTTAATATTTAGCGGTGGTACCATTGTTTGATGATTGACGATGAAATGAATTTCTAGACGAACGATCATGTTGATGTCCAGATTTATCAGGCGATCGAGAACGAGATCGATTCCTATTATGACGGCCGCTGCCATGAGAATAATGTGATGATCGATGATGATGGCTTTCATGATCGCGAGAACGACGTGATGATGTATTTAATCGTCGATCACGATACCGATAATAATTGTCCCGATTATCGTGATGTCGTGAAGATCTTGATTCTTCTTTTTCGTCTTCATCACGACGACGTTTTTCCATAATCTCATCGAGAGCATTTTTCAATTTACCATAGCCAACATGTTGTTTACCCATAAGATGATCATCTACACGTTGTTGCACATCATTAACAATTAAAAATGCACCACATACATCACAAACTTCCATTTGTTTTTCTTGTGCGACTCCAATTTCAGCTTTTTTCTGTATCCAATGGCCAGATTGATTTTCACGTTTAATTTGTGCTCGTTCTTCTTTTAACTGATCAACCTCTTTCATAGAAGTTTGCGCTTCTTCAACTTTGCCTATGAATAAATTTAAATAAAAAAATCATGAGTCTAAAACTAAAAGGTTTTTGAATTAATAAAACCTTCGCAACCAAGTTGTTGAATTTCCTCTAAAAGTTTCTCGATTTTTTCCGTTATTTCACGAATCCGTTCTTGATGTTCTTCATTAAGCGGACACGAATTACCTGCTATATTCATCTTTTCTATTTGGCTCATCTCTAAACGTTGTTTAGCGCGTTTTATTTTCTTTTCAACATCATTCAATTGAGCCTGGCAAAATCGAATGAAATCATCTTCGTATTGTCGTTTTTCCAGCTTAGTTGCTTTGGATTGATATTGACGTTTTAGGTAATCATCATGTACTAGTGCACACGGACCAATATCAGCTTTGGTATTGATGAATAATGCATTTGGACAAAACTTTACCAAGAAATGTTTACAAACCTAATATTATAGAGAAAGATTTAATTTTCACAATGATAGTTTTATGATTAAACTTACGGTTTGATCATCCCAATTAAGCATACAACGTTTATCATTTGGCGCTAGATCACGTTCACGACCCATAAGTTCATCTAACAATTGTTTTGCAGCATTGATGGCCATTGCCTTTTGTCACTAGAATATTAGATTATTAGATTCCTGATCTATAAGTTGATTTTTATGACCAATGTAAACGATAATGAACAATTTGAAATAAATCTAAAAAAAATATTGAAAAACATCTGAGCATTTAGAATTCATATATGATATATGCCATGCGTTCATATAGAACGTTAAATGATATTTATTCATTGAGAAATGCGCCTCAATTACAGCAACAAAACGGAAAAAACATTCAAAGAAATATAATTTTTCGATTTCATACTCATTTTTTTCCATCATTTTTAAATCATGAATCGATTCGAATTTCATACGATCATATTTATTATATTTATCTTCATGACAGCTAATTGTACAGATTATTCAGAGAATTCAACAATCGAACTGTCCACTGAAAATATAGAATCTATCATACAGAATGATTCGTCAGATATTGATACTAATAATAACAATAATAATCATTCCGATTTGAATGAACAAATCAATAATGTTAACCATTCATCAGTTTTCGAAAGTCAATCATCAAAAATCAATGAAGAAAATTCTATGACGACCATAAATAGTCCTAATTATGTCCGATATAACTGTACGCCGGTCGAACGGAACGAGGTAGGTTTCTCGTAATTTTATTTTAGATTTTTTTAAATCTTACGAAATTTCACTTTGTAATAAATTAATGCTATTGTGAGGGTTTTTTTCAATTTCCAAAAATGGTTTTATTAATTAAATTTATCATCAGTATTATGTGAATTTGATTGATTTTTTCATCTTTCTCATTCAATCTTGGAAACTTTATAGGTGTGTGTGTGTGTGTGTTTGTTACAGGTGAATAAATCAGGAACAAAATATATTTATAGCTGTAAATGATTGAGATAAAAATAAATTCCTGAAATTAAATTAATAACATGAATGATAAAAAATCTTGAAGAATTTCAATATCATTTATAATTTTTTTCTTGTTTTTTCGGAATCAAATCAAAATCCAATGATTTTTGACATTCATTTCATTCCTTATAATTGCACAGTTTAATGTATCAGATGTTTTTTTGGGGGGGCGGGATGAGTAAAGTCAATGTATAGCAGCGATCGATTTTGAGAGGTTTGATAGGTAGAAAAAAAAATTATAAAAATAGTTCCAAGAGAAAAATGAGTTGTTTCTGTATGGTTATGACTCGAATTATAAATCTGAAATAAAGAATTTGACACGATGATAAATGGCAACACTGTGTGTTTGTGTGTGTATGAACAAATATAATGTGTCTGGTATATTGTCATTGTTGTATGAATAAAAAGAGAATCACAAAAAAAATGAAAGGAAAAAAATAGAAATAAAAATTAGAATAAAAATCCAACAGAATATTTGAATCATTTGCGAAATTCAAATACAATCCAAACACAGAACATTTTTTACGTGTATGAAAATGAAAGCGAGAGAGAGAGAGAAAGAAAACTTGTGTATTATAATCAAGGCAACGGAACCAAGCGAGAAAAAAAATATAACTGAATATATAAATGTATTAAATTAAATCTTTAGTATTAGAATTCATTCTTTTGATAAGGTTGATGTGATGTTGTTTTTTAGGAAAAAGACAGAGAGGGAAAAAAATGTATGGATGTATGTGAATATGTTAATCATTCAATTATAATGATAATCTTGAATCATAAAATATTAATGATTAATAATAATATTTGAGTATGATGACACACACACATATATATAATCAATTACAGATGTCCATTGATTGTGGTGAGAATGCTTCATTCTTAATTATTGTTGATGTAGCTAATTGTTGTGTCTGACTCAATAAGTTCGATGAATTCAATTGGCCAAAAGTTTGTCCATTGTTAGTAGTAGCATTGCCTGAATTCATCATTAATTGTTGAAGCTGATGTTGTTGAATATGATGTTGATGTGGATGTTGAGAATTTCTTACAGCCAAAAAGTATCCACCATTTCCACTGCTATTATTTGATGACTGTTGGCTGCTCGTCGTTGTTTGCTGATGAATAGATCTCAATATAGGATTACTACCTGCAGGACTCATTGGCGATGATAATTGATGGTGATTGATCATAGGTGATGGTGATTCATTGGGTTCCTCTTTGACAATCTGAAAACCACCGGCACTGCTGCTACCTACACTACCAACTCCAATCGGATGTTTGTTCATAGCCGATGCAGTATCGAGGTAATCTGTTGACGGCGAATTCGCTGGTGAATTGATCGAATTGTGATAATCCATTTTATAATCAACCATATCGAATTGTTGATCCTCTTTGGAATTGTTTTGACGATGGCCATTGGCAATCGAAGTTTCATTCGCTGTTTGCTTGTTTGATGATGTCATTGAATGTATTTCAGCCATCTGAATAATGATGAAATAAATAAACAAATTAAAATTAACAATGATAACTATGTGAATGAGAACTTACGATCGATTCCATTGACCTTCCTTCTGTAACGTTTAATTTTTTCAATAGAGTGAAAAGAACTTCTTGTAAGCGATGATTCTCTTCCTTAGTCTTTCTAGTTTCACCTAAAGCTCGATCGAATTCATCATTTAGACGAACATTTTCCTGTTTCAATAGCTTTAGATAATCAACAGAGGCTTTCAATATAGTGCCTTTGTTCTGTTTCATATCTTTGACCAGTTCAAAATGTTTTGGATCATCCGCATTTCGTGGCAATAGTGTTCCTAATTCTTTAATACGATCATTGATATTATATCGACGACGACGTTCAATCTGATTATGATTATCTTTTTTCTGTCGGTCTTTTTGCCATGCTTTTAATTCTTGTTCGGTCAATTGTGGACAAGATGATGATACAGTTGAGGTTGTGCCGGAAAGACGATGACCACCTGTTGTAACTGATCGTCCTAATTGTGATGAACCGCCAAACCTATTTGTTGCTGATGATTTTATGGCCACTGGGCTTGATTGTGAATTGTTTCCCGGACTATTATTGGGTGTTTTGAGCGAACCAGCATTGATTGGCGAATGTGATACTAGATTAGGATTTTGAATCGGATTCGATAATAAGAATGATTCCATACGATCCGGTAGTGTATGTGGAATCAATGTTTTTTGATCGCCTATATCCATTAGTGCACTATTTTGGCTATTAGGATTGAAGAAATTGTTTCCAGAGCCACTACTCATTTCGACAATAGTTGCTGATATATTATCAATATCGTCAATACCGGCCGTATCCAAACGCATTATGCCATCGAAAACATCATCAAAGTCGGAAGCCGAAGATGGTCCACCACCTGATAATGGACTTTCTGGACTTAATGCAAATGGCGACGACTGTTGTTCTGGCCTATTTGATGTTTGTGATTGTTGTTGTTGAGAGGCAATATGATTTCTCAATAGACTAGCGCCAATTCTGTCCATGTTATGTCCAGTTTGATTAGCGGTTTGTTGCAATAATGTTGCATTCAATGAATGCGGCCCATTAAATTGAATATTCTGATTATTATTATGTATTGGTTGATGTTGGATCGAAATTGGTTGCGGTTGTTGTTGATTACTACTGCCGAATGGTGAACTAGAATTCATTCCACCACCACCACCACCACCGCCGAACAATTGCAATTGTAGTGGTAAGCTGAATCCTGCTCCTCCAGGTATAATTTGATGATGTGGAGAGTTTGTTGAATTTGGAAAATTGATAACCATTGGTTCAGATGCTTGTTGTTGTTGAGCTGAAGGAATGTTTGATGATGATTGTTGATGATCATTAGAATTATTTCCGGCTGCTGCCGTAACCGTAGATGATGATGAAGATGATGAAGCGAATGTTTGAATTCTAATTCCATTGGAAATGTTTGATGTAGCTGATGTTGTCGGATTCTGTTGATTATTATTATTATTTGTATTGTTGCTAGATGTCATTGTTGTTGTTGATGATGATTGTTGTTTCGATGTTTGACGCAATTCTTCCTGTAGTAATTGCTCTTTCATGAGCTGCTGTTTGAAATTTGTTCGCGACATGTTTCATTCGTTTATTATTCTTATTCATACTTATACAATGAAAAACAAAAATGAGTAAAAATCGATATCATTACTCAATTTATTGAGAGTATATGTTTATCATGATCAACTCTGTATATATGTGTTGTTTGTGTGATTAGATGATGACGATGATAAGATAGATATATATTTCACTTTGATTTTGATATTGAAATCTTCAAGGAACACCAAGAAAAAAAAACATATAGACATATATGAAGATACAAACAGTTTTCAGTGTATAAATTTTTCAATAAGCAAAAATTAAATCTTTTTTTTCAATTTATATATAAAAAAAATAAATCTTTTCTCTCAACACGTTCCTTATGAATGAGTATATTTGATCAATTTTTTTTTGATTTAATCACTACACAAATCTTCACAATGATTAGTGTTCAATATTGATATTGATTGATATAAATTATGGTGAATGGTGAATGATATTTTGTATGAATAAAAATTCAGACTATGCAAACTTCAATCATAAAAAAATCTTGATTGATGATTAATAATGATGATGATGATCGAATAAAACTTTGGAAATTATGATGATTTGATCATTTTATTTTTTATTTATGTTGAAAATGAAAATATTGAGAAATCATTAAAGATGAACGTTGATTATCCCCCCCACTATTGAATGAATGAATTAAATCGAATGTGGTGTGATATTCAAAAGTACGGAGAATATATGGAAGATAAAGAAAAAAAAAGAATAAATTATTGTCAGAAAACGATTTTTTTTTCAAAAAATAAGAAACAATCGATTTTAGAAAGTTATAAAGAATAACACACAAATACACTATTTCTAATCGATTATAATTTACAGATTTCTTCAAAGAAATTCACAAAATCACTTGAATGGTGTACATTAATTCTAGCATTAAATAAAAAATTTTGTTTTAACTTTAAAAAAAAATGATTCAACGAACAATAATAAGAAAAAAATCATTAAAGTAAAACATTATTAATGTAGATTAACATTTGAGGCCTACACATTAATTCTTTTTTCGTACCGGAATTAAATGGAAAAAACCAGAATCTTATTTCTTATTTAAAAGTTTAAGTTTTTTTTTCTTTCATAGAATGAAGAATAACTTTTTTAACAAAAAAAAAAAAAAAAAAAAAAATGTGGATGCGTGTGTGTGTGTGTGTCGGTGAACAATGAATGAAGGCAAGTCTCGCCAAGTGAATGAATCAGAGCTCAAGTCAGTGAAACAGAAACCAAGTTTTTTTTGTGTGTGTTTTCTTATTTATAACGGGGTTATACGTTATGAATTAATTAAATCATGACGTCGCATCACTGTGATGCGGAATGAAAGAGAAAATAAACAAACAAATTACGTATAGAACAAAGAATGATTAACAACAACTACGATGAAAATAACTAAACGAACCGTAAAAAAAAACATCTAAATGTCTTGTGACATTGGCATCGCACGAATATAATGTTTAGAACACACTAATAGCTTAAAAAAATATATATATCAACACATACATTTGGATATACAATTACAATTGGTTAATTGATTCGTAATTTAAACGCTTTTCAATCTCTCTATTATTTGTGTGTGTGTGTGTGTGTGTTTATGCAACACAACTTGATTCAAAATGCCACTTCTGCTATTTCATTCTGATTTTATTTTATTTTTTTTTTTTTTTTTCATTATGCCTACTCTCTCTTTCTCTACCATTCCCTCTTCTTTCCTCTCAGATTAATTGGATCCTAATCGATGCTATGCCATCCACACCATCATCATCATCATCATCATCACTATAATAGTATATGAGAAAAGAAAAAAAAATTGAAACAGGATTCGCCATAAATACACTTATATTATATTTTATTATATATATTATGGCGCGCCATTTTCTCTTTCTCACTTCAACTATGATATTTTTCTCCATTTGTTGTTGTTGTTGTGTTCTATGTTTATGTTGTTTATATGTGTGCGGTAAGGATTTCCCTAACCTTGAAAATTTTGTGTAATCGTCGATGTTGTTGTTGTTGTTGATGTTGATGTTGATGTTTTGAGGAAAAAAATAGTATGTTTGTCATGATGATGATGATCCTCATGATGATAATGATGATGATGATGATGATACTTTTTGTTGGTATTTTGTTTGTTTATTATGAAAAAAAATCAACGATAATGGATTTCTAGTACTAATTTTGATTTTTAAAGGATTGTAAAATATATTTGTTATTGTACTAAACGATCGGTAATATACTATTGGGGTATATATCACCACAAAAACAAAAATTATTTATCATATATTTCACATATTCATAACAAATGACACCGGTATTTCATCCATATGATTACAATAAATAAATGAATATATAGTTTTATCAATAAGTATAATCATCATCATCATCATATAAAGAAAATCTAATCTTATCATGATTTACGATTAAATCAAAATAATGAACAATGGAAAATCCCCTCAAAAAAAAGGATTTGAATATATAGAAAATTTAATTCAAGTTTGAAATTAATCTATTTTTCAAAGTACAATATTATAATAATAATAATAATGATAAGATTCAGAAATGATTCGATGTTTTGTCGAATCAAATCCGAGTGTTCAAATTCTCATCGAATATATTTTTTTGTTTTGTTTTGTTTTATTTACTATCTATCTATTTTGTTAATCAACATTCTATGTATGAATGAAGAATAATATACTGTAAAATAATGTTTTTCTGTAATGTTCGGCATCATTCCGTCCTTGATAGGTACCACTATATCCTCTTTTTAGAATACAATCTTTTTTTTGTGTTTGTAAGTAGGAAAATAAAAAAAAAAAAAAAAAAATATTATTAAGAGAGGCATGTAGTGTAATCGTTTTGTATGTTTGTATAGAAAAGTTTTCCATGTTTTGAATTTGATCATTCATGTATATATGACGATGATGATGAGAAAAGAGAATCCTTGAGAATGGGATTTATAGAAATAGAAGAGAGAGAGAGAAAGTTGTTTATGTGTGTATGTGTCTGTTTGTGAGTGAATTATTATATTTTTATTTTTTTTTCTCAATGGATGACAAGCTTGAATCATCAGTTATTCTTATTATTATTCTAGTATAGTGAATAGAACAAAATAAAACAAAAATGAATATACTAGAATCGGATAATATGATGCCCAAAAGGCTTTTCTATATTCAAGTAACTTTATATTAGAAAAAAAATAATCAAAATATCACCAAAACAACAACAACGATTTTTAAAAAAATCGACCAACAAACCTCTTTCGTTTCCAAAGAAGGAAATCAATCAAAAATCTCGTTTGAAAACAAAAAGAATTGAATGTATTTGACAACCTGCTGATCAATTTACAAACAAACAAATTCTTTCATTGATTTTGAATCTAAAGAATTTGAAGATCACTAATGTTGTTGCTGTTGTTGTCATTGTCGCCGTTTAAGTCGAAATAATTTCCATTTCCTTAGAATTCAATTCCATTAGACAAAATATCTCATACATTGGTTGGTAATGATGGTGACAGATGAAAAATAAGTTGAAAAGAAAAATCCATTTTTTATACAAAAAAAAAAAAAAAAATGAACCAAACTAACCAGTCAACTAGTCTAAAATAATAATATAAACTAAACTATTTGATTATTTGTGTGAGCGGCGGAAAAAAATCAGTTACAAACGTCATATTCGACCTTCTGATTGTTAGATGGTTGGTGTCGATTGAGTTTGGTTGTTTTCTCTCTCCGTCGTCTCTCCACTATTCATAATCTTCTTTCCGTCGTCTTTTTTCTCTTTGTTATCGTCCTACGCACCAGAATCGATAAGAACCAAATTAGTGTATTCTTCAGCTCTCACTATTTTTTTTTTAATTTAAGTGAAGCAGAAAATTTGAACATACCGACAACCAACCGTCAAATGCTACTGTCCTATACTAACATAGAAAATCAAGTAGAGGGAAAAATATTTTTCTCATTTTGTTTTTGGTCCACACTTATAAACTTCCGATTCAAACACACACACACACACACATTCAGACAGACAGACACAATCGTTCAATAGTTGACAATCCTTGAAATATAAATCCTTCACTTTGGTTCACTATACATTATTTCTTTCTTCCGTGAATGAAGATGAAAACATGAAATCATGAAAACAAAATTCTAAATTTACTTTCAAAAATAATTTCTCTTGTTTTCCCTCTTGAATAATCCAGAATATTGAAGAAAATAAATGAAAGAGGAACGGCAAAAATTTACCTTGAGCAATTGAATGCCAATGTCTTCGTTTGTTATTTCAGTTGATCTTTACAAATATATTTTGTCGTCGTTTTCGTTAATGGCTGCCAGGAAATAAAATGATTGATTAAATGATAGAAAAAATGAAAAAAAAATGAAAAGATTCCAACCTATTTCAGAATTATTCAGACAACTCGCTTGCTGTTGCTGTAGTTTTGTAGATACAATTCTACGATTAAATTTTTATAATATAAAGAATGTATTGATCCAATATTGATTGTTTGTGAATTTTCAAGACCGAAGGGAAGCCGTAGATGAAAATACAAACATGTAGCCGATTATACAAACTTTAATAACAAATTATTATTATTATTATAACTATGATGACTATTATAATTAATAGAATTTTCTTTCTTCTTTTCTTTTGGGCTAGATTATTATTATTTAGTATTTCTGTTATTTTCAATTGAAATCATCTATGACATCATCGATGAAACAAATAATAGAAAAAAATTCGTAGACTTGAAATTGTCAATGTTGTACCAATTTTTGTTAATAATAATATAATATAATTGTTTCATTTCTTTGGAACACTAAACACACAACACGCACATATGAAGAAAATCCCAATTAATCAATATATACTGGATTACAATTATATTTAAAAAAAAATACACAATCACAATTGACACAGTGTTGTAGACACAAAAGAAAAATTTACACAATATCTTCACAAATCAATTATATTTCACTACTATATGAATGAATTAATGATGATGATGATGATGATGATGCAATAATCATAATTACCGATCCATAAACAATAATAAAAACAATTGTATGTAGGCGTGTTTGAAAGTTTTTTTTTTAATTTGATGGTATGAATATAAAAAATAATTTTCTTCACTGTTGTTTGGGTTCAATTTTTTTTTTTTTTTTTTAGTGAACAAAACGTACACCTAAATCATAGACATTGAAATGAATTTTGTGAAAACACACATTGAATACACGCGAGTGAATTGCAATGAATGAGCCATCTAATAAACAGGACTTTTAGCTATTAAAACTAAATGATGATGATTATGACGATGACTATGATGATGATGATGATGATGATATTGGATACTGATGGCGACGTTTTTTTTTAACTTTCTCGTTGATTTCCTTTCTCTTCTTATATTTGCTTCTTTAAGTGTTGATTTTTTTTCTCGTTTCTCCCCTCTTTTCTAAGTATATTATCCTATATGTCATTCCAATGTATCATATCCATGCACAATGTACTTTTTTTTGAGGATGATAGTTTTGAAGACGACAACGTTGTTCAATAGGTTTTGATACTGATCGCTATGGATGATGAACGATGATGATGATGATGATGATATTGGTGCATAATTGTATGTATATACAATATGAGAATTGAAGAAAAAAAAAGAGAGGGATTATATATGTACAAAAGCGCACACAGGTTGTTGTCGTCGACGTTTTTGCTGGTTTTGGTATTATTATTTTTTTTTCTTTTGATTTTGATTGATAAATGGCTGATTGTTTTGGAGGTGTTTTGTAACAACACGTCAAAAAAACAATATTTTTTTGGTTGTTATTGTCGACAAAATTATAATTATTACTATGATGATGATGATGATGATGATATTTTTTTTTATCACTATCGTGATAACAATGGATCCTATCAATCAATCTTAATAATATAAAATCTATATGTCTATCTATAATAAGCATAACAAAAACCCATACATACAAACAATTGGATGATGTTTCAATTTTTTTTTATTATTCAGTTCACAGTTTTTCTAAACTTTCTTTTTTAGAAAATTAAGAAGAAAAAAAAGAAATAATTAATGTTTCAAATAGTCTCACCGGATTAATTAATTGATTGATTCGAAAAATTTTGGGTTTTTTCTCTGTATGTTGGTTTGTTTGTTTGAAATGAATCTTATGTTTCAAAATTTCCCGGATCGAAAAAACAGACAAACAAACAAACAAACAAGAATGTCAATGAATGTTTTTGACGTTTTTTATTTGAAATGAAATTAAATGGATTTTATTTTTGATCTCGATTTCGTTTTAAATCGTTCTTTCATATTCATGAATGTTGGTTATTCAGAATTATCAATGTTTTTTTTTTTTTTGTTGTTATTGTTGATGTTGTTGTTATTATTGTCGTGCAATGATGCTTGCTTGCTTGCTTGCTTTGTGGAACATGAAACAAGAGAAAAGTTTTTGCTCTCGATATTGTTTACTTTTGATTTGATGTGTGTGTGTGTGTAATGGTATTTTGTTTGTTATCATTGATGCAATGCCTGTAGCTGGTTGATTTACTTCAAAAACAACAACAACAACAACAACAAAAAAGAATGAACAAGAATTGAATAAAGAAACACACACGCACACACTGTGAAACACTGTTAAAGATTCAATCTCAAAAATAAGCAGCAAAATATCCAACAGGATAAATTTTCGTCGACGTCGTGGTTGTTTTTGTTTTGGTGTGCTGGCTGGTGGTGGTGGTGGCAAATTTTTTTTTGTTTTGTTTTGTCGAGTTGCAATGTTGATTTTATTTTGGATGCTTGTTTGTACATATATATAAAGTATATATATGAAGAAGAAAAAAGATGCCGAGTATATATGAAAAAAATTCCTCGATATGTTAAGATCGCGGATGGATAAATGCTATGTATAAGAGATGGTTCATTGAAAGAAAGATGGATGTCGATTGTATATATATGTGTGTGTGTGTGTGTGTTTATATCTTCAATGATATATATATCAATGACGAAAATCCAAAGCGAGCACTAAAAAAAAAAAATCTTGTATGGCCACAAATATATATAATAATGATGGAAGCAAAGTATGTGGTTATATAAAAAAGATTGTGTGTGTGTGGTAGTTGTTGCAGCCAAAATAAATTTTTTTCTTGAATTTGTTCAATAATTCAGCAAATATCAAAAAAAAAAAAAAAAAATTATCAATTAAAATGAATGGATGATGATCATGGTTAAAAAAAAAACATTCAAAACAAAATTTTATAAGAGAAAAATTAAAAGAGAATATATGTTTGTTTATTATTCTGAGAAAAAAAAATGTTGTTTTTCCTTTCTGTGATGGCGCTGATGATTCAAGAATGCACATCATCATTCAATCATTTATTTTGATAATAACAACAACAACAACAACCAAAAAAAAAAAAAAAAAAAATGAAAACAAACTTAATGTATTCACATAACATTGTTAATAATGCCACTACTACATATTGATGTTTTGTTTGTTATTGTTGATGATCCATGGCGTTTATCGACGGCGTCATGCTCATTCATTTGAACATCTAATTTTTTACAAAACATTTGGCAAATCTATATATACATATATATAATACACGTTTTTCCTTTCTCTTTCATTTTTTTGACTATATAGCGATACGATATTTTTGAATATCTCAAAAAAAAAATTTCGCGCGTAATTTTTTGTCATCTTTTTGAGTTTATCATTATCCCCTTTTTCACCTTTTTTTTCTTCAAAAAAAAACGAATATTAAAATCATTCCATTTTTTTCCCATTGAATTTCAGACAGCACAACTAATTGTAGTCAATTCATCATCGATACCTAGTTATCTTCAATTGAAAAATTATTTCATCGTTGATTTTTTCTATATGAATCATTCAAGTAATGAAAATAATTATCCGGAAGAAAAAACATCTACAATTGATAATGAAACAGCTACAACATCTAATATGACCACATCTTCCAATGAAACAGGCCAATGTGCCATAATGATTTTCTATTACAATTGGTGTCGATTCAGTGCGGCAGCTGCACCACAATTCAATGCACTTGGTCGTCTCTATCCACAGATGTATGTGATGGCCATTGATGCTTATTATCATTATAGGTTTGTTATAAATAAATAAATCATTGAATTATTAAAAATGATTATTAATCACTAATTGCTGAATTTATATAGTATCACAATTCGTTTCGGTGTTTCGGGTGTACCAAGCATGTATTTCCTTTATAATGGACGTGCTGTAGCCAAATATAATCGTACCGATATCACAATGGATGGTCTTGTTGAATTTATTCGTTCATTAACTTCATTAGAACCGATAAAACCAAATGTTACCGATCATCATGAAGTTGAAGAAATCAACAATGACGAAGAAAATGTGAATAATGGAAATAAAACATTTTCATACGATAGAATTTTCTGGAATATTACTGATAATGATCGTAATGGTCCATTAGTGATACATCTCGAAAATCAGCAAAATTATCTGCTTATATTTTGCTGGAAATTTTGCTTAATCGTTTTGTTCTATCATTTTTTTCGTTCAAATTTATTCGCAATGATCAAAGATCATGTTCGAGGAATGTGGAATGAATGGGCACAAACTGTTCAACATCATGAACATGCCGATTAATTTGATTTATGATTGATGTATTGATCAATCAAATGATTGATAAATTGATTGATCTTTGAGCTGATTGCCGTTGGAAATCATTGATCAATCTTTATCAATCGATCATTCAATCGAACCGTAGCGATAAAAGATCAGGATTCAATATTGTGATCATCAATCTATTTGTTTGTTTGCTTGTTTTAAATATCACATCATCATCAAATAGATTTATTTTTTTTCTGTAAATATTCAAAAATTAAAATATTGAAAAAGAAATTTGTACAAAAACAAAATTTCTCTTAATTGCTTTCCCACATAACATTAAATCATTCGATTTCATTTTTGGGCTACCCTTTTCTAAAAGTGTTTGATGTTGATAATAAACAAGCGTGATTCATTCTGATCATTTGACAGGATTGGACTCTCTTTTTGAACATTGGATCGAAATCGATACGGCCATTTTTGTACATTTATTTTATGATCGAATTCGATCGATTCGTACATTGCAAAAACAATTTAGCCCATTTTCTCGATTTTTTAAATCTTTTTTCTCATGTCATAGTGCTGCAATCTTTCGGAGGTTTCAATCAATTTTATCAAACAACATTTTCAGAGTTCCAAGTTATGTGCGAGCTCATTTTTTTTAATGTTTGTGTATATTTGCACCTTTTTTCGCATCATCATCATCATCCAGAAATCATCTGTTCAACTTGTCCCATTGATCGTGGTTTTTTAGATTTGTTTTAATTAACATTTGAAATGATTCAAAGTTGATTATCGATCATTGTTGGGACCAACGGTCGCTGAATCAATGGGACTACATAAATCCATAAATGAAAACAAAACATTAACATCGGAAGCAGCATTTGTATTATAAGGTGATATTTAATTTATAAATTAGATTTGACTATCAAAACGATTTTGAATGAACAAAATGAATTGTCAGAAGTTGTTTCAGGATTTCAATTCCAGGTAAGTGGATTATTAATTGAATTATTATTTTTTTTTGCTGATTTAAATTAATTCTGTTTTCAAAGTAAATTCGTCGTATACACATCATTGTTGATATTTTCTATATTATTTGCACTTCGTTTGGATCAAACAATTATGATCTCCTGGTGGTTAGTATTTACGCCATTATGGATATGGAAATTTTTGGTCATCACAGGCGCTTTGGTCGGTGTTACCGTTTGGATTTGTAATCCTGAATATCGTCTATCAGAATCATCATATACGCATTTCAAATCAATGTTGATTAGTCTTTCATTACAATTATTGCTGTTGATGTTCGAGCTATTAGTTTGTGATAAATTGGAATCTGATCGACATTTTTGGTCGCTAGCATTCATACCATTGATATTCATCTCATTACTATCGGTTGCAGTTTCGGTTTGGGCATTGAAAAATGAACGTGATTTTGAATTGGAACTTTTCTGCTCGGTGAATGTCCTTCAATTTATTTTCATTGCACTTCGCCTAGATCGTTTCATAACATGGTCATGGGTGGTTGTATTTGTGCCTTTATGGATTCTACTTTGTTTAGCTATCATTGGTGTTTTGTATGCATTAATATTTGCTGTCATATTATTCCATACTCCTGAAGTATCGGTGGAACAGCGTAAAGCAAGTTTTTATACTGCAATCGCATACATCTTGGTCGTCCTTCCACTTTTGGTTTTTTTCGTTTTACTTTCAAGCAAATTGGATTCCAAAGAATTTCGAGCCAATGGTGGATTGTTTGGAAATGGTGGACATTTTTATAATACCGGTTTGTTAGGTGAACCACCTTCGACCACATATGGAACTTTCAATATGATTCATATCTACTCACACATGCCACCGAATTCGGGTCCCAACACTGGTGTAAATAACAATATTGATGGATTATCAAATGTCGTTACAATGGCTACCAATGCTGGCCAACAACCATTCATAGGTCAAACACATCATCATAATCATCATCAACAATTGAAGATGCTTTCAACTCAATCACCATTCTTTGTTTCGGCTTATTCATTCGATATGGATTACTTTTCTATTGGTGTTCCATTGTATTTTACTTTTTCTATTCTGATTTGTATGTCATTCAGTTCAAAAGGCGGTAATCTATGTATGTATTATCCATATTTGAATCAAAATATTTTGAATAATAATTTTTCAATTTCCAGGGTGGTTTGGAATGCGAAAAGATTTTTGCTCATTTCTTCTAATCTTATGTCCATGTTTACGAGAATATGCAAATATTTCTTATAATTTCAATGGAATTTTATCATCACCGAATTCATTGGAACAAAGAAATGGTATTGAACAACAAAATGAACGAACCAATCTAACACAATCAGGACTGATAATAGTTAATAATCTGGATTATGATACCACAGATACCGGTGGTGGTAGCAGTGCTGATAGTAAAACTAAACATGGAAAGAAAATTTCAAAAAAATCGGCAATCACTCAACAGCCAGCCATTATTATACCGAATCTGTTGCGTTTAGATATACCAGATTGATCTCAGATTTTTTTTTTTCAAACTCTTCATGTTTAGCAAACTGAAACCTCATATATATTATTTAAGCTGTTAATTATTTAATCAAATTCTATCATAATTTCCATCAACATCATAGGAGATTTAAAAATTTAGAGCTTGTACAAAAAAAACTATTAGAATATTCCAAAAAATGTGTTTTGTATAAAAAAAACTTCAATTATTATTTAAACAAAAGTAGTAAAAAATTTTATGTAAATATTATATTTTATTTTGTTTTGCAAACAAAAAAAAAATTTAGCAAGTGAAAAATTAACTCAAATAAAAAAAAACATAAACAATGATGAATTAATCTATTCCGGTATCTCCATCGACCGTTTCCTGTAACATAAGAACATGAAGTTCAGATTTGGGTGTACTACTAACCAATTGATCAATTGAACGATAATTTCCAGGATCTGTAGTAAAAATCTGTATAAATTTTCATTAAAAAATTGATCATAATAGAGAAATCGAATACGTTTACCATTTCGATGATACCATCATCGAGAACATTTTCCTCTTCCAAAGTACTAATGAATTCTTTCATTTTCGGTTTATTCTTCTTATTAGTCAACACTCTCAATTTCATTTGTGCTCGTTCAATCTGAATGACTTTTTTCAGCTGTGGTATTATCTCCAATGCTTGTTGTTTGGATGTTCGATTTTGTTTAACCGATACATGTATCTGTCGCATTGATTTTTCAATCATTCCAACTGGATATGGTCGTTTTGTTTCTGGATTAACGCATTTATCCGCAATGATTGTAGCGATATCTTTGAATGTAGATTCCAACTGATGTTGACGTTCTTTTTCACTCACTTGTAATTCACCTCTATTCAAGATTTCCAAGCAACATTTCATGTGATCATCGGTTTGAAAACATTTAATTAGATCTTCTTTTTTAGCCACTTGTCCTTTCGATACATTGACAAATACTACTGGTGTTTGTAAAACTTCATCTATATCTTTTTCACTAGATAAAACGAAAAAAAATCAATCATTCAAGTAAGAACAAGTCAAAATAAATTTTACATTTTTTCACGATAAGAAATGACTTTATTTTTATAACATGCAATCTCAAAACGTTGGCCGCATTTTTTCATTCGAACAATGGCCACGTTTGTTAGTCGTTGTTGATTAGTAGGAGTTTTGATCATCTTTTTTACGGTAAATATAATTCCAATTGAAGTCAATAACTTCTAATGATGATGGTGATGGAGAAATCACCAATTCAAATATGCGTGCTCGTTTTTTCCAACTTTACGCCGTCCACTCATTTAAAGAATTTTGTATCGTCATTTATGAATGAAGTTCGTTATTGAAAAAAAAAAATCTTTCAGATCACTGTTTGTTCGTCGTAATATATTTGCTTCAATATTGAAGAAACATTAATGTTTTGTTTTGTAGTCAGCAATAACAGCTGCTTTGTTAACGATAATTAATTTATTTTTAAAATATAAGCTTATTTCTCGAAAGTAATCTGATTCTAAAATATATATTGTCAATTGAAAAAATGACTTTGGATGAATCAGGTTCGAATGTTTTTGGAAAATAACTGAAATTAAATTCTATGATTTATTTAAATAGATAAACAAACGTCAGATGATGGTGAAAACAATCATCAAGAAAATATCGATAATGAAAATGTATCAAAACCAAATTCAACCAAACAACCGGAAGAATCTATGCAATGGACAAGTTCAATCCGAAATTCAGCTGATGACCTTAATAATAATAATAAAGCAGCTATAAAAAGAACTTTCGATCAGATTTCTGAAGGTTCTTCAACATCTACAAAATCATCGCAAAGTACTACATTGAATGAAGAGAATAATAAAATATTAGATGTTTGTAATGTGACCGGTGAAGAAACGAAAGATCAAACAATAAATGATGAAACGTCTATTGTTCGAGATGAAAATTCTGTCGATAATGAACCAGAAACAAAAGAACCCGTAACTTTCAAAGTGGTCTATGCAAAAGAAATCTTTGAGCTTACCAGAGATAAAAATGAAACTATTTTAATATTGAAAAATCATTTGCAAAAACTTACCTCAGTCAATCATAGTTCACAAAAACTTTGTTATAAAGGTAAAATATCTAGGATCATTTTTTATTTTATATTTCTTTTTATCCTTTAATAATTTTCAGGAAATTTACCCGATTCAAAAACACTGAAAGAATGTGGTATAAAGGATGGTGTTAAAGTCATGATGATCGGCTCAAAAGCGACGGATATTTTGGCTGTATCATCAGTTACAAAAGATTCAGTGGTAAAAGAAAGCAAAGAGCCTGCCCCAGCTAAAGAACCATTGTGTCAGCAAAAGGTTTTTTAAAAGATATTTTATTCGTTTAAAACATTTCTTATATTTTTCAAAACAATTATTTAGCAACATAAAAATATCATTGATAAAGGATTACCAGAACATGTTATGTCAGGTTGGGTTGGCGAAGATTGTCCGTTACCACTGGAACCATTGACAGGAATGTTGAATAAATTTGGCAATAAAGTTCGTATGACATTCAAATTGGAACAGGATGAGGTTTGGATATCAACAAAAGAACGAACACAAAAGATTCAGATGACTCAAATCAAATCTGTGATCAGTGAACCGATTGTAAATTATCAACAATATCATATCATGGCATTACAGGTCGGTACAACAGAAGGTTCGAAAATTTGGCTTTATTGGGTACCTGCTCAATATGTTCGAGCCATAAAAACTGTTATATTAAATAGCTAAATACAAGAAAAAAAGCAATTAATCACATCATCCTGGCCATCCTCAATAAGCTTGATAACAACCGAAATCAAATTTTGTGTAAAATTTCAAAATTTCTATCAAACAAAAATGAAAAATATAAATACATAAATCACTTCAATATTTATAAATAATGGTATATGTATTTTTCTCGGAAAAAAATAATAATAAATCCATTCACTCAATTTCATTTTTCGCTTCTTACATTGAACATAAATTTATGTTAATTCAAAATGATTAAAATTGAAAAAGATTCGTTTTTAATTCAATTTATTAATAATAAATGATGTGGTCTTATAATTTTCACCTAGACATATATTAGACAACACACATATGGAAATGAAAAAAAATCAAACAAAACAGAACCGAAAAAAATGAACATAACAAGAAAAAAAATTGGAAAAAAGATTAATTTAATTCGAAAAAAATTTCCTATTTGTGTTATTGTATGTTTGTTTGTTTTAATTATTTTCAATCATTTTTTCAAAGGGAAAGTTTTTCGAAAAATTTTCGTAACCTTTCCTGTCCCGGTTGGCCCAACATTTGTCCAAGACCTTTTTCCGATGATCCACTTGTACGTGCATCATTCGAATCTTTACCACCAACTTTGTATGAGATCTAAAAATTGAAAATTAATGTTTTATTTTAATAAATTATGGCTATATAATTTACCTTGAAGTTATATGGTTGAATATCCGAATAACTTGTATCAAATACATTATCCAATTCAGATTCGGAAGGCATAGCAGGTAAAAAGGCATTCGGTTGGTTCACGATCGATACTATAGATGTTATCTTATCGAACAATTGATCTTCAATGCTGGTCTTATTAAATGGTGACTCATTTAAACCATCTACATAAAATGTGATAAATTAAATTTAATTTTAATTAATCAATTTCATTTCATCTACATACCTTTCAGGCAATTAATTTTCAATGTCCAAACTTCCCAAACTAATGAGTCAAAGACGAATGGTCGACTTTTATTTTTGAGTAAAAATTCCAAACTAATGCTACCAGTAGCCGATGTAGTTGAATATAATGATGATAACGAACGTCTTTGTGCTTTTTTATGTTGTTGAGAGCTTTCAGGTACAATATCCAAATTGAATAATGCAGATGCTGGCCGACGGCCAGTTTGATTTGTAGGATTGGCAGCATTTGAGTATTGATTATTCAATGCTCGTAATTCATCGACAAATATTTTGATTTGATTATTGACTGTTTTTGCCAGATCAACTGATGCCACACGAATGTAGGTAAAATCGATGAAATCACAGATGATCTCTTCGAAACCTAGTGTTCCAATTGAATAGGAATTTTGTTGTTTATATTGAAACTGTGGAGAAAAAGAATATTAATAATTTAAATCAACCATTTCTAAATCATTTTCAAACCTTTCCAAAACATCTATTGAAAATCACAGAATGGAAAATGGCCGATACAATTTCATTGATGCGTTTACCCAGACAAGTCTGTTGATTGATTGATATATAAATTATTAAATTGAATCAATAATTAAATTAAAATTTAATTAAAAACAGAGCTTACAAATTCGAATGCTGTAGAACGTGCATTCATTTCGTTTTATGATGATATTTCAAAATTGCGCACAAAATGGAATTATTATTATTATTAGTGTTGTTTTAGGAATCTTGAAGGATGAAATATATTCTTATTATCCAATAATTCATAAACAAAAAGACAAATTGAAAACCAAAACAATGAAAAAAAAACTAAACAAAGAAAAGCACACTGCGCAAATGTCAATATATTTTGTAACAATAATCACGAAAATAATAACAGAATTTCATATAAACATGATAATTCGTGAATGAATATACGATCGTTTACGATCATCATCAATGATGATCATTGACAACAACAATGAATACCAGGCATGAATGTTGAATAGGATTGTGTAATATCGTCAACAAACAAAAAATGAATTAATCAAACTACTACTACCACCATCACAACCATGAGAACATCATGCGTTTTGTGTTGATTGCTTGATGATTTCGTTTTTTTTTTGGATGGTTGAATTATTTTTTTTTCTATATGCATGTATTTTGGTATCCTCTTTTAGTTTTCTCTTTTTTTTCATTATATAGCTCGTATGCGTTGTTTTTAAATTGAATGCATGGATACTCGATGATGGTGTTGATGATGATGATGATGATTTATATAAAGATGCTAAATCGATCTAACCATATTTTGCTACCAACTGCTGTTTAAATAGATATAATACTACAGAAAAAAAAGGTTTCAATTAGAAAAAGAAACCAAATTAACATATTTAGGAAAAAAATCTGTGGATGAAATGATTACAACGAAATAATTAAAAACAGATATAGATTTAAAAAAAACTGTTCAAACTATTGAAAATTAAAATCAAATCATCATCGATTTAATAAATGTAATGCATCTTGCGTGTTCCAAACGGCCATTTATTAATTTATAAGCAACAGATGGAACATAGCGATTAGATACATTTTAAATTTTATTTTGCAGATTTAGGGAACGCCAAATGTTGTCAAATTGAACATTTAAAATGCTATAACAAACATTGGAGCTGTAATCTGCTGCTGCTGCTGCGAGAAATTTTTTTTGGAAATAAAATTTTTTTCATTTTTTTTCCATTGGACAAGTTTCGAACCAGTTGACCATCAAAAATTTACATTACCAGGATTTTATCTTGTTTGACTAAATTAATAAAATCACTTTAAATATGTTAATTAAATAATTTAATTATACTATTTGAATTATGGGAAACAATATTTAATTTTTAAAATTTCAATACAAGACATTATTTGTACAATAAATTTGTTGTTTGTATTTTAAGGGATTTTGCCATGTCAAAAAAAAGTGCACCGAAAACATTATCGAACGAAAAAATTGAATCGGATCCAAACGATTTGGCTGTGAAAAATCAAAATGACCAATCATTTAGTTTTGTTACCAAACGGCCAGTACGCATTTCGAATGCTTCAACACTAATTTTAGATTCGCCGATTAAATCGGAAATTCCATCTTCATTATCATCATTCTCAATGCCATCATCATCACCGTCATTTCGTAGAGGTTCAGCATTTTGGTCAAGTCCAGAACGTTTTGATGATGATGGATATCATCATCCATTGAAAGGAATAATTTTTAAAATAAAATCAACTATGAAAATGGTACAACCTCGTACACCGGAATTTGATCCACCGATGATTGTTGATGATCAATTTGTAACACGTAGAATAAGAATATCTGAAGCACCTACATTAGTACTCAGTGAACTATCTAGTGATTCGTCAACTAGTCCACCACCATCACCAATACGACAATCGTCTGTTGTTTCGGAGCCACTACTTTCGATGAAATATCAGCAAAAAATATGGACTGACGAAAATCAAAAATTTCATGAAACCGTTGAAGTATTGCCAAAAGGCGATACATCGACTAATATGAAAGTAACAGATAAATCAGCGAAAATTCCATTCAAACAATTAACGGTAACAATGAATGATCAACAAAAACAAGATAATGGCATTAAAAAATTCGAAAAAATTATTACTAGTACACCAAAAAAAGAAATAGTTAACAATGATCAATCATATGAACATATAATAATAGAATTTGATGAAACAAGACGAAGAGAGGATGATGTTGCTCGACCACCACCACCATTGGTTGTTGCAAGTAATCCATCCACAAGTGATGATGGTTCATTACGTTATTCTTCTTATGCTCCTGGCCGTAATATAAATTCTAAAACAAATCTTGATGAGAGTAAATCACGGCCTTTGATGGCTAATGAATCGGAATCGACGAAATTACTACCAAGTCTGGTAGATATTGACGATTGGAATGATCGACAAAATTTGCATACATTGTCATCATTTGAAACAACTTCTCATACAAAAATGATTCGAACAAAACACCTAAAAAGTGGTGGTCTATCATGGCGTTATCCGTCTTATGATGAAACGGGAATTATAGATTCAAAGACAAACATATTGGACAGCAATAAATTTGAAACAAAGAAATTACCATTGATTGAAGATAAAAAAATAGACAAATACCCGCAAAAGTCGTCGGTTAAAATTGAAATTAGCAAAAGAACACCTGAATCAAACGAAAGCAGTAAAAGCATTGATAGCATTCAAATCTCTTCAGTTTCCGATCGACCAGCAAGTCTAGTTGGCACTCGATCAGATCGTCAAAGTCAAAGTAAAACATCGTCGATTGCGAGAATTCAACAACGGCGAAGTCGAACTAGATCAAAAAAATTTCGTGGACCATTAGTTGCTCGTTTGTCTCGACCAAATCGTCAATTGCGACGATTCATTCATAGAATGTTTCATTCAATTATCAATACTCATGATGACGGCAATCAACCAAAAATGATGATTAGTAGTGATTCAATCGAAATTCTAAATTCAATGGCTAAAGAAATCATACGTAAATATGCTGAATATGCTGATCAATTAATATTATATAGTGGTCGTCAAAAAATGGATCGTTGGGTTTCATTTTCAACATTAAATATGTTATTGGCTCCAATATCACATCGAACAAAGCGATCCATTTTCAATATTATTGGCGAACATGGATATTATCATGATCAAAGTGAAATAAAAATCATGAGACAATGATAACAATCATTATTTATGATTTAAGACATAATAAAACATTATTATTTTTTGTCAAAAAAAATATCATAGAAATTATAATATTCGCGCCACAATATCTAATTTAATTTGTAACATTTATTATGAAAGTTTCAATTACGGTGCATATGTTTTCGTATCGTGACAATCGTATAATGAGCATCTTTTCAAGTTTACTTGAATTTTTTTTAATTCAATTCAACAATATATAAACAAACATTGATGATTATGGCATCAACATCAACACAATTGAATAAATCGATATCAGAAGAAGTGGACAATCGAAATTTAGAGGAAAATCTCGAACAAAATTTATCCATTCAAACAAGTGAACAATCGACAAAATTGGAATCTCTGGACGTAACTGAAAATGATTATACAACTGTTGACCATGACCACAAAACTCTCCATGATTCACTACCGGTAAGCATTATCGAAATAGTGCTGTTAAACTAAGATTTTTTTTACACATTGTTTAGGCCAAATCACATCCCATCCAAAATCAATCATTTTCATCAACAAGAGCAGAAGATTCTTCTTCATCGTCATCATCAACATCAACATCATCATCATCAGCAACGACGACGGGTTCATTATGTTCATTAGGACAGCAGCAGCCTACAGCATCATCTCATCGATCGCTTTCAACATCGCCTTTACATCAGAATAGCGAATCAATAAAATCGACAAATGTCCCAATAAATGATTTAGTGATCAATCAATCATCACATACGATTCCAGCACCATCGACAAGTGGTCGTAAGAACACAATGGCCTGTGAAATGTGCAATAATTATGAAATTCAGCTACAAGATATTCAATATCGTGAAGCTGTTTTAAATTTAAAGATAGGACAATATGATAAAACAATAAAACAATTGAAAGAAGATCTTAAAAAAGAGCAGACATTTCGTGGAGAATTGGAAGAAAAATATGTAGATGAATCGAAACGTTTCGAAACGGATATTAAAGTTTTAAGTTCACAAGTAGATGAAGGTCGATCTAATGTGGAAAAAATGACTATAAAATTCAATAAAATGGAAAAAAAAGCCAACGATCTTGTGTCTGATCTGATAAGTCAGATTGAAGCATTGAAAAAAGAAATACAACGTTTAGCATTAGATAATGAAAAACTATTAGGTCGTCATTTGAAAAAATCTCAGGAAATGTCATCGGAATCAATTTCATTGCCTGGAGATCTAGAATCATTACAATTTTATTGCCTACAATTACGTGAAAATCTTATTCAAGCCCTTTATAATCGTGAACATTTAGAAGAATCACTACGTTCGGAAAATATGTTTCTCAAAGAACAACTACTCGGTGAACAACAATCTCGAGAAAATATTGAAGAAAATTTTTCTCATGAAAATGAAATTCTTACATCCAAGGTACATACATTCGAATCCGAACTGAATGATACTCTTAAACAGAATGAAGAGATGAAAGTGGAACTAGAATTAGTGAAAAATAATTTCAATGATCTTTCATTGACATCATCGAATCGGATCAAAGAGCTAGAGGAAAAAGTTGCTGAATTGTCTACAATCAAAGTATGTCGTGATAGTTTTTATTTCTTGTCCTTTTTTTAATAAAAAATTTTTTTTTTGCACACACACTAACAGACAAAATCCGAATCTGATTTAGCCTCATTACGTGCCAAGGTTCAAAGTTTACAAGTCGATCTGGATAATTCTGAACAAGTACAACGTGATTTTGTGAAATTATCACAATCTTTACAGGTACAATTGGAAAAAATTCGTCAAGCCGATACCGAAGTTCGTTGGCAACATGAAGAAGATGTAAATGAATGCAATGGCTGTAAGAAGACTTTTCATTCACGTAAAGAAAAGGTAAAAAAAAAGATATATAAATTTTCAATTTCATTAATCTTATATTTGTCATATTCTTGATCAACAGATCAATTGTTTGCATTGTGGACGAATATTTTGTCTTGAATGTTGTTCAAAATTGATTCGAAGTGGACCAAAGATGCGTACGTATAAAGTTTGCCAAGTGTGCCATACATTGTTGGATAATCAAACGGCCTGTTGGTTTGTTAACGAAGCGCCGCAAAGTCCAACGTAAAACGCCATTCCATCCTATATTGATCAACCGATGAATCGAATCAAAATCTATGGAGAAACAAAACACATTTCGACAATAACGAAAACTTGTGATCACACCTATTACCATTACATGCATTCAAAACAAGTTTCTAAGTCATCCAATTATTCTATACTATAGTTGTTTATTTTTTTCCGATTTCAAGTTTGAATTTTTTTTCTTTTCGATTTTTTTCCCAATCCTTTTCAATTTGATTGTTTGATTTTTTTTTTCATTCTTTGAATTTTTGTTTTTGCTTATTTTATAATTGTATGGATAAACAAACAAACAAACAAACAAATTAATGAATCAAATATATTTGACTGATGATTGATTTATTTTTTTTTTTGAGAAATTATTGCAAATACATAATGTATACCATACTGATGGGTGGTTAAAATTTTCTGTTTATCTTGTTTCACTTTTACTTTCATTTTTAAATGAAATTTTTTTTTTTTTTTTTTGATTGTCACCATCATCACGGTGAACATCATCGATTATTATGTCACCAAACAAGGAAAACAAACAGGAAAGGGGGGATACATGTACCATTTTGTATGTATATATGAAATAATATATGAATGAATCGATTTGTTCGGTTGGATTCAATTTCATCATTGTTCATCCAATAACAACAACAACAACAACAACAACAGCAGATATACTGTACTGATATGAATGAAAAAAAATATATTTGAACAAAGACAGTTGATTTTCTTCATTACGACCATATTTTTGTCCATATCTTCATCAAAATCAATATAGCTTATCATTATTGTTAGGTTTTTTTTTGATGAAATAAGATATTGTGGTTTTTGTGGTGGTAGTAAAAGAAATTGATCTGAAACTGGTCGATCTAACAGTTAGGAATAATCAGCTTTGCTCGTTATGATTATGTATATTGAATGATTGTTAATGATATTAATGTCGTTATCATCATCATCATCATCACCATCAACGAAGAATGTAACCGCAAATTTTTTCTTATTGAGATTTTTTTTCCAGACAACTCTAAATTCTTCGTTTATATGATGAAAAAATAATTTTTTATTGTTATTTAGCATTGTAGTCAATGTAAATTTTCAATAAAAAAAATGAAAATGTTTGAATACCATCCACATGGCTATAATATTTCTGCTATGGCCATCGTATTTAATTCAATTCCACATATTCGATTGACAAATGAAGGTCTTATACCTTTGTCAAATACGACATTCGATTATGGACGTATCGCTTATCTGAATTCATTGTTGATCACATTCATCATACCATTGTTTATTTTGTTGATCATTTTTTTCTTTTATATACTTTACCTATTCATATTGAGATATTTGGAACATTATCAATCGTCATCATCAGCAAAGAAAAAATTTCAAACACAACAACCATGTCGTTTGATATTGACAATTTTTGGATTCATATCCATTGGTATTCTGTTGTATGGATTGATTCTAATGCATCAAGGTAATTTGATTGATTATTTGTAATTCCCAATTTTTTATCTTCTTAATTTTAGGATTTCGTAATACAAGCAATATAATGGATGAATTTATTTTGGCCAGTAATAATTCAAAACAAACATTAAGAGAATGGAATGATTATCTACAAAAAGGACAATCAAATAATAATTCATCAATAATGCAAACATCATCGAATAATAATCATCCACAATATTATCTTAAACGTTTAAATGAAACAATACAATTCTATACGAATGCATCATCAGTAAAGCGTATGAAATGGGCATATAATATCTATCAATGGTCAACTTATAGCTTGATTTTTATGAATCTATTTGATATATTTACAATGTTAGCATATTGGTTAATATTGGTTATATTTGGTTGTTTTTGCCGTTATGGTTATAATAGTGATAATAATGATAATGATGGTGATAATCGTTTGAAACGTTTCATATTGATCACATTCACAATGGTCATTCTTCAAACATGGATGTTCGATTCACATCTTGTTATAACGATGGCAAATTCAGATTTTTGTCTTTCGGCTAAACAATCCATAGCCGATATGGCTGTATATAAATTTCCAGAAAATAATTTCACTATGCCAATGGTAAATTATTATCTGGATTGTGATTTACCAAAACAACTAAATCTACAGGAACATAAACATAATGTAATCAATTATCTGGATAGTTTTGATCGTTTGGAAATATTTAAATTACCAGTGGGAAAAATAGTGACACAGAATTGGAATTTTATTGATTCAATTAAAAAAAATCTAAATGAAACATATCAAACAATGACCTGTGAACATTTGAATGAAATTATCAATCGAGGTTTATCACAATATTGTAGCCAACCAATAGATGGCCTAACATTATTAACTACTGGACATTTTATACATTTTCTATTGACATTGATCATGTTATTCATTGTTACTTTTGCCTATTGATGATTGATAAACATTTGAATTATATAAAATTAAAAATCTGTTATTTTCGATCTAAAGATTTTTTTCTCTTCCCACCCATTTGGTTCTATTTTTTCCAATGGAAAAAATTTATTGCACAAAAGATAGTTCACAAGACCATAGAGACCATTAGACAAAGAAATTTCGTCGTAGGCTCTAAAAGTCGATAAATATTTTTTTTTGAGGTCAAATCACAACGATATATATAATTTACCATTTGACCTTGCGAGTTTATCGGATTGAGACCAGATGTGTTCGATTGGGCCAGACCAAACTAGGCTAGACTAGACTAGACCAGATCTATACAGACAGAAAACACAGGTCAAAGCCACATCATTTTTAAACACAAACATTGACGAAGGAAATGAAAACAAAGAGAATTAAGAAAAAATAAAAAGCTAGACCATTTTTGCCTGCAGGCAAAATGGACATTTTCTTTCTCCCAAACAAATTAAGACTGCTATATGTCACCAATAAAGGATCCATACAATTGATAAGATCCACCAAAAAAAAAAACATGGACGCCATCTAATGATGAAAAATATAAAGATATAATTTGCCATTATTAATACTGCTACTCTACTATATTGTATTCCATTGTATCCACTTCAATATGCAACTGATGATGATACTAAATACAATGCTACTACCAATGAATTTTTGGTTTCTATCCTAACATATTATTATTCTTTGTGTGTGTGTGTGTGTTCCAGAACATTACTTACAAAGCTTCTGTTTCGTTTTGTGTGTGTATATATGATGATCACTGAGAAGGAGGAGAATATATATACAATTTTGTTCAATAGCTCACTAACCTCAACATCATCATTTTTTTTTAATGTATCTTTTCTGTTCTCTTCTGAATTGTATACTAGAGGGGATTTTGCATTTTTTCTCTGTTTTTATGTATTACTCACCTAACTTCTCATAGCTCATTTATTATTCCCTGTTTCTTGTAAATGGTTTCATTTTTTGTTTTTAGCTCTCTTAATAGTATACACATAACCCATCATCATCATCATCATTCTTACTATTCTCATCATCATCATCATCCTCAATATCAACATCTACGAATTCATCGATCAGCCCGTTTCTTTGTCTCGTCGTCTGTGTGATGTTGTTTGGTCGTTGTTTGTGTAAATTTTTTTTTTGATTTTGAAGAATCGGTCATCGAAAATTTTTTTCCCTCCTAATAATTGAAGGGAAAAAAATTCATCATCATTGCGATACACACATTCTTTATTTTTAAGCCATCATGAAATGATTGAAAATAATATCTCAAGAATATTTATTGAATATTGTCATTTAGGTTCAAATCATTGAAAATTATTTATTTCAAATTCACATTGAAAATTTATCATCATCATCATCATTTCATAATCATTTTGAATTTTTTTGTTGTTTTGTCAAAATCGTCATGACTGATGTATTCAGCTGGGGTGATAGTTCCCCTGAAGATCCATTCGACGATGATTCATGGATGTCCGAACCAGAATCGATTTGTAATAACTGGCGAGGATGGAAAAAGACAACACCTCCAAACAGTTCAAACGCGACAAATGGTTTCAGTTCGATGGCCTCAACATCGAGTGGCCATCAAAATCGATACCATCATCATCTACATCTACCAGCTAGCAGTAGTGGTAATTATTTTTATAATATCAAATTACAATATTAATTAATTATATAATAATTGAAATCGAACGGAACAGGAATGAGTAGACAAGATCGAGCATCTACAACAGATGAAATACGTCGATCATTAAATTTACCTCCAGTATCGTATATAAACACAACAACAGCAGCAACCAATACCATAACTAATAATCGTACTGGTGTTGATGGTTCTTCGCCATCATCATCATCAAACATCAACAATAATCATTATAATTTTGATCCATCCGCTTCCTCATCATCTTATTCAGCTGCAGCAGTATTCGCAGCATCTGGATCGAATCCATCACAATCAGAAAATTTCAACACTGATTATAATGGAATTTCAGGTTCGTATTTTTGATTTTTTCTTGTTTAAAAGAATTTGAAACTTTGAAAAAAAACATCCATCATGTTGGTGGGTGAGTCGAATTTTTTTTTGTTCGCCTTGTTCACATCATTTCGTTATCGTTTTTTTCATTGTTCAATTTTTTTTACTATGTTTGCTCATTCAATTTCTGTTACCCTTGGTTAGGGCCGACGACCTATTGCCTTTAACCCCTCAATTGCTTGCGCTTTCTATTTTCATTCGTTTGTTAGATGTGTGTGGTGATGTGTGTAGTATGAAGAAAGATAAGTAGGAGAAAAAGGACAAGAATTCATTGCCCGCACACACACACACATAGACAGAGAGGGAGAGTTAGTGAGAATGATGATTACTTTTTGGTCACACATCAATTTTACGTAAAAATTTTTCTGTTCTGTTCAACTTTGCTTAGTTTGTTTTTGTGTCTTTGTGACTGTGTGTAAGTTTTGGGATGGGCTAGTCCATCAGTCACCAATCACCCTCATACACACAACAAGCACATCAAATATAAAACAAACCCGACTAAAAACGATTGGCGGCATAGGCGATATTATGCAATTGAATATAGAGGGGAGAATCATCATCATTGTCATAAACGAAAGGCAAATAAAATTATTCGATTGAATTGAATTTATATTGTTCATTTCAAGTATAAAAAACATTACATCCATATTCTTTTTTTGTTGGTAAATAGTCGGCGCAGCGATGCGATTCAATGTAATGTAATTCGACAAAAAAAACAAGCAAGATTTTTATATGTGCATAAAGCAATAAGTTATTCAATACACACATATACAAAAACTAACGATAGACTGGACCGTTGAAGGTTAAAGATGCGGTTTGAAAATCATAAAAATATATCATGATCATGTCTGTTTCCAAGGGGAGGATCCTGTTCTGTACTAATATCTACATTAACACGATCCTTATACTAGTCTTGTTTTTTGATAAATCAAAAAAATGATGATTCTGAAAGGATTGTAAAAAAAAGTTTGGAAAAATTCACTTTTTTTATAGACCCTAAGGGTATTTTTTCTGATTGTATCAACGGCAGATTGTGATTAATCTAGTTTAAGCATATACAAACAAAGATAATAATAATAATAAAATGATAAAATGATTCATACGACCAAATTTGGAATCAATTTGAATTGAATTATTTTTTTTATAGATAAATTGTGAATGGATCAACGAATGAAAAAATCCATATTTGAAACACATTGAAAGATTTTGTGTTTTCTTTTTTTTTTGTTGACCGCATTCATGGAACACACCTGGAAAACAGGTTTTTGATTTATCATCCACAATCAAATAAAATAAAAGACACAATTCGAATTAAATAGATTGTTATCATTGTTATAACTAAGTTATCATGATTATGATAGATTCATTATTATTAATTATTTTGGAAATTTTTTCTTATGGACAGGAAACGATACACAAATGTCATGCTGTGGTGGTGGTGTACCAACATTAACAGAATTAGCAGCACGTTCAGTTGCCTATCATATATCATTCGAAGTTGTTGAACGTGTTTGTAGTCCGGTACCTGAACAATTACAATTACGAATAGCATATTGGAGCTTCCCGGACAATGAAGAGGATATACGTCTTTATTCTTGTTTAGCCAATGGATCAGCCGATGAATTTCAAAAAGGTGAAACACTTTACCGATGTCGATCGATTCAAAGTCCATTACAAATTGGTTCGTATAATTTCATCAAATTTGTTACGATATTGAAATCGATTCTATTTCTTAGGTTTTCACTTGAGTGCTACGGTTGTATCGGCATCAACTAAAACCTGTACAGTTGCTGTAACATTCGATCGTTGTCGTATAACATCCTGTAGTTGTACATGTGCATCACCATCATCATGGTGTTCACATGTGGTAGCCGTTTGTCTCCATCGTATATATCAGGTAATTATCAAGTACTTGGTCTGTTGTTTTGCCATGGTTTAATTTATTTTTTATATACGTTTGTTTAGCCAAACTCAGTCAGATTACGTGCACCTGTTTCTGAATCACTCACTCGTTTATCGCGTGATCAATTACAAAAGTTTGCTCAGTACCTGATATCGGAATCACCGCAACAGATTCTTCCTACGGCTCAAAGATTACTCGACGATCTATTACTCAATGACAACAGTGATATCAACAAAGTTCGCGGTGCTCCAGATCCAACCGCAGGTGCACCAGCAAACGAACAAACAAAATGGTGCCTCGATGAATTTCAACTTCATGGTAACATCCGAAAGATTGTCATCAAGCTCTGCATACCATCTCCGATGGTATATTCAGATGTCAACTATCTTTCATCAGCAGCACCACCGGCAGCGGCAGAATGGTCATCATTATTACGGCCATTACGTGGTCGTGAGCCAGAAGGCCTTTGGAATCTATTGTCAATTGTGAGAGAAATGCTTCGTCGACATGATCGAAACGCCATCCCATTGTTACGAATTCTTACTGAAGAACTACTAAGCTGTGATCAAATATTAATCTGGTGGTTTACAACCAATGTCTCTCTTCATCGTGGTTTTCCTCCGTACAGTTTCTCGCATCACGTTGGATCCAATGGCGGTAATAACGGTGGAGGTTCTAGCTCGAACAATCGTTCAATGCATTCTAACATTTATGCATCACAACATGCATGTTGTTCACTTTGCGATGAAATCGTTGTCCTTTGGCGTTTGGTTACGCTAAATCCTGCTCATTCATATTCCGATACTCAAACATTGTACGATCAATTGAAGGAATATCATTTGAAAACTTTGTCAGCTATTCATCGTTTTAAACCTTCCAGCGCAATTGGTTATAGCCATCTTCAAAATTTTCGTTCATCAACTGTCAATACAGCTAGTGTCACTAATACAAATAATATCACGAATTCAAATGGAAAATCTTGTGATTTGGCTATATTCTCTGGTTTCAAACCTGCCATGATTAGCTGTTTGGTAAATTGGGATAATTATCCAATACCTGGAGTAACAAACCAAAAAAAATCACATCGATATTATGAACCATCTTTACATGATCAATTAAATTCGGTCAACCATGCCATCACCAGTACGGCCATCTCACTAGGTTTAGATCCTATGATAAGTTCATGGCCTACGGCTGCCAAATCATCATCATCATCAGTCTATCAACAACAGCGTAAACGACAACAAAATTGCCAAACACAATCGGATCAGTTCAGTGATACAAACAGTAGTGTAGGAAATAATAATAAAAATGTCCGAGAATCCAGACGTAAAAAATCAGATGCCAGTATTTCCAATTACCAAAAAGATAATTGTGAATCTGAAGATTCTGGTAATCAAGAATTTTGGGAACGCTTTTCCGTTGCCAGTAGTGATGATGATGACAAAAACGCCAACAGTAAGTCGAATGAAAATGAACCAGGGCCATCAGGTTTGCAACGACATTCATCAAGTGATCAGCAACCAGAAGATTCAAGTCAAAATGTTCAACAAAATGATGATGGTCAAGGACATATTTCCAACGAAGATTATCAAATTTATATTTATAACGCTAATTTGGATAATCAAGTCAAAAAGGACAAGACTGATAATTGTGGCGATTCTGCTAATCGGCAAGTAAATCAAGCCGAAGGTTCATCAGAAATACAGTCGCAAAATTCACATGATTATCAATGGGATCCTATTTTATTGCAAGCCACTATGGTTAAATCTATTGAAGATCCTTTCGAAATTTTGTTTGCCCGTGCCGAAGCTCTATACGCTCATGGTTATGTAGAAGAATCATGTCGCTTGTCAATATGTCTGGCAGAAGAACTTTTAGGCAATCCACCAGATTTACAAATGGATCTTAACAGCCAGAATATAAACAATTTAACTGGCGAGCAAGCTACAACATCGAATAACCAAACGGGAAGAAATCATACGAAACGTATCAATCGTGTTCGTTTTAATCCTGCTTTACATCAAGTATCGCTATTAACATCGGCCACTCTCTCAAAAGCCGCATTTCTATGCCAAGTTTTATCGGAAAATGAAGACTCACATCTGTTAGCTTTTCAAGTTGGTCTTTTTGGCCTCGAATTGATTCGGCCGCCTGCATCGACTAAAGCATTGGAAGTTAAATTGGCTCATCAAGAACAAGAATTGGTCAATCTATTGAAAAAGATTCCATTATGTCCACAAGCTTTGTATGTTTTACGTGAAAAAGCCGAACAATTACGTGATGGTCGACTAACAACTCGTGGTGAAGCACTACTTCCATTATCATTAGCTAGCTATCTTTTTGAAGCATTTCTTCTCTCCAATCAGATTGTACCACCACAATATCGATTACAATCAGATGAACGATTATTATTCGATGCTGCCGTCGCAGCAATCGGATTGAAAGCCAAAGTTTCTGAAGCAGAACATCCATTATTATGTGAAGGTACCCGTCGTCAACGAGGAGATTTGGCATTACAATTATTGGTTCATTATAAAGATAATAAACAACGTTTAGATTTAATCATGGAAAAATTGCTTGATCAAGAAATACATCCCATTTTCAGCAGCAGCAAAAAACAACAACAATCTAATATCTATTCGTCTTGTTCAAATCAAAACCTTACAAAATCTACGACACCAAATGTCCAGCAATCAACAGTAACGCCAAAATCACAGAATGAAACAACATCTGAGTCGGCGGTTAATGATTTAAATTCACCATTATGTTCAAATCAAGAACCATCCACAAGTGCGAAAAATTCAACACCAAAGCAAACTAACTCAATCGCAAACAACGATCAAAAATCTTCAGGATGGAATATGATTGAAGAATTTCAAAAGTTTAGTGTACATGCAAATGATTCAGAATCGATTAATCCTAAACAAAATGATAGCAGTACTCTCGATACTACATCTTCTGATAATTCACCAACCGTAGCTCGGCGAACTTTATTTCATAAACAGGGCAAAGTTAATTCTGGTTCTGACAGTAGTAGCAGTAGTGGCGAAAGTAGTAGTCCAAGTGGAAGCAGTGATTCATTGTCTGCCACTTCCGAAACTAAAAAATCTCATCATCAAGAAGATTCTAATTCTGATCAAGTTATAAACACTTCTACTCCAATCAATGCAACAGATGCCATTGCTAGTCCTGTTAAATTTGCGAATTCTAAAAGTTTACTCGCTCCTTCGGCTGGACCATCAGCAGCAAGACATCTTATGGATGCTAGTGCTGGATCTCCATCTATTCTTGCAACTCCTGGTTCTTCAACAGTTCCAGCCCCTGGTTCACTGCCGCCTACCACGTATCAATTATCGGCCACTAATTCTGGCTATAATCCATATCAATTATCAACAGGACCAACTGTAAATTCAAGTGTTGGTCATGGAGGACTGCAGCCATTCAAGTCATTACGATATAAAGGCAAACGTCATTATCCAGTTATACCAAATCAACCATCAGAAGCATCTGCTCATTTTATGTTTGAATTAGCAAAAACTTTATTGGCTAAAGCGGGTGGGAATAACACGACCGTTTTGTTCACTCAGCCACCATCTTCTCAAAATTGTCGGGCCCCACATCGTTTGTTACACATGTGCGCTTTTCAAATCGGTCTCTACGCTCTCGGTTTACATAATGCTGTCGCACCGAATTGGCTTTCAAGAACCTATTCTTCACATGTATCATGGATCACTTGTCAAGCTATGGAAATTGGTCATCAAGCTATTGAATTTTTAATTGATACTTGGGAAGGTCATCTTACACCATCAGAGGTAGCTTCGTTGGCCGATCGAGCATCTCGTTCGCAAGAACCATTAATGGTCAAAGCAGCGGCCGAACTGGCTCTTTCGTGTTTACCTCATGCACATGCATTGACGCCTAGCGAAATTCAAAGAGCATTAATTCAAAGTAAAGAACAAAGTACTGCTATGCTTGAACGAGCTTGTTTGTCCGTCGAACAAGCCGCACAAGGTGGTGGTGTATATCCCGAAGTATTATTCGATGTTGCCCGAAAATGGTATCAATTGTACATCAACGAAAAAGTCAATGAAATTGAAAGCGTACAGCGAGAAATGAATTCAACGAGTAATGATAATGAATCTTGTGCCGACACCGATCTACAATCATCAGCTAATGCACAAGCAACAAGTTCAGATTCATCCGCGTTGGATTCAATGTCATTCATCAACATAATACAACAAGAATTCTATGATACTCAAGCTACCGCTAACCAGCAACAAGGCTCATTTGGACCACCAACTATGGATCCGAATAGTCAAATAGCATTCGCTTCTGGACATCCTATTCATCATCCAATGATGGATCCTTCGATGGCTGCCTATTATCAGTCACCAGCATCAATATTACCAGGACCGAATCTTTATTCTCCTATGAGAGATATGAATCAATATATATTCTATCCTTCGCAACAGCAACGCAATCAATTATATCAGCAAAGACCCATTAATAATAAAAATCAACAGCCCAAACCAATGTCTCATTATTATCACCATCATCGAGGTCCTTTCCCATCTCCAGCTATTATATTCGACCCACAACGTGGTTATCATTTCAATGGAGGTCAAAATCCTATAACATATCAGACAACCTTGGTTGGTCCAGGTTTTAATCCACAGCCGCCATCTCAATCAAATTCAAACAATTCAAATGTAATGAGACAACAATATTATCCACAATCGGCTGCACTTCTTTCATCACCAGTTGTTCCAAATATTAATTCTTCCGGTTCGATTCCTGTTAGTGGTGCTAATCAAGGATCTACTATTGGTGGATCGCCATTGTTTACATCCAATGGGAGTTATTTCTATCCGATCGCTAATTCTGCACAGCCACCAAACATGCCACAGATGATGGGTCCAGCTAACACTACACCTTATCCATTCATGGCTCCATTTTCTCCAATACGGGGATTTGTGCCACAAAATTTTGTTGCTACTCAAGCAAATTTATCGCGAGTAGATCAAAGTTTTCGAGTGATAGTTATGGACCAATTGGCTCAATATCAGCCCTCATCGACATCAAATGGCTCTTCATCTCATCAATCGAATGGAAACGGAAGCAATTTTAATCATCATTCACATCATCATCATCATAATTTTAGTCAACCAAAGACGCAAACAATCTTGGGTCCAAGACAATTAGCTTACATGCATGCAGCTTATCGTGTCGGAATGTTGGCTATGGAAACATTGGCACGTCGAGTTAATGATGATAGACCGCAAGCGAAATATGCACGAAATCCGTCGTACGGTGAAGATGTTAAATGGCTATTGTTAATAGCCAAAAAACTTGGTATGTATTCTTATTTCCTGACGCTAATTAATTATAATTTTTGTTTTTCATTCCAGGCGCTCAGTACGTTCAAGAATTTTGCTTATGTACATTGTCAGCGGTCGCTTCTCCATTTGTATTGTATGATATCATATTGGAAGCTGCCCAATCCATCTTCCAGAATGCGAATAATAATACTGCTTATATACATACGATACGATCGCACATATTGACGCCACTCATACATAAATGTCAAATAATGTATGTTTTTTGAAAGAAAAATTTATTTCATTATATTCGAATATATTTTTTTACCATAATAGGTTCACATCGGGTATCTATTTTCAACTAATGAACATTGCATCTAGTGATTATGATGAATTTATTTCCACGTTACGAACAGCAAGAGCCGCTTTTCAGATGACACCTGGCGGTCACTTGCAATTCAACGATCTTCTACAGAAGCTGAAACGTACAAAAAGCTGTAAAAAAGAATTATGGCAACAGATTACCAATGCAATGCAATCAACATGATAATATAATGAAAGATTTTTTTTACACTTTAGATTTTTTTTCCAATCACATAGGAAATGATTTCTTCTCTTCTAATTTAATTATTATTATAATAATAATGGCATCATCATTAACATAATCGTGATATATTATAATTCATACGAACACAGTAAAAAGTGAATATTTAGATTGGTAAACATTTTTTTTTTCAATAACAGTCTTCGATCATCGTGATATATTTATTTGATTGTCAAAAATTATGAAAAATATTTGATTCATTTATTACTTGTAGAATATCCATTCACTAGATTTTTAGAATTATTATAATTCAATTTGATTTGACATCATCATCATCATCATCATCACCATCATCATCTTTATACATAAGATCCATTCATATGATAGAATTCAAATAAATTACAATTGATCATAATAAACTATAATGAATGATGATGATTCAAATGGCTTTGATAGATTTTTTAAAATAATCAAATCAATTGTATGATTTTTTTTTATAATCAATTTTAGCATTTTATTTTGAATTTTTTTTCTCAGTCTCGACTTTTTTTTAGCGCCATTTGGATTCAAATTCTTTGATTGAATTTTTTTTTTCACGTCTTCATTTATAATATTGTAATATTGTAATAATTTATTTAATCATAATAATTTATCAATCATTGTATCCAGATTCATTAATTTATTCATTTTGTTTTTTTGGATTTTGTATATAGAAAAAAAAACTTATTGACATTGTAATAACAACAATAATGATGAAAAATGATGATTTATGGTGATATATAAATTTCTTTTTTTTTCTGTTTTTAACAATGTAAAATACGTTTTTTTGTTTATCTTAATTAATTGATTATATATATTCATTCAAATACATACAAAACATACAATCATCATGCATTTTTTTTGCAGTAAATAAAAATTTATTTTTTATCAACTAGAAATTCGTTTGACACCTTTGATAGAAATCAAATAGCAACAATAATAGGACACAATTTTTTTTTGTCTATCTAGCTTTGCTAAATTGTCATCATCTTTATAATGATGATAGAATGTAAATTCTCCTAAAGTTAGAGTTTGAACAGCAATTTTTTCACAATTTTTATTCACATGATTTTGAATTAAATTAGCGTTTGTCTATTACAAACTTCACCTTTAATTATAAATGATGATTATGGAAAAGAAAATATAAAGAAGAAAAGAGTTGTGTCTGTAATTGTGTGTGTATCATTATGATTTCAACAAACATGATTGTCATCATTGTGGTTGATGCTTAAAATAAATGATGATGATGATGATGTCTATAGGAATATTGATATGGTCACCAATGTAGTAAACCTTTCCTTAATTAAATTTTCTCTACATTTCTTTCATTTGATTAAAGATGAAGATACTGTAGTGACCACGAGAATAAAACAAAGAGAAAATAGTTTTACATGAAAAGACAATAACGACAAAATGATGACAATAAATGACAATAATAAATTTTTCGTTCGTAAGTTTGTTTGATTGATCTTGAACTTAATTCAAGCTTATAGAACAATGGACAGACAATAAAGGAATAGATTTTTTTCTTTCAACAATCAAGGACATTGTGATGTATAGTTGATGAAACAAAAATATCCATTCGAATGGTATATAGAATATTTTGCATTTTGGCGATTCTTGTAAACAATCCAATTAATTGTTAATGATGATTATTAATAAATGATTTATCAATAATGAAAATAAATTCAAACACGGATCATTATCAATTGAAATAAATATAATGTATCATTGTAATAATCCATATATAATTCGTGGTCGGTGGGTAAGTACAAGTCCTGTTATTATCGTTGTATTTTTTCTTTATGTTTTAATTCCTCCGGTCACTATATTATTATCGTTAGGTTGATTAATAACGTGATTATTTCGTGTTTTCCTATTTTCGATATCGGTTTGTTTTGTTGTTTGCGGTATTATAATTGGAGCATCAGCTTGTGGTCTATCTATATCAAATTTTTCTGTACTGAATGTATGTTTGTGTTTCTTTCGTTTACTTGTGATTGTTGCACTATCATCAAATCTTCTCAGTGATGATTCAGTTTGAATGGAAACAGAGGATCCGGTTGCTGATGTGGCTAAATTTCCAGGTGTAGATGGAACACTGGTTGGCGGAATCGAAGGATTTCCTCTTGATACTTCACATACACAGCAAGATGGTGCGAAAAAATTTTCACTCGAAATAGATTGACCAGATTCATCCAATGAGATCAATTTTTTCTTTATATATTTTTGTCGACATCTTGATACAAAACCAAACGGTAGAGATATCTGATTTGAACATGGGGCATTTGGAGTCCTATGAGATCAAAACATTTATTTGGAAACATTAACAAAGTTTTGTTCATTTAACTTACATGCAAACCTCAACTTTAATTGCTTGTCTTAAACGACGATCGCGATCAGCAAGGTTGACGACATATTTCCATTGTCGACGATCATTGAGAGCTGCTTTTGGCTCTAATAATATCGTACGTGATGGACATAAAGGTTCGATCGAAATGGGTGCTTCATCCGCTTGCCGTTTATAACGAGAATGACCGCGAGCACCGTTACGCCCGCCATTATGATTATTATTATTGAAATGATTCGTTGAAAAAGATTGATCACCATTAGGAGAATACATTGATTTTACAGAACCATGAATCTGATCGTTGGTATCAAATGTTCTTGAATTACGATTAATAATTGGCGTCGTTGTTCCCGTTAAACCGTTTGGAATGGAAATGTCGCCTATTGATCGAGGATTATTTTGGATGACTGGAAATACATTTCGTGACATCATATTACGGAAATATTTCCAATCTAAATTATGGTAATGTTGAACAACTGAAGGATGTTGTTGTGGCTGTTCATGATTAATAGTGACTGAATTCATACGATATCGATACTGCTGTGACCGATATGGTTGTTGTTGTTGTTGCTGCTGTTGCTGTTGGTATTGATATTGTTGACCTGGTGATGGTGGTGGTGGTGGTGAAGGTTGGCGATCATATGGTTCTGAATATGGATATGATGGATAAGTATCGCCATATTCTTCACCAAAATCATCTTCGAAATATGGTTCACTATCATTTTCACTTTCATCAACGAATTCGGAAGATATGTTGAAACGTTTAGCTCTTGCCATCTTTACCACCGAAAACACCTCATCTGATGGATAATAGGGAACTTTGGAACAGACGGTTCGTCCAGTCTCTGGACAATACTGTGGCTGTGGTTGATATTTTGGTGGCGGCTGATAATAACTTTGTTGGTATGGACCATTTGGAATATTCCTTTCAATATTAATAGGTGACGGATGCACGGGTAAAGTGATTGAATAGGAAGTAAATGTTGATGGTATTTGATAAGTGTTAACAGAAGGAGGTGGGGATTGTGGTTGATAGTACCTTGCTAAGCCATGTCTGTATGGAGGAATGGAATTACATTCCATATAATGCATTAACATTATTAATACTGAGATTATTTTCATAATTATCGAATATGAGAATAATGTTTTTGTTGAATTTATTGATGCACATGTTTTCCATAATTGCAATGGCAATGATGTGATGGTAAATATCAATGATGATGATAATAATAATAATGATGATCGTGATTGTTGTTGTTGTGAGAACGATGATAATAATGTGGTTGACAATGATTTCATGGCTATCCACGATGGTGATACGATCCAAAATGAAATGGCAGCTAACGGCAATGATCGAAAATCACAACCCTGATCTTTCAGTTTCGATATCAATGAAGATCTATGATTGATTAATGAATTGTTTGCTTTCATTTTCATTTAGAAAAAAAATTGGTCCATTAAATTTAATTAAAATCAAAATAAAAAGACCACGACATTTGATTTTATGACTTTTTTCATCGATCGATGGGCGATTTGTTTAGAAGATGATTGCCACAATAGATTTTGATTACACTGTATCAGTGCAGCCAATCAATCAATCAATCAAAATACTCAACTTGAATAATCAACTTTTGTTGATGATACCTAATGACTCATGCAAATACGATGGTCATGTTGATGATAGCTCAGAACTACGTTTTCAGCGTTTCAAACAAGCTTCATCAATTATTTGAATAAAAATATTTAAAACACAGGAAAAAAAATCAGTGGCCAAGTACAATCGGAAGAATCTGTCATTTCATTTCATTATTGATTGTTTTAATTCAATTGAATGAGGAGATCACCACCAACACATTTATAATGTTGCTACTTGAAATTCAATCAACAATCATTGTATTGATACTCAACAAACAAGAAAAAAAAATCCACTAAGGATATGACGTCCGTTTGTATTCGTTATCAAAACGACACCAACCTAATCATTAACGATTCTTTTATATTATCGTCGTTGATGTTTACAAAAAAAACTCTACAAATTATGCTTTGAAAATGAAGAGATAGTCGCGCAATTTTTTTTTCGTTTAAGTTTTATGATGTTGATTTGACGATGGATGGATAGGATTATTGATTAAAATGGACACGTTCGAATTGTTCATGTGAATGAATCTTGTGGACAGTCAGACATTTAGCCAAATGAAAACAGAAGACTTTCAAGAAATTCAAAAAGCCGAGGCGTATGTAAAGCAATTGTAATAATCGTCAAACACAAACACAAAAACAAACGGACAAAATTTTTTTTTTTAATTCATTAAGGTTGAAATAAATCGAATGAAAAGAAAGATGCCATTGATTGAGATCGCGAGAAAAAAAAAAAAATGTACGTATACGCGCGCGAAAAAAAATCACATCAGAAGACTCACGCGGAAAGAAAGAAATGAACGAATGAAAAAAAAAATGAAGATCAAGATCTTTCAATGTTGTTTGCAGAGCTAAATTGTGATCACTAAAATTAACGTGTTTGTGTTTGTGTGTATGTGTAATGTCAATGAATATGGCGGCAATCATGGAAGAGAATTAAGTTCAATAGGCGTCGAGGTTGGAAATGATTTTTTTTGGAGAAATATTTTTTCCGAATATTATTATCATTATCGGCTATCATGATCCAGGACAAATAAATTGGGAAAAAACAAATTCAATCATTCATTCAGCTGTCTGTTTAGACAAATGGCCGTATGCAAAGAGAATAGTGATGATTATGGTGATGGTTTTGGGCGTCACAAATGATCAGCATGTCCATCTTCATCATTATCAGCTATGCACAACAGCTTTATTGGCAATAACCTCAACTTCAAGACACCGTTCACATTCACACATCCTGTGAGAGAAATATTACATGCGAAATCAAAATTTGCTCGTGATATAAACATCACTGTTTGAAAAAGGCGTCATTCGAAAATAAATATCGAAATATGACACCGCGATCTAATGTGAATGAAAAAAAAGAAGAAAAATTCATGTTATTTGATGAACACAATAGGAAATGAAATGGTAAAATCAGAAAAAAAAATAAATGTTTGAGAGAAAAAAACTAAATAAATGTCCGAGATCTAACGGACAAGATTAAAATTAATTATCTTTTTTTTCTAGAATGTGCTCTTGTTTTAAGAAGAAAAAAAAATTGCCTGTCGAATTCATTATTAATTGAAAAATAAAATCGATTGGAATGTAAAGGTTATTTGGAAAAAAAATGGCAACATAGACTGTATATAGGATATGATTATGATGATATAAATCGTCACATTCAAAATGAAATTAAATGTCGTATATAACTTCAATAAATTTTGATTGAAACAAATGATACCATGTGTACATGATGTATCATTTTTAATATCTTGAAAATGAAATCTAACATGTTTTGAAGATTTTCGATATTATATAAACATTTTGTTTTTTTTAAATTTTGATATATCAGATGGATGACCATGATTATCCTCTGATTGTATCTGTTGTTTATCATTTTTTAAGCGTAATAAATCGTAGTGGTCATCATCATCATCATATAGAGATTTTGGCAATTATTTGATTAAATAATCTGAAATTTTTAATTTCAAATCGATTTATAAGCGAAATTGAATTTTTATTTGACGATGATGATGGATATCAACCAAGGAAGTTGTTGTTGCAAAAACCGAATAATAAATCATGAGAATAAAAACATTGATGACGGCCATTGTGTAGCCATCATGATCGATTGAAGAAATGTCAACATTCAATGTAAAAAGAGAGAAATGAAAAAATGAACTGGGAACCCATTTTCCTCAATTTATTCAGACTTGATCTGAAAAACTATATTTATATTTTTACGGATGTGTGATTATTATTGATAAACAACACACTATGATGAACAAAGGTAAATATATCATACATTCAAATCATCAATAGTGTTTGTCCGTGAGAAAGTAAAAAAAAAATCCAATCGATTATCAACATTGTTATATTCATTTTCAATGATGAATATAACGATCGATTGATGGAAAATTTGAATCGTGTCGAATCTAACGTATTAGGTGTATTGTACTTTACAGGCATCAATCCAATTTATTTTTTTTTTTTGTTCCAATATGCACCAAAAAATAAAAATAAATAAATAATCCATGCATTTCCTTGTTCCAACAATGACAACAAAATGGCTTTAAAAGTCACACAAATGATAGATTGAAATATAATCATAGAATCAGGAATCCCAAATTTATTTCCATCCTCTCTCACACACACACACACACACTATATACATCCAATAGCTATCAATTCTTTAAATGAACACCAAAAAATTCGATTAATTTTCCGTCCGTTTCAGGATAGGATTTACAATAAATGATGATACATGTTCGGGCGAAAAACTCTTTTAAAGTTAATCTTTTTTCACTGTTTTAAAAATTATAGAATCGAATAGCTAAACACATATTGAACGGGATTGTATTATATATTCGATTAAAAAATGGGCTTCAACAATCATGATCACGAATGTTAACAAACGTGAAATGATTTGATTTTAATAAATTATAAATTCCATAAGATAATATAATGCAGACTTTCTTCAATTAGCACTAAATATAATTGGAGTTTGCGTTGTTACAGATAATATAATATAATATAATAATGAGTTAAGAATGTAAATTTCAAATTCATTTTGAAAATCTTCCATTTCGAAATAAAATGTTTGCTAATAAAAAATAGGGCCACAATTTTCTAAAATATGTGAAAAAAAGTCCATCCAATCAATTTTATTTACTATTCTCACATTGGTTCGATTTTTTTCATATTTACCTTCAAGGAAATAATTTTTGTTGATAAAGATAATTGTTTATTCAGTGATTATATTATATAAAAAATATAGATAAAAATATATTGTAAATTATAACGTTACATTATTTATGAATATTACATCACGATCACACATGTTTTAAAAATCGTTTCTCAAATTTAATAATAATTGGATTTAATCCATTTCATTTAATTGAATAGATTTCTTTCAATTTATAATAATAATGTCTTTGATGATTCAAGTTGCCAATTGTATTGCCCAAGCATCAAGCGATAGCAGACGAATTGTAGGACAAGGTAAATGTTCAGACAATAATGATCTAAAATGTTCATTATATAATTTATCAAATTCATTAATTTTCCTTATTGATTCGTTCAGTGTTGCTGAATTGGTCACAAGTTCGTTATCGTCGTGCGGTAGCGTTCCGTGAATATCGCCAACCTCATTTCAAACAAAAACTTTTGCTAGCCGTTTGTGAGCCTGTTTTTCCACGATCGACAATACCATTGGAGGAAAAATGTGGCCATTTACGACCACCACCACCTCGATCAGATCATCCATATGATATCCTACTTGCCGCTGATATGGCCCAAGAATTAAAACAATCCAAATTATTATGTTTATTCCACCAGAATCAATTTTCTAGATCTGATCGAAAATTATTATCAAATGAATTTGAACATGAAGGAATGCTGTTACGTTATTATAATCGTGATATTGCTAGAATTTGCCTTCAAGATACACCTTACCAACCACTGCTTCATTTTGCTATCGGTTACCCTTTTACCGTCCTATTTGCTCCTAATCTGGAAAAAATTGATAAAATTTTCAAAATATCACGCAAATACCCTCAAGCAATTCTCATGTGTGCTTTGGTTGAACATCGACGTTTGATTACCAACGATCAATTGCAAGAATTGGCAAAATTAGGGGATATTGATCAACAACGTGCCATCTTATGCAATACGTTAATGATAGGACAACAACAAATGATTTCGACATTAACACATCATACAAGTCAGCTAAAACAGTTGATAAATAGTCGACATCAAGAACTGGAAAAAAATGATCAACATTCTCAAAATAGATGATTTTTTTTTGTAAATTGTTCTATATGATTTTTATTTGGAAAGATTTTCATTATCTAGATGAAAACAATGATTAAATGTTATATTAATTAATAATAATTGATATACTGTTAAATCAATGATATATAACAGCAAAAAAAACCGGAACAGCAAATATTGGAAGAGAAAAAGGAAGAATTGCTATCATTCAAATTGAATGTGTATCCAATTGTTGCATCGATGTAAGGATAGTCTCATTCTATTAAAAAAAAATTAATAAAAATTATGAAATTAAAAAATCAACAAAAAAGACAAAAAACTAAGAAATGTTGATTACCTTAAGACAAATATCTTTGAATTCGTCAAACGTTACATAACCAATAGAATTTTGATCCAATTTAGCAAACATACGACGAGCATGTTCTTCATAGGTTTTGTAATTATGTGCAGGTGTAACATGGAATCCAAGCAAAGCATAGATGGCTACGGACATTTTATATACTTCATCATAGGTGATACGACCTGTCGATTTTTCAAATGAATTACCATAATGGAAATAATTATTTTTCAATATTCTTACCATCATGATTAATGTCATACAATGTGAATATCCATTTTATTTTGTCCGTCAATGTTCCACGGCAAAGATTCGATAATGCCTTGGCATATTCCAGGAATGTGATCGGTTCATTACGAGATAATTCATCGGCAAACATTGCTTGAAACACATATCGAGCATATATAGATGAATCGCCTAATTTTTTAAACAGTGACAATCTCTCATCTAATCCATTAAAAAAAAGTCTTAATAAAACATACCTGCTTGTGGAAAGAATTGTGAATAAATATCCTTAAAGATGGGCTCGTTCAAAACGCCTTCAGGACAAGCCAATTTCCAGCCCCAATATAGTAATTTGATCTCTTTTTTAGAAAATGATGTTTTCTGACAAAGTACATCGATTTCCTGTTGCCGTCGATAGATAAACTCTTGACCACCACAGATTTCATTGATCATTTGTTCAAGCTCATCAACTTTTTCTTCTGTTCGATTGATTGATAGGTTAATATTCAATCATAAATTTGGATAATTCATTACCTTTTTCGAATGCTTTATGTAAGAGATCGATGAATCGAAATGATAGATATTGGAATGGATTTGTTTTGAATTTGATCTGCTGATAACGCCGATCCACATGTTGACCAATGTTTGTATTATTTGCTGATGCCGATGAATATGTTGAAGATGAGCGTCGAAGTTTTGCCGATGGTTGATCGGCCTTTCCATGATCTTGTGATGACATCATCTTACTACTTTGATCACCATCTTGACTATTTGATGGAAATTTATTTCGACATTTACGACGAAATTGTTGCTGTTGTAGTATACTACGATGATATGACGAGATAGGACGACGAGGCGATGTCGATGACGACGACAATGCGAATGTGCTCGTATTCATGTCGTCAGCTTTATTTATTATTATTGTATTTGAGCTTCCGATACCAAAATTCGTTATAAATCGTTTATATTATGTGCGTGTATATATTTTTGCGTGATGCAAGCAAAGAATTTAATAACTTGGCGCGCAATAGCGAACATACGGTAAAAACCTAATATTTGTGATCAGAAAATTGTTAAAAGTAATATTATATATTGAAAAAATTCTCAAATCAGATTCTATGAAAATTCTTCGTTCACCATCACATGTTGCTGTTGTAGTATACTACGATGATAGACGACGAGGCGATGTCGATGACGACACACACACAAAAATATATCTAATCATTCTCAAATCAGATTCTATGAAAATTCTTCGTTCGCACATGTAGACACACACACACAAATATATCTAATCAAGCGTATTTTTCCTATCAAAAAAAACTAATGATAATAAAAGGAACTTAAATGAAATTGCTTCATTACTTTATAGGAGAAAAAATAGATTCTACATAAGTCAGCAATGTTTGAAAATCAGAAAATCAGGAAAAAAACCGAGAAAATTGAATTGATAAAAAAGAAAATAAGAAGAAAGTAAACGTAAAAAAGTGATACAATATGTTTGGTAAATGAAATAAGAGTATCGAAAAAGAGACTATTACATCACCACCACTATGGCGTAACGTGTAATTTGTAATATGATAAGTAGAATAATTTTGAATATAAATTAGATTCAAACATTAGACCATCGTTCCTTTTTTTCAATTATTTTATTTCATCTTTGAATTGAGAAAAAAAAATCGAAATCACTGTGCATGCATCAATAATAGTAGTTTTTCTTTCGAGTAAGGGGGTGTGATAAATCGATTTTTTCTCACTTTTTTTTCAAAATTCTTTTGTGTTGGTCGATATCATATCATATGTGTTTTTTTTCTATAAATAAAGAATCGATTTTTTTTTTGCTCCGTTGAAGGGATTTAAAAGTAAAAGAATGATGAAACTTTTGGTATCAACTTTTTGATTCCAAAATTTATGATAAGAGTTTGTTGCAAATGACATATTTCAAATAGCAAACATAAACATACCACAAACCTTTTATCGGAGAATTTTTTCTTCTTTGTTGGGCAAACTTTTTATTTTTCTTATATTTCTTTCTAAACAATTGTTTAATAATGATTGACGGTTGATTTAGTCTCTTTCTCTCTTGTGTTTGAATAGCCCTATAAATGAAAAAAAATGAATGAAAAATAAAATGAAATTATTATATTATTATAGTATATATTCAATAATTGAATGATTGAAAACCAAAAGCAAAAGAATTTTCTTTAAAGATTTATAGCATCATCATAAGATCAGATTTTTTCTTAAAGGTTATCAAACATCGATTGATACATTTTTAATGATTATCAATACTACAAACCTTATTAAGAATTCAATTACTATGAAATTAATTCGTTGTTTGTCATTTGATTGTTATTTAGACATCCTCATCGCTATCATTTTTTTTTTGTTTAGTGAATTTTATTTTTGATATTACACTGGTTTTTAGCACACTCACATAGTATAGATATAAAACAAACAAACCAAAATAGTAAAAAAAAAATATAACCTAAAGTACATAGGGTTGAAGAAAATAGAGCGATAGCTCCCCATTTCATAGAAACATAATTCTTGGATCGAAAGAATCTGTAAATTTTATTATATAGCATATATAGTAACAAGTTTGGTCTTTTTTCTATAATGCAGAATAACCAATGAGGGAAAAAAACGAATGAAAGAATGTTGTACGTTGAAAATATTTAGGAACATATTGAATTTCAACGTATATGTACCATCATTCCAAATATCCGGGTCTTTAGTTTGGTTCGTTTCTATATAAATAAGTGGAAGAAGGTTTATATGGGTGTATATGCAAGTATACATGTGCAAAGAAAGTTGGTGGCAAAATCATAAATTCAATGGAATTATAATGGAAAAATCAAAAAAAAATTGAATTAATCATGATTATCAAAATATATTCGGATTATCATTTGATATAAACAATTGACAAATATATTCAAAAATTTTCCATTTCTCATAAAAAACAATTTGAATTTTTCAAAATCTTGTAAAAATTTCCTTGAACAAAAATGCAAATAAAATGTTTCCGAAAATTTTTTTTTCTTCTTACAATCTATTTTCTCGAAATTTTTTCATTGACTTTTATGTTCATCGAATGATATATTATTGTATTGATAACATGAATCTAATATCTATGTACCTAATTAATATTAAAATCAATTGTCATTTCATAATTTATTGAACGAAATAATTTCGAATGCAAAGAAGAAGAAGACTAAAACATGGCTCAAGAAATGAAAATGACGAAAAAAACATCTAATCGTTTTAAAAGTTTTTTATTTATATTATATCATGTATTCAAAAATTTTATTTTATTTTTTGTGCCTAATCGATTAATGCCAAAAAATTTCAAAAATGTCAATGATCAATGTATTTTAATCACCGGAGGTGGTAGTGGAATTGGCCAACTAATGGTAATGAAATTTTTGAAACTTGGTGCCAAAGTTATCATCTGGGATGTTAATGTTGATAATCTTGATCGTACACGACAAATGGCCAAAGGGTACGATGAAAAACTTTTTTGCTATCGAATCGATTTGTGTCAAAAAGATTCGATATATGAAACAGCAAAACAAGTTCAAAATGATGTCGGTCCAGTCGATATTCTGATCAATAATGCTGGCGTTGTAACTGGCAAAAATATTCTTGATTTGAGCGATGAACAAATTCAAAGAACAATGAACGTGAATGTGATATCACACTTTTTTACCATAAGAGCTTTCTTACCCAGAATGATTGAAAGAAAATCTGGTCATATTGTTACAATAGCTTCGTTGGCAGGTGAACTTGGCGTAGCATTGCTGACCGATTATTGTGCTTCTAAATTTGCTGCCATTGGTATGGAACAATCGTTGCATTTTGAATTGGCCAAAGCTAATCTCGATAGTCAAATTAAAACTACTATAGTTAAACCATGGTTAATAACAACCGGAATGTTTTCTGGTGCTCATTCTGATCTCATACCGATGTTTAGTCCTGAATATGTAGCACAAAAAATCGTCGAAGCTATCCTTCTTGAAAAATCTGTTCTTGTTTTGCCATGGTATTTAGAATATATGGGAATTCTATTAAAAATTTTTCCCAGCAAATGTTTAATACCCATCTATGATTTTTTGGGAGGATTCGAATCCATGGATAATTTTACTGGAAGATAAGAAAAAATTGCACATTGAAAAAAATTGTTGAAAACATGAATTAATTAAAAAATGAAAAATAAAAGAACAGAAAATAATGATAAAATCGATCAATTTTATTGAATTCTTTGTTTTCTGTGTAAAGAAAATGTGAATACAATCATTAATTACGATTTTTCTAATTAAATTTTTTCTTTTATGTAAATGAATAATGATAATGATGATGGGCCAGATAATCGGTTGGGAAATATGGGAGCATCAGATATGAACATCTATATATTTCATAGTGGATTTTTTTTTTTTGGTTAGGACCAAGTGCAAATTAAAATAAATGATGATGATGATTTTATCAGCAAACAAATGGATCATAGAACGTCATTGGATTTGAATCGAAATGAGAATCCATAAAACATCGATTGTATTTATATCGATGATGATGATGTTAATAATGGTAGTAGCATGATGATTCTATTAGTATGAAATTCAGTGAGTTGTTTTTGCCCATACCACTGCTTATCGATAGTCGGACAGACAACCCAAACAACAGATACACAAAAAAAGTCTCATCATTATTATTAGAATTGTTTATTGCTGAATCCTTTGTTTGATTTGAAAACGAAATCATCATTATCATCATCATTCTGTAAGAAATCCATTATTCACCATCCGTTATTAGCATAAGTTGATCATATCCAAGATGATGTTGATGAATGTAAATCAAATGCATCTCGAAGATATTTATTCTTCGGATCTGGTCGTTTGTTATGAAGCTGTTCGGTATGTTTATGATGATAGTTGAATATCGAAAATAATTTTATATTTTTATCTTTAAAGACGTGTAAAAAATTGTGTCATCGGTAGTAATCGTTTGAAAGGATTAGTGTTGGAACAAAATGTTAGCGAACGTTTGGTTCAGCTCATGGAACCGACAACATCTAACACTGATATTAGTCGTGAAGCGATGTTAATAATAACAAGTTTAGCTAAAGGAACTGAACAACATTTAAAAACGATTATTGATGCTGGAGCTGTTCCACAATTGCTACGAAATACACAAGCTGAAAAATTTGAATTAATTGAAGCTTCTCTTCGCGGTCTTCGAACCATCTTCAAATCACGTTTAGCACCAATTGAATTGATATATCAGACCAATGATTCAACCCCATTACCCATCGATCAACCATTACCATCATCTTCAAAAACCACAGACACTCATAAATTATTTCAGAATTCAAAACTAGCACATCTATTTGCACTAGCTCGTCGCAATATATCACCCTCAAATTATGTCATCAAAGAATGCATTGCCAACATTTTGGCCTCCTCTTGTCAGGTAATAACTGTAGAATTTTATTCTCCATTAAATTAAATAACATTTTATTTTCTACACAGTCTACTGAACATCAGAATATAATGAAAGATTTAGGCGCAATTCAAATAATAGCATCATTTTTACATCCAGACAATCGTAATGCCTATCAAGTAAAATTAGCTGCATTGAACTGGTTAGCTCAATTGTGTTTTGAAAATGAAACAGTTTCATTGTTGGTAGCTCAAGAAGTTTATTTGGGTCAATCATTTCTGGACATGTTATTCGATTTGATGAGTGCTTTACAGACCTTTGAAACGCAATTTTATGCTGCCAAGTGTATGACTTATATTTATCGTTCACAAGCTATGGATTGTCAAGATAGGCGTCTACTTTATCGATGTCTACCAACATTAATTTATTTATGTAAAAAAGACAAAGAATCTTCACTTCGTGCACAAGCAGCTGAAGAATTAGCATATTTGATTGATATAGATGTTTCTCTTCAGAAAACAGCTAGTATTTGTGATCATTTGATCAATTCATTGGCCGATATGCTCCGACAATCTTCCAATCTTTTCTTTGCAAATAATTCTCGTGCTACTATTCCGGCAGCCGGAGATAATAGTCGCAAAAGTTCAATCACTTCTGATAATATCGCAACAATGACAACAATGCTTATAGATGAACCGATGGATACCACTATATTAAGTAGCTCACCAATTCCACCGCCCATTTGTAGCGTTAATATGATGGCTTCGACTGCCGGTGAAAATAATGAAACGAATGCAGTTAAAAATGAACTGCGACAAGCAGCATTTAAAGTTTTTGCTTCGCTTGGAGCCAATGATGAAGATATACGTAAACGTATAATTGAAACAGAAAATTTAATGGATGAAGTAATGAATGGTTTAGAAGATTCAAATTTAAAAGTTAAATTAGCTGCATTAAGATGTTTGCACTCATTGTCACGATCTGTACAACAATTGCGAACCATGTTCCAAGATCATGCCGTGTGGTTACCATTACGAACATTGTTACAAAGTCCGACTTATGAAATAATTATGCTGGCATCATCTGTGCTTTGTAACCTATTGCTAGAGTTTTCACCGAGTAAACAGGTAAATATTTGGTTCATTTATATATCAAGCCCAATAATGTGCTTTTTATTTTATTATGTTAATAGCATTTTTTGGACCGATTTGCTATCGAATTATTATGCGATCTCACCAAACGTGATGATGTTCAACTACGGTTGAATGGTGCTTGGGCATTGATGAATATGGCCTATCAAGCTGATGAAGACCTAAAGACACAGATATTAAATTGCTTGGGAACAGATCAAATATTTCGTTTGCTTTCCGATTCCGATGTGAATATTCTAATGAAAACTTTAGGTTTACTTAGAAATCTTTTATCGACAAAACCGGTATGGACAATTGGGTTTAAGACTTTAGAGTTTTATTTAATTTCTTTTGATTTCAGCATATTGATTTGATTATGCAACAACATGGTAAACAAATAATGCAGGCTGTTATATTGATCCTTGAAGGTGAACATTCATGGGAAGTAAAAGAACAAGCATTATGCATTTTGGTCAACATTGCTGATGGTAACAAAGCTAAAGAATTTATAATGTCAAATGAAGATGTTCTCAACAAATTAATTTCATACCTGTTGAATTCGAACGTCAATCTTCAAAAATCTGCCGTATTCTGCATCATCAATTTGGTTTGGCATGAAAATGAAAATTCAGCAATCAGGCAGGAGAAATTGATAGAATTATCCGTGCCCAAGATTCTACAACAATTACTTCAACAAACACAGGTATCACAGATAAGCTCATCTCAACATGCATCATTATACGAAAAGGTCAAAACAGCATTACAGGAATTCAATTATTTCAATAACATCAACAATAAATAACCTGATATTTCCATTTTTAATCATTAGTTGTATTTTTTTTCAAAATAATCGTTTTATTATTTACTCGAAAAAATATAACAGTTATTTTGTACTTTTTGAAAATAACACCTTGAGAACGATGACTAGTTGGTTGAAAAAAATATTTTATTACAAACCATAATTGGTTAGAAAAAATAACTTTATTTACAATTATTTTTTTGTTTGTTTCTGGAATAAGTTGCCAAACATATTCCTTGTCCTTGGCAGTGTTCCGGCAGGAGACATGAATCACAAGTATTGGCCAAAATGAATGGATTTGTAAATGATAAACATGTTTTTTGTTGAGATTCACTAGAAATTATTGGAACAATATCTTCAATATCATTCGAAACTAGCCTCGATTTAATTTTACTTTGTTTGTTATTATCATCGTGCTGATATTCAGAATGAAGGCTAGCTGAATGTTGTTGAATACCCGTATCGAAAATTTGGTCTGATGGTGTGGTCAATTTTCGGTATCCAGGATTATTAACTGATCCTGATTCGAGACTGTCATCTTCATCCGAATTGTTATTGATGGTTAAAAATGTAAAAACGGATATCACAATCAATATGGATAAAATAACAAATACAATTATAAAAAAATAAAACCATTTGTCATCGACTTGTGTAGATGAGATTTGTTTTTCACTATCATCCTGTTTGAACGCCGGAAATTTTGTTGTTTTGACAACAATTTGATCATGTTTTCTTCGAAACGCTAACAATAAGGATTCAAATATTGTTTGTGATTCGATCAAAACAATGGTTTCATTATTTGTCGATAAATCGATCAATTGAACTTCATGCTGATCCTGAACGAAAATCCATTGTTTATGATGACCATTAATATCTTGATTTGAAAAAACTGTCAATTCCATCACCGATGATATTGATGATTTATAAATAAGATGAGCTTCATTTTCACTTTCAATCCAATAATCACCGGAAAGAATATTACTTGATTTATCTGACCATATTATACGATGATTTTCCAGATCTAATGTCATCGCCACAGGTTTATGTTTATAAAAGTCTTTTGTGCAAATTTTGTTTAAATTTCGCATATCCGAATAATTCACACTACATATACGTTTCCATGATTCAATCCAGAATAAAATTTTCTGTTCTTGATCGACTTGTACGTTTTTCGGATGATTCGTTTGATTGAATGATTCTAGCCATTGTATTTCATTATTAATTAATGATTCATTTGTGATTTGATAGATATCTATTCGATGTCGAAGTAAATTCGATAAAAAAAGCAATTCGTTTTGAGCATCGATAGTTAGATGAAAAAAATTATCATCTTTTGGATCATCCAATAATGGATTGGAATCTAATTGTATTGGCTTTATATTTTCAAGTCTGAGTAGCATACCACAATCCTTTTTATCTAAATTGTTTGGCCTGATAATGGTTCCATGGTAAAGCTGATAACTTGGAACATCGAACCAAAACAATTGGAAATGTTCTGATGATGTTTGCTGATAAATTGACATACCAGATATGCCATATTGTGTGAGATATGCATGACGAGTAGAATTGACCAATAATGGACTCGAGTGATGAATTGGACAATCCAATGACCAAAAACGTATGGAATTTACTGAGCTTAAAAGTAGAAATGTATCATGCAACCATTCGGGCTGATTCGGTATATCTGGTAAATATATGGAAAAGTTTAAAATAATATATATTTTCAATGTGAAAAAGTTTACCATAAAAATTTTCCGATTTATCCACATTCATTGATTCATTGAATTCATATTTTGACTCGAATATTTTAGATGCCAAACTGAAATTTTGTATAAACGTTCTGTCATCAAATGGATGGGTTGAATTTTGGCCCCATATCATTGGCAATAAATACCAAATGATCAAAATGCTATGAATCAAATTCGAAGACACTTTGGGCATGATTTTTATTTTTGAAAATATGATTAAATTTTCAATATATGATGATGATATTGATGGAGGATTTATGTTTTCTCGGAAACAAAATTACGTTTTGATATTAACCAGAACACAAAGATACGCAGATGAACATCAACCAAAAAAAAAAACATATCACAAATTTGGTTGAACTAAATTTAGTTATCACAGTTTTATATTTTCAACATGAAAAATTGTTTATCATTCATAAAAAGCCGATAACGGAGGAAATGGCGATGAAATATTGTTTGGGAGAAAAAATTTCGTTTTATTATCAAATCAAATGAGAAAACATCCTTTCAATACATTATGGAAGTCGATTCCAAATAGAATTAATTTATATTTCACAAAGACAAACTTTCTATTTCAAAACGCAGGACTCACTGAGTGATGTATTTGTGGCTTCACTTTCAAAAAAAAAATCACTCGATCGTTCTGTATGAAACAAACTTTATACTGGAAGACCAGATTAAAAAAAAATCAGATCATCAAATTTGAGGTGAGCATCAATGGGAAAAAAAGATCAAGTTCGAGGAAACGAATGAACGAAAAATATGATTTCGATTTGGCGGTGACCGCGCGCCGTATATTATAACATTCACAAAAGCATGCATGCATGCATTCAAGCAACTTAATTTTTGTCCTCGTCGATTTCCAATTACAAACATCATCACACATATATTTTACACCGTGTATTTTTTTTTTTTTTTTGTTCATCTGCAAGCAACATATATGTCGCCGCGTTATGATCAACGTTGAGACGATTTTTGGTTATAATGTCAGGATCAGGAGAAAATGTGGTACGAATTTTATGTGCACATGTGCGCAATATCATCATCATCATCATATATAAATGTGAATTTTAAATGGATGTACATGCATAGAATCTGTATCTCTTGTGTGTTACCGAAAAATAAACACTCAAGATGTATGGACTACGTGATTTTCATCGTTTCTTTTTTTTCATCTTGGCGCCATTTGTTTTTAAATTATGTCATGTTATTTTTTTTTTTCACCAAATTGTATTCATTTCATCCTTTTTCAAGTTTTCTTTTCAGAGTCCATTATTATAATTGATGTGGGATAATTGGAATCCAGATTAATATATGTGAAAACATGGTCAATGAGGGTAATTTACATTTGCCTTAGATTGAAAATACACAATAATTTTCTTGTCTTTGAAGCATAAAATTTCTCATTGATGATCAATGATCATCATTCAGACATATAATTGGTGCGCCTTTCTGCAAAACGATCATGGTAATGATGCCGAGCATTACAGATTTAATGGTGGATATCTGGTCACTAACATGTACGATGTCCAATGAAACTTTCAGGTAACTTTCTAATTTCACGCTATCGATCAATGATTCTAACACTTACATTTCTCAAAGGCCTGAATTGGATTGGATTGTTGGAACAATTATTCGGTAAGTCGCATATTCATTCTTCATATCTAATCAAAGACTGATCCATTTTTTATTAGGTTGATTTCTGAAATTTTACAATGTTTATTTAACAAATAGAAAAAAAACGAAAACAATCGATTGTAATAACTTATTAGATAAATGTTACAAAATAAAATACATGGAAAAATAGATAGCATAAGTAAACAAATACAGTAGTGATAGAATATAAATTTACCTGATGAATAATAGCAGCGGCCATAATGAAAAGCAACCATCATCGTGATGATAAGACAGAAAAAATATTTGCTGAATTCACATTCATTTATCGATTTTTTCAACATCTTTCATTTTGACATCATCGATTATGGCCGATGATGAAGGTCGTGTTGAAATTTCCGTCGCAACTTTTTGTAGCTCACCAATAGCTTGGTTTAATTCTCCACCTGGTGATTCATGTGACTGATCGATTGTTGATACCTGTGGTGCATTTTTCGGTTGATGATCTTTTTTCGGCAAATCTGTTTGCAATTTATCTGGAAAATTTTGGCGATAAGCCACTAATTGTGGATAGTTTTGATGGTCAAAGCCACAATTAGCTGACGATCTTGAACCACGTCCATGACAACATGGGCAAAGTATTCCCTGGTCAATTGGTCTTCGAGCCATGCGGATAGGAACTTCACGAATCATTTGTCGGACTTCATCAGGTGGTGGTATGATGGTTCCAGGATTCATTTGCATTGACGTTGGTAACGTTTGCCTTTTTGCTCGTTCCAATTGTTCACATTGTTTGGATGAAAAGGATTCCTCGGAAACTGGTTGTCGGCCAACATATTCAATGGGAATAATTTTTCCACCTGTTGGCTTGGGTACGGGCATCGTATTTTGCTCTTCTCGTTGAATTTTAATAAATTTTTCCTCTTTTGGTCGATCGTTAGCATCAGTAGTATCCACAGTAGGTTGGTTTAAGAATTGGATCGGAATTTCTTGTTCTTGTGGTCGAATTTGTTGTTGTTGTTGTGAACAGTTAAATGGAGCTTCAATTTGCAATAAGCCATTCTCAGCAATGAAACATTTCATATTTTCCATGTCAACATTGGCAGGAATTAGGATACGTTTTGTGAATTCGCATGATTCAAATTCCCATTCACAAGAACGTTCATGACGGCCAGTAATTATAACTTGACGAATTTCCAAATCCATTTTGATTCGTATCTCTTCTGGTTGAAATTGTGGTAGTCCGAAAAATTGTAGATAACGATTATTGTATTCAAAAGGTGGTATTTGGCCACGATTTGATGAATGTGAACAAGGTCTAGATGACTCCATTAAACCCATCATTGATGCAGCACGGGCCGATGCTGAGGCTCGCGTAGGAAGATACCAGAATTCATTTTCCAGTATTGGTTCTATTATTGGTTCGACCTGTGATATGATAATCATTTTCGTTTGATAAATGATTAATATAATTATCAATAATCAATATATAATCAAGGTAAATAGTTTGAAAACAAAATTGTATGAAATTGTGCGAATGTTTATAGCCTTGAAATTGGATTGGATGGTTACAGGTGAAATTAATGCCAATAAGCATACTCCACCTAGTCGTATTTTTTCTATTAGCATTTAAAGTCCCGTATGAGAAGAAAAGTAGCGGCATTGGCCATAATGATACATTCGAATAGCAAATTCCTATCCACATATTCAATTACTAGAATTATTGCTCGATTTTTTCAGCAATTTAATTAAACCATTATAAACGTCTACCACGATCCGAAATTTTGATTCAAATTAATGAAAAGGCGCCAATTTTTTTGCCATTTCTTAATAATCAAACAATGCATATACTTGATTCATATGAAAATTCTCTACCAAAGATCATAAACCATCAATCAATCGATCCAATTCCCAATACTAAATATAAACGATTGATTTGTTCAAAGGTATTCGAAAATAAAAGTAAATGTTTGAATGGAGAACAACCCGAAGTATTTGCGTTTGATCAAATTATTTCTCGTCATAACTGTTCATTTCAATTTGAACTTCTAGATGATTTGTATGTTTATTTAGTTTATCCTATTTTCATGAATTAATTATCATTATTATTTATTATCTCTTCTTTTATAGAATTATACTTTTTAAAGCAAATAATCATCATATACTTTATCGGATAAATCCAAGATTTTATGATGAATTACAACCGAATAGTTTTGTTGAAGAAGTTGCCAATCGTATTGACAGCAATGTTCGTCTACAGAAAGTGATTCGTTGTCAATTTTATCCATATGATCTTGGACTATATTCATCTTTGACTCATGATCGTCTAAGCATATTCGATACAGTTCGACAGGAGCTTGTTCAGACATTACCAAATAGACAAATGACATATACAAAGAAATTCTACCAAATGGATTGGAATCCATTAACTTATGTGTCGATTGCACGTAAGCGAATTTTTTTCAATTTTTACTGATACTAATATCTATTCATTACAGTGGCCTGTGATAATTCCGAAGCATTAATATTTGACCATAGAACGGATCATACATCGCTCTCATTAATCGTAAATGATCCATGTACAAAAAATAATGAATCAACCAGATGTCAAGTGGTTTATTGGTCCCCACAAGATGAAAACGGTTTGTTTATAGGCACCAGAGCCGGTTCCATCATCATGTATGATATTCGTCAATCAAGAAAGCCTTTAGCGGCACATTTATCTTCACATTTATATAGACATCCAGTTGCTCATATTTCAATGTCGCCGGATCATCGAAACATAATAACAATACATCCAACCTATGCAGATAGGAATATATTTCGATGGAAAATCAAGCCGAATATAATGAATAGAAATCAATTTCTTAAAGAAATGCCGCTTTTTGTCATCAAAAGGCTTTCACATTCAAATGTTCGTAATTCATTCAATGATTCATCGTTTAGGAAAAATGAACGTCACAAATTGGAAGATATTCATTTCGAACATATGCAGCCATACATAACAAATGAATATGCTTCTTTATTCAGTCGAACCATTAATGGACAGATAAACAACTTGAACTATGCATTTGAAGAGTCAAAAAAATATGATGACGAATCAGTTCTTTCACGAAATACACATTTTTGCCCAAAGAAGTTGTCATTATCATCCACTGATGATGATTTTGATCATCATCCTCGCTCAACATTATTTTATGGTTATGGATCCACAAATAAGGGCGATGAACCGATTCCAGCCATATTCTACAAAGCAAACAAAGTATTTTTAGTGAGACGTTTACGATTTACAAACGATGAAACCGATATACAACAAAATTTTAGAAAAATTCAGTCTTTTGAAAGCGAAGATAGATGGTCATCAAGCAGTGATTCCGAATAATTTATTGTGATAAACAGTATCATCAACAATATTTAATGAATTAAATAATGAATAAAAAATTATAAACAAAAAATTCGAGAGTTAAAAAAAAAAAAAATTCTATTTTCAATAAAAAAAAAAAAATTAAAATTGACAGAAAAACAAAATGAACACTAAGCTCGAATCAAAAAAAAAGTAAAAAATAAATGAATGAAATGACTAGAAATGTTAATCAAAAATAATTTAATTTTTTTAACGAATGATTGGTTATAACAACTGTTGTTCGTGGTTATCATCGTCATCATCATCATGGATAATGGCTATGGAATCGGATTTATTTTCTTTGGTGTCAACATCTTCATCAGATGAATCATCATTATCCAATGGATCAATTAGCGGTAAATGTATCGATAATTTTTTCTCTAAATTAACTCGATTTATCAGCATTTTTGACATTAACGTCTGATAATCTGTTTGTAAGAAGAGTTTCCGCTTCATATCTAACAAACGTTTTTCTTTATCGATATCACTTTCTGTTTTAGGTTGCATTTTAGCCAATTCTTCTGAATAATAATATGGTGTATCCAAATATTGACGAAGATATTTCGGAAGTGCCAGTTCATGAATTTGATCTCGTCGAACGAATTGTAGAATTACAAATCTAACAAATAATTTATGAGTATGAGGAAATAAACATGGTAAAGATTAACATACCGACAAATATGCTGTAATGATTGTACGCGTTTAAATCTGGACACCGGATAAAGAAGTTGAACACGAATTGGCCCTAGTTCAGGACCCAAACGCAAAAAGAATAAAAATTGGCCACTACGTGAATGTTCCATAGCACTCTCAATAAAATCGACAATTGTCGATGACCGGAACTTTTTCAATGAGCCAAAACTAAAATTGCCTAATTACATATAACGATACATTGTATGTATGAAAAAAATTGTCATTTTTTTGTTTCAAACCTTGTTCCTGTTCAATGCGAACATGGCGAACCATTTCATCGAGTTTGAATGACAAAGAAAAAATATAATGTTCATCAGACGAATCACGTACCAAGAATGAGCCACATGGTTCAGGTTCTAATAATTTTTCAGCCATCTCACCGGATATAGGCCCCCAATACCAACCACACTAAATAATACAAGATTATTTATATTATGTTTATTTATTATAATTGAAAAGCTTACATTTTTGACACGTTCAATGCTAGACACATAGTCTAAATATTTTTGACGTTCATATTCAGACATTGATTTCAATTGAGACCGAGAAATCTGACATTGAAGTGAAGATCTATATCTTAAAGAATGATCTTCATTGTTCGCAGTGGTTATATGATTGGATCCGTTATCATTATCGATATTATTACTATTATTATTATTATGATCAGTGAATAACGTTGCCGGAACTGGAGGTAAAGCTCGTTGAATGAATGGTGACGAAAGCTGTTGTTGAAATTCGAGCCCAGATCTGGTTTCAAGTGGAGTTCGTGGATGTCGTCGTCTTCTAGTTCTAGTATGATGATTCATTGGATTTGCAGTATTATCATATCGATTTTGATTGGTGATAATCGGCGAAGACATACGGATATTTTTTGACTGACCAACAGTATCGACATTGGTTGATGAATAATCATTGGAACAATTACCACCGCTGATACAGGGTGTAGTTTTGTTCAACAAAGTATCCATAAAATTTTTGATCTTAGTTTTAGCATTTTGAAGTCCACTGGTTCCAGACTTGAGACCAACATTTGATGTCGAGACTAAGGCAGATTTCCGACGAGAAGAATTCATAATTGGTCTTCTTTCAGGCGATCCAAATGCTATTCTTCGCACTTCTTCCAGTGTCATATGAATAGGTTCTTGAATAGATTTATGACTTTTTCCAATAGATTTCACGTCATGATTAATTGTTCCTTCATGTTCAATATTTTCCAGTGAAATTGGATTCGAATAAGGATTTGATGCAATCACCAATGATGGTTCACTCAATGAATTTGACTTGGATGATTGTTGATGATGAGATAACACTTGATGAAATGCTGAAGAATAATTCGATGATGAGTTTGCTGATGATGATGTAGAGGCCATGAAAGAGGACGGTTCTATCAAACCAGAATGTACACCAACTGAGGTAGATGGTCTTGGTGGATAATAGTGGATGGTTGGATGAAGAGCTGTGGGTTTTATAACACGAACTATAGATTTGGTAGGTTCAACATTTTCATCTTCAATTTTTGAAACATGACAAGCAGAAATCATTATTTTGGGAGAAGTAGGGGATGAATAGGATTTGGTCGTTCGATGAGGTGATATAAAATTGTCAATAAGCTGATGATCATGTAGATTTAGTGATTCCAAAGATTCAATATCGGAAATTGAATCACCAACCTGTTGGATTATCATTTCTGAATCTTTATCATTACTATTGGCCATTAATTGATCACAGATGTTTAAAGTATTTGACTTGAATTCTGCAGAATTATGTGCTTGATGATAATGGCCAAACATGAGAATCTTTTTCAAACGTGAACAATTTTGACGACTATAGTTGATACCGGTCGTTGTCTGTGGCCTTTGATGATTGAATCTGAATTGAAAACGTATTCCACACGGAGGATTATTTGTCATTATTATCGGTGAACAAACCGAACGAATCTGTATAGCAAGAGAATTTGTTTTTTTTTATTGTAATCAAATATGAATTCAGTAAATAAGTACTACCTGATCATCAAGATTATCATAGTTATTATCATCATCAATGTTAGTCGAAGATTTAGATTTCAATTTCATTCTGATCAAATTCTTTTGTTGTTCATCATCATTTTCATTGTCGACCTGTAATTGATGATGTCCATGTCTTTTACATGAATCAGAATCGCAGCCATCACTACTATCATCATTATTATCACCCAATGATTTATGGTTGTTTGTCATTATTATTATTCAAAATATCCAAAGTGTAAACAAATCAATTCAATCGATAACATGACATGTTTATTATATTACCTTTAATAATAAAAAAACAAAAATTTATTGAATTAGGACAATATAAATTAAAATATATGTACATAATGTGCAATTAGGGCGTTATGTCTTGTATTAATCATTATTATAATAGCACATATAGAAATTATCTTTAAAAGTACATAGTTTGAAATCCATTTCATGCAACAACAAAAAAAGTATTCATAAAAACAACAAAAAGCTTTATGATTTTCATTTGAATAGAAGAAAAAAAATGAATGGATGCAAATGATCATATTCATCACGATTATGGAAAAAAACTGATTCATTCATGTAGTTTTTTTTATCACAATTGTTAGACATTATTTATTTACGATTATCATATTGTATGCCACGTAATTACGTGTATTCCAAAATGGTGGTGAATATATATATTGTGACAGGATAGATGATAATATAAAAAAAAAACACTAAGAATGAATAATGGACATAAATTATCTTATCACCGGTCATGATTCCGTCTATGGATCTAATTTGAAACTAAAGAAAAAACAGGTGGTTATCATCATCATTAACTATTTGACTACTGAATTAAATCCATACAATACAATAAGACGAAAAAGGGAATAAAATGGCCTGTTTAAACACACACACACACACACACAAAAGTGTCCCAAAAAAGGAAACAAACTGGTTTATCAAATAGTCTGAAAATTTTGTATATATGATTTACGATTGGATGAATCATTGTGACTACTATGAAGAAAAAAAAATCGGCAATCAACTAAAATTCTTCAGATCAAAAGAAATATACATAAAAAGAAAAGGATGGAGTGTTTTACAAAAGTCCAAATATGGAAATATGACAATAAAAATAGATTTGATATTCATAATATTTATTATGAACAAACAATGATAACATTACATATCTTGGTAACCTAAATAAAGCAAATTCTATAAAAAAAAATTTTTTTAGCGGTAAATAAATCAATGGAGCCTATAAACAAATAATTTTGATGGAATTTAATGGAAAAAAAATCACATCCATTATGAATGCTAATTGAACTTTCACAATGACCATACACAGTGTGGATTCATCATCCACCATCAAGGATCGTGATTAGCCAATTATAATTGATTATGCCATCCTATCAATATATACTTAATTTAAAAACTGAATTAATCAGTCAGTTTTTCTCAAAAGAAAAATAAATAGATAACCGCCCTCTAGGATTTTTTAAATTATTATGAAATAAAAAAAACTTGCAGTCAAACCATTAAAATCTCAACTAGATATGTGACAAAAGTGGTATTCATGGAATTTATATAAATTTTTGTTTTTATCAATCATTGGATAAACATTTAATGATCATTAGAAATTTTTTTACTTCTTTAAAATTTAATTTTTCAATTAAAATTAAACATGATAAACATAAACATTATAATAATGAGTATTACTTACATGGAAAGAAAAATGAATAAAAAAATCACTTGGAAAATTTTTTCAAATTAAAAGCAATGAAATGATAAATTAGCTGTTTTTAGTAATTGATAATGACCAAATGAATAATATTCCATCATCACGTTCATTAGTTGTTCACAAATGATAATAGTCATCTGTCATCATCATAATTGAGGGTTTGGTGAAACAAAATCCGTTATTAGTGATGATGATGATGATTAGATGAATAAAACAAATGATGATGATGATGATGGTGAGAAAATGCAAATGCGAAAGATGAAAAAACAGTCAACATAACCAAGATTCAACTAAAAAAAAAAATTTTGAGCCGAATGATGAATGTGATGAAAAAGATGCATTTATAACATAATGAATGTTATCAACTTTACTCTTTCTTTAGATCAAGTTTCGCAAATGTTTTTACATCAAGTTTTAAGTTATATACAAAGTCAATTGTGTTATTGTTAATGTCGCGTAGCAATTTTTCGATGAATTGATCACATGAATACAAAATCGAGTAAATTGCCAGCTCAAATTGTATTATGTATGGTACACTCTCTCTCCAAATGGATTTTTATGTGATGCTCGTGATCGAAGTGAGAGTAATCACAAGAGGATGAGTGAAATTGTTATTTTAAGAGAAAAAGTTATATCTTTTGCATCCCCCCAAATAAAGTATTCCCTTGGCCGACTATTTCGGCTTGTTCGGTTCCGATTCGAAATTGTCCATCTATTTCGATGAAAAAAAAATCTTTAAAAAATTTATTTTTTTTCAATTTACATTTATTAGCAGAAAAAATAAACATTTATATCAATATCAAATCAAATTAATTCGATTTTATTATTTATTTTGATGATTTTCAATTTCATTCAAAATTGATTTTGAACTGTCTTCTTCCAGTAATTTATGCGGATCGATGTCATCAAGATTAGGAATGGATTTTATATTATCCATTTTGTTTGTAAATGATAAATTCTGCTTCGCTTTTTCAACATCTGAAATTAAAATATTAAATTTCAAATCTCGATCAGTTAAACGTTTTTGATTGATTCGACAGCCATTCGATTCTTTGAAAATTGATTCAAATTCATGAAAAATATTTTCCTAAGAAATGGAGAGGAAAAATTTGAAGATTTTATTTTTTGTCTTTAGATAACTTTAATAATTCATACCAATTTTGATTTATCGGATCCATTCGATACTGTCGAAGCAATCTTCACTAAAGTTTCTTGGCCACGGAGTAGAAATTTTTTCACATGATTAATTTTAACTTGTAGATCATGTTCGCTCACTTTTGATGTGAATGACATTATTTTTGGTGATGTTTTTTTCTTAAATTTAACAATCGAATCATCATCGGTATGATCATCATCATCACCATCATCATTGATATGGTCATCTTTTTGATCAAATCTAGGATCACTGAATTTCATTGTCATAATTTTTTTAGCAGGGCCTTCAATTTGTATTAGTACTTTTTTATGTTTTTGTGCCAATTTTTCCGCTTCAATCATGGTCATCAAACCAAGTAGACGATTTTTTTCATCACGTAGATAAACTTTGAGCAATTCTGGTGTTTTGCCACGATATTTAGCTTTTTTAACACCATTATCATTAGATTCAAGAGCAGCAATATCAGATACATCGATTTCATTATTATGAGGTGAATTTTTCTGTGATTGTGATAAATATCTTGAACTTATAGAATTTACAGATATTAAAAGTTGTGAAGAATCGATACTATTCAGGATAGAATAGCTTTTAACGAACGGTAAATAAAAAGTTTTATTTGTATTTGTAGTTGCAAATGTTTGTAGAAGAATTTTTGAATTCTTCCAATGAATTTGAGAGTAAAAGAAACGTGGATTGATAAAGTTGAACATTTTTATTGATTTCATTCTTGTCATGAAAGAAAATATCGATTTTGTTCTGCCCTTTCGATAACATTAATATCGGTTATATACGTAGTGCATTCATATATGAATCCAAAAAAAAAATTTCAAAAATCACGTGACCCTGATAATGTAAACAAACCTGGGATTTTCAAATCGTGCACGTATAGTAAATTTCAATTTCAATCTCAATTTTTTCTTGCAAAATAATGTCTGAATTTGCTCAATATCGAGACATCTCCAATCGTCTTAAGAAACGATTCAATTTAATCCGTAAACCTAATCTTAAAGAATCTTCAGAATCTTATCGTAAACTTGCACAACAATTAACGCCCTTCCCAAATTATTCAGGTTATTGTATGTATTCAGCAGCTAAATGTGAACATCAAATTGTTGGATCATTAAAAGAGCAATTAAATCAATCATCTAACTCTATAACTGGAGAAGCTCAAAAAGCTGATTCTCAATCAAATGTTTCCATATTACCATCATCATCATCGAATCGTGCAAATCAAGCGCTAGAAAATCTTTTATCTGAAGCATTATGGACTGAATTTCAATCATGGTTGGATACGGCAAGAATATTCAGCCAAACTGACCAAATGGAGGTGGATATAAACGGTGCCATATCGGCATATGCTCATGCTATACAAACATGTCCATCTCCACGTATGTTATCGGTGGTGTTGATCGAATTGGCATCACTTTACCTCAAACATCAACGATTTTACGAAGCTGCAGAATCTTTTATTGAAGCTGGACAATTTCGTGAAGCAATCAATTGTCTACTTCGTGGTCATTTCTATCAAGATGCCTATCATTGTTATCAGGAAATGTTCAAGAAACAGCCTAATTTTGAAAATTTTTCCAATCTTACTGATGTGATATCAACAAAAACTTCATCAAACATGCATGCGAAAACAGCGACAAATTCTAACTCTTCTGTTTCACAACAAAAATCTTCAATTCTCTCATTGTTCAAAAAGAAACAGCCAAATTTAGAAACCTTACTGAAATCACCTGATGATCCGAAATCTGATTCAAATTCACTTCGTAATCGTAATCCTAGGTTTCCTCCCTTCAAAGTTGAAGGCAATAATCCGTTTGATTTTTGTGAAAATCAATTAACTATTGATGATTATATAACATTTTTTCTACTACGTCTTTATTTATATGATCCGGTTAAATATGAATATCCATCACCAATCATTCCAATACCGAAACATTCGATCGTTAGACGATTTGAAGATGAATGCGATCAATATATACAAGATCTTGATGATGATTCGGTTGAATTTTGTTCCGGTACGATTAAAGATGGATCAACTATTAAATGTTCATCAAGTATATTTTTAAAAGCATCGATATTATCATTACCATTCATCGACATGATTAACAGCCGTTGGATCGATCGATCAATCGATGATGTGATAAAATTAAATCATCTTTTGGAAACACTATATCTTTCTTACCGTAATGAACTTAGATCATCGTTAGATAATGAATATTCTGATTATGACATAATTCAACCGCCGCTCTCATCAAGTGGTGATGAAATTGATGATGATGAAGAAATAAAGACTAAATCAAAAGAAATTTCTGGATCTTGTAAAAAACATGATTCAGAAGATTCAGAAGAAACCGAATTTGCCGATGAGGATAGTTTCTCTTCAATTATGGGCACAAGTACACGTTATGATTCGAAAGATTCTAGTGATGATGAACATCTATGTAGTAATGATGCCAATAAATTACAACATCATTTTCATTCGAGTAAAACATTGACAGCTCCAGGTGCAGTACCAGCTAGTCCAGGATTAAAATTATTAGAAACCGGAGAACTAGATGATATAAGTGCCCGATTAAGTTTTTTGGCTAACCATAAGACACCATCATTTTCGAATGTTCACATAAGAAAAGAATCGGTTGATTCAAAAATGGATAATATGGAATTTATTTTAAAACCGAAAAAATTAGAAAGTCGTGTCAAAGAGAAACTGGAACAAGTTGAACTTAAATGGATCAGTAAATATATTCCGGATGAATCAAATGATGGTTGTCGTAATAAATTGGAAGAACAATTGTTTGATGATGATCATGATGAACATAATGATCATATTCGACAAGAAATTGCTAAACAGCTTCATCCATTATTAAATTGTAATCAGATACAATTACTTTATGATATTTTGAGAGAAAAAGAATGATTTTTATTTAAATTTATGAAAAATAAAATAAAAAAAATAAACATTATCAAATTGATCATGATGATGGTTGGGGACGGAATTTTTGATAATAAGATTTAGTAAAATCTGTCATAACATCGGCCATTGATTCAAATATTAAACCGCTATATGAAGCTGGTGATCCACGATATATACCGAATGCTGGAACATTTGTTCCATGGGGAAGAACAGAATTGTCCGCAATGTAACAACCATCTTTTAAATTGCAATATCTTCCGATCACACAATTATTTCCAATATAAACATATGAACCAATATTAGCAGCATTGACAATCGTATCCTCACCAATGTAAACGTGTTCACCAATGGTCATAGGGTTAAATGCAACACTGAAATTGAAATGTACATTAAGGAGATCTGGTCATTCTCACATGTTTACACTTACCCTTTGGTAAATTTCTTAAATGGTGGACGTATAACAGCATTTTTACTTATTACACAATATCGGCCAACTTTTACTGAAGCTAAATCTCCACGTATAATACACCCTTCTTGTACGATTGTCTATTGAATCAATTCGGTAGCGAAAAATTCAGCAACAAAATCAATAATCACATTCAAAATGACTAACCTTTCCAAGTATCATGATACTTTGTGGTCCACATAGGACAGATTTTCTACAAACTTTATTACCGGATGCGGTCTCAATATAATCCATTTGATTATAAAACATATCATTTACTTCCATTATTATTTTACTAAATAATAAATGAAATTATTATTTACAATAAAATTTGACAATGCAACTGGCAAAAATATAATCGAATCGAACAGTTAAAATACTATTTACACCTTAGATGTAATCATATGCAATAATAATCCACAACAGCAATATACACTCCTTAATTCGTAAATACGATCCACAACGTAAAACAATAAATCTTGGCTTTATTTTTTCTAATCATTAATAATAATAATAATTACTTAGTGTTTTCCTCATTCATCAAGATTGACAAGAAAAACAACATGAATCCTTGAAAAAAAATCAAGAAAGATAATCTAAAACTTACGATAACATTGAGCATTTTGTCTTTGGATTAAGCCATTCACATCTGGTATAAAATAATTGACATTTGATTTCGTTTAAAAATCGTAAAAAATGCTTACCGAAGATGACATTCAACAACGATATCCTTTGCATACTTTTGTTTGGAAAAATTCACACAGTCAATTGAAAGATTATCTTTCATTGCATTCCAAGGTAAGAAAATTAAAAAATCCGTTTTCCAATTATGATCAAAAATATCTTTACTTAGGATGTTAATCTGGAACAAAAAGATATCCGTAGTCGAACCCCGTTAATGTTGGCCGCCGCTCTAGATCATAAAGAATGTGTACGTATTTTACTTGATCACAATGCTCTGGTTAATGTAACGGATCATACGGGTTTTAATGGTTGGTAATTTTTGTTATTATCGTCATATAATTTTAATATTGGAAATTTCTTTTTCAGTATTACATGAAGCTGTTACAACGGCTGATCCTAAATTAATTCGTGATGTTTATCTAAGAAAAGAATTACAACGTATTAATTCGATACGAGTGGATGGAATTCCGCGACTTTTATCTAAAATATGTGATACCACCGATTTTTATTTAGAGATGAAATGGGAATTCACATCATGGATACCATTGATTTCTCAGCTCTGTCCCAGTGATACATATCGCATTTATAAACGTGGTTCTAAAGTTCGTGTAGATTCCACATTGATAGGTATCGATGAAGTTACCAATGAAGCAACCATTGATTGGCAGCGTGGAAATACATCGCTAATTTTGTCTGGCTCAGAAAATGGCTGCACTTTTATTGAAATTGATCACAATAAACGCAGCGTACATAAGCGTGCAATGGAAATTATACGACCCGATGAAGTTCATGATTTATTGGGTATTACCGAAGATCAGATAGCCGATCGTTTAACACAACCAATTAAAACAATGTATATAGATAGTGAAAAAGTGAATTTTGAACGGGCTAAATCAGGTTTTATTGGCTTTCGTACCGATCGTGTAGATCAATTCAATGGCTATGAATGTAAAGTTTATTTGGCACAAAATGTCGAATTCATTACTAAAACTCGCATCGAACATTTAACTCAAGAAGATAAAATGCGTTATAAAAAAATGAAAGATTCATCTTCATTAGCATCATTTCGTTCGATTGTTGGCATACATGAACAGAATATACCAAATCCATTCGAAAATGATGAAGTATATAATTCCAATCCTGAATTACGACGGAATCCATATCGATTATCATTGCTCGATTATTTTAATCTTACTCCGGATGATCCTCGTGATATTGGATCACCAAGAGAAACGAATATCAAAAAACAGTATTTCAAAGCAAATATTTGGATGTCGGATGATTTTCCATTGTCACTAAAGGAACAAATTCTTCCCATCGTAGATATGGTGGCTACTTATAGTTCACATTTTGCTAAATTACGTGATTTTATAACAGGCAAATTACCCACAGGATTTCCAGTCAAAATCGGTTAGTTTAATTTTTTTTGTCAGCCACGTCAATCAATCAATAATATATTTTTCATTGCCCAGAGATTCCACTGTTCCATTTGTTAAATGCAAAAATAACATTTGGAAATGTATTTGCACAAGATTCACCAGTGGATGGTGTAAGTATGAGTTGTTTTCCTGATCAATCTACAATCAATCCTGGTAAAGAAGATTTCATTTCTCCATCATCGTCATCATCGAATAATCATAGAAATGGCAAATGTACTGTTGATGAGAAATGTTTTGAACCACCTGAAGATTATCAAATTTTAGGTAAGTTAGAAAAATTTTTAAATTGGTTTAAACAAAGAAACCAAAAATATTAAGATTTTTATAAGTTCTGAACACTGAATAATCTGTACAATCATAGCTGATGATTATAGGGGGACTCTTTCGATTCTCGAATAGTTATCATCATTTTAATTATAATAATAAACGATGATTGGTGATTGAAGATGACACGAGATCATGGAATAAAATGTTTTTTTGGATAAATGTTTTTAAATAAATGAATTTTTAAGTGGAAAAAAAATTAGATAAATATCCCCTAATCCGGTAATATTGAATACAATGTTGAAGTGATAAATAACGCCATCGGCTAAAAAAAATTTTGTAATTATGTGATGTGATTAGAATAAATTTTCGAATATTCGAAATTTTTTTATTGTTAAAATTGTTGATGTTTTTTTTTCTGTCAATGCTTCGTCACTATCGATCATTTGGATTGCTAATGTTTTTTTTGTTTTGTTTGACTGAAGTTCATTGAACCTTATGGTTCAATGATTTTAACGATTCGATATTTTATTTGAATTTTTTTTTCTTTCTCTTCTCAAATTATTAAATTTTTTTTCTCACTCAACAGGTAACAATTCAATATTTTCTATGATGAGTCTTGATAATCATTCAGAAAATTCAGCCATACATGATGATGAAGATGATGATGAATATATTAAATATATTCTTAATCAATACAATGCGAAAAAGACATCATCTTCAACGAATGATAAATGCCACATAATGGATGCTAAAAATCCAATCAAGACCAACAAAAAAAACTTAAAACGGAACCGGAATTATCCATCATGGAAGCATTAAGTTATGATTCTGAAAAAGATTTACAAAAGTAAGTCTTTTTAATTTTCAAATTAATTATTTTAATCTAACCTCACTTCATATACACCATATAGAGCTATACAGTTGAGTTTGATGGAATATAATCAGCAAAAAGATCGTGAAGCCCATGTTCAATCATTAGCACTTCAATCACCTTCGGTTAATCAAATACACGCTAATGGATCGATTGTTAAATCGAAAAAAGCCACCGGTACTAAGTCAATTGGCAATTCTAGCCAGATAAAATGTAAAGAAGATAGTGTTCTTATGATTGATGATAAAATAATGAAAGATGTCGAAGATCGATGTTCAATTACGTCATCATTGTCATCATATCAAAGCTGTGATAATAATAATGAAAATAATGATTCCAATGAAAATATTGTTCCAAGTGCTGCCAATAATTTTATTAACAACGGTACACATCGTAGAGATAAAAATGAATCTGAAGTTGAAAATGTTGAAGAAGATGAAGAAAAACAATTAATACAATTAACGATGGAACAATCGAAACGTGATCACGATGAATATGAACGTCGCCGTCAAATGGAAGAAGATGAAATTATCTACAAGGTTTTAAAACTTTCAATGATTGAAAAATGAGAATCAATCATCGAGAAAAAAACAATAATACTAATTGAAATTGATTGATATTACAAATGTTTTGTTATTATTATTATTATTATTATTTTAGTCAAATTCAAATAAAATTTAGAAAAATATTAATTATTCGCGATACGAATTTTATTTCCTGAATTTTAAATTGAATTTTTTTCAGTATTTGTTTGTCTTAAAAACCAGACAGACATTATTTATCGATCATCATTAATGATTGATATGAATATACCATTCATACTGTGTCATCATGACCTTTTTATTATTGTGAATTTCAAAAAAAGAAAAAAAAAAAAACAATTATTCAATTCACCTAAATCAAACTAGTTATTCGCGCCCATACCTATTTTACAATATAAGAATATTATTATATGTACAAAAAACAACAACAACAACAACAACAATGCACAATCATTTGCTGTTAGCAGTTTTTTTATGTGGCCAACAGTTCACATATTATATTCGTATATATCTGTTGTTGCCAGTTTTTAAAAGAATCCTGATGATTGCTGTATATGCATGCATGCATATGTGTCAAGCAAGCTTGGGCGCCTTCTTCATAATGATCATTGAAGATTGAAACCATTGAGTATGTATGTGTGTGTGCATATGCATTGTATCCTTATAGAGGTTCCAACAGCAACAACAACAACAACAACAACAATCGGGCGTCATTGTCTAATTTTCTCTTCTTTAATATATAATGATATCTCTCTATGATATATATCCATTTTATATATATGGTGTTCGTATTTTAATCCATTTCTTTTTCTCTTATTTATTAAAAAAAAAAAATATACAGAGATAAACTCAATATATATCATTTTGTTATTATTATTATTATTATGGCCCTACCATATACAATAATAATAATGGGCATCAAATAGAATAGGTCCCAAATTCTTTCATTCATTCTTTCATACAGCTACTCAAATTTTTTTCCACTTCCATCCACCGATTTATATTCTGTTGAATATATTGTTATATCAATTCTATTCGATTTTAAACTGTTGTCCCGGTTTCCGTGTGTCTGTGTGTGTGTGTGTGTGTGTGTGTGTTTATGTTTCTGGAACGCTCCAATTTTGTGGTTTGTTTATATAGACACTATATTTTTTTTTTGTTTCTACTTGTTTATGTGAATAAAAAAAAACATATATTTGATATACATTGCAATGTAACCACATGATTCCACGTCCTCATTCATCATAAACAATCACAAAACAACTATAATAATAACAACAACAATTTTATTGTTTGTCTGTCTCTTCTGTCTATTTTGCTGATAATCATCATTATCAATCATAATTTTTTTTTTTTTTGATCAATCACTGGATCACAAGGTGACAATCAATTTTTTCTCTCTTTTTTTTTGTTTGAAAACTTTATACCCTTTTTTTTCTCTACCAAATTATCGACATTGATGATATTCAATCAAGCTTGAACAATAAAGATTTGTCCTTCAATTTATTCACCATTGATTGACTGTTTTTTATGTTATATTACTGGTGATAATTTTTACAAAGTAATGATCTGATTGATCAGTTTATCTGATTAGATATTTCAAATTCTACATGATGTTGTTGTTAGAAATCACATTTATACGAATTGTTTGCGTTTTTTCGTGTGTAGGCGTTAAATGCTACATTTCAAATAAGAAAAAAAAGAATTTAGTCAAATAATTTATAAAGAGTGTTGAAAATTCAGGAAGCAAAAATTAGCTCAAAATAAGATTTAGAATTTAAATGAATGAATTGCATTTAAATCATATCTTGGTTATATTTGTGAATAAATCAAGCACTGTTGTTGTTGTTGTCGTTGATGATGATGATGATGATAATTTTTCATTGTATATAACTTGGCGTTAAAAAAGAAACCAAAATACACACTGTCATACTTTTATATAGAAACAAATTTCCTATCATAATCTCCGTAGAATCCATTCGAAGCCAAGTTTTAGTTTAATGCTAAATTTTCATCATAAAAGATCAGAATTTAATGGCGTTTACATCATAATATTTATCTTTGAAAATTATATTTGAATTTAAACAATTTTATTATGTTTTGATGCTAATAATAATCATAATATATGAATCTATAGGAACCAACATCCTTGACCGGATCGAAAAAATCATTACTGTATTTTTGATGGGCTCTTGTTATTCGAATTTAACCAATGCTAATCCTATACTTTATCATCAAAATCTACAGCTAGAAAATTTACCATCAGATTGTAATAATAATTCAATTTTTATTATTGATTCTTCAATTCAAAGAAATCAAAATTTATCTGAATTAAATTCTATTTCTAACATTTCTAAAAACACGGCTAATTTGCCTAATTCAGTTTTGCATTCTGAAACTGAAAAAAATAAATCTAAATCCACACAATCAGCTAGTAATTCCAACAACAAGATTGATCATCATCATAAAACAAAACAATCGAATCAATCAACATTTGTTGTACCGATTCTTCGACATAAAAAAAACATTCAGCAATCATCATGTGATCAACGTCGGGTAGCCATTTCTCCAATTCACCAAAAGTGCCTTAAAAATACTCACCAAAATCATAAGAGTTCTTCATCACGTTCATCATCATTATCATCGGCAACATTGACGCCAAAACGATCAAAATCTCCATTACAAGAGAAACCGAAAACCGCTCCTGGATATCAAAAAAAATTGTTTCGAAGAATACGTGATACAATATTGTTGAGAAAAAATTCCAAACAATCTTCAAACTCACATCAAATTAGTAAATCATCTCATTTACAACAAAATCTAAAGTTTAACAATGATGATGATGATGATCAGTTCATTGAAATCGACACTACTACTACTTATAATGATGACCAACGATCAAATTTTGATTCAGAGAGGCAAACAACCTTGATACAAACTTATCAAGTTTCATTTGTGCCAGAGGTTTCTGAATTATTAGAAGTAGTTTTGTCATCATCATCATCTGATGATGATGATGCTGAAAAAATTGATGATTATTCATTGAATAAAAAAAAGAAATCAAAAAATTTTCTAAAACGTTTTTATCTAACCAAATCTGGTCGGTGGAAAAAATCGAAAACACGTGACAACAAAGTGAATGAGAAAAAAAGAAAAATTAATACTAGTGATGAACATGATGGAACAATGTCTCGAATGAAACCACCATCAACATATGTACATCATTCTTCATCAAATAATCCATCATCTAATTTTCACCAAAATTTCAATCATCAACAACAGTTTAACAACCATAATAATGATGTTTCCGATGGCGGTAACATTGCATCATCATCATCATCATCATCATCGACTAAACCATCATCATTTTTCAGTCATGGTAACAAAATTATCAGTTCCGGTCTTGTATCGAAAAAGACTGAACAATTTCAGCAACATAAATTGTTAGAAAATAATAATAGTTATGGTGCAAATGATGTTGATAGAACTGTGGAAACTACTACTATCAATAAATTGATGAATAATGATGGATTGAAAATCAATCTAACAGGAAAAAATATTGTTGCTGATTGTTCACAACAATTCAAAACAAGTAAATTATTACCGCCAACACAAATCACATCATCAAATGTTGCTTCATCATTATTTCGTGGTTTACGTTCTCGAATACCGTCAACGACATCCAAATCAACCGGTAATGTAAATAGTCAACTTCCGCCAAATCAACAGCATAATTCTACTAATGTTTCGACAAAAATCAGTACATTATCAAATAACAAGGATAAAAATATAGCAAATGGTAAATCAAAATCTTCTAAGAATTCGCTCATAAAACCTATATCGGCACCTACGTTAGCTTCTAATGAAATCGTTTCGAGTTCTTCATCTCGTTCATCGTCATCATCATCATTGAATCGTGGCGAAAATTTTTCAAAGAAATCAAAATTACCGAATTCTCAGAAACCGATTGTGAACAATATATGTGAACCTCAAATAAATCAGGTTCGTAAATCTTCTTCATCATCGAATTTATTGGCATCAACTGATTTTTCTGTATATCAGACTGGTCCAGCCTTACCTCCAAAGCCTTTATCAGCACAACAAAAGCCATCGACCATAATCGATAAGACTTCAAAAATCAACAAATCGCATACTGCACAGGCTAAAACATTATTGTTATCACCGATTCGGACACAACAAGCACAGATTGTTTCGGTTTCTACCAATTCTGTTGTACAAAGCAAAATACCAGAAACGATAACTTCAAGAGAACAAAATTCGTTAAATAACTATCAGCCACCCGATGTGAACTGTATTGGTATACCCACAAAACCGATTCAATCGATTGCAAATCATAATATAAATAATAATAGTAATAGACAACAGAGAATTAACTTTCTTTATGGGAATATTGTACAACAGCCGGCGAATAGATCAAATATGTCTCAACAATCTCTACCTCTTTTTACATTGACAAATAATCAACAATCTTCATCCATACCGCATCAACAGCAATCATGTATACGTAGGCCATTATATTCGACACAACCATGTATGACAAACATCAATACAGTCAAAACCAGTCATAATGTTGCTAATCCGGTGCAATGTCATGGTGTTGGCCGAATCAAATCAAATTTCAATGGTAAGTTACCAGGATACACAGACACAAGTGATGCGGAACATTCATCAAAATTGAAGAATAAAAATGAATTTTTTTTTCGTTGAATATATTCATGATGTTCATTGTATGATTATTAGGTTACCTGTTGCTTGCACACCCAATTTTACAATTGTGCATTTTTGAATCATTGTTAATTTCATGCTCTCTAAAAAAAACCTGAAAGATGAACTGTACTTTAGATTTTTTTTTTGTTGTTGTTGTTCTCCATTAACAATGATTTTCCGTTATGTTCAATTGAAGCTTCACAATATAATATTAGGCCAACAGGTTAGGTTGAACACGATTAGCCATTATGATTATGATGATGGTTATTATCATTTTTTTTTGGCATTTTAAGATATATAGATTATTATAAACATGAACACATTAAGGTCAATGTTAATAGTTTATTATATGCTTGATAATGATATAATACTAATAATGTTTGTCCTTGCATTTTTATCTTACTTTAAGCTCATATTCCCAAACAATCGGAAATGGTTGGATCTTCTGCTATATCCACAACACATCACTATTTTAATCCATATAGCCGTCATCCACCATCACATTCGAATTCGAATGTTCGCAATAATAAATTTCAGCCATCCACATCAATCAATAATGTTCCTTCAAACAATTTATATCGAGCCGTACCAACAACCATTACATCATCAAATATTCCACAAGGTTCTAGCCGAACTGCTGTCGTTAATGATAATAATCATAAGAATTCATCGTCCAAAAATTTTGGCGCTTCCAAGGAAAATTTTCGCAGAGAATTTCCATTAAATCATCCAAATTTACAACCTCCGACCACGAATACAATTAGCATGACAACATTGGAAGATTTTTATGTTTCCAAAAATAATCATATTGCTCGGGATGTTCCCATAACGAAAAAACGTCAAGTAGAAGATAATAGCCATGAAAAGCAGATCATACTACCTGCCGATGGGCTTGATGTTTCCGAACATGGAACATTCTCATGTTGTTCTTCATCTGTTTCGATGGCTGATGACGATTTTGATGATGACCTCGATGGCTTAAGTTCAGGATCCTATTCTTTTCGCACTGAAGATCTTTTGCATCGCAATAATAATGGAAATAAACTTGGTGTGTCCACCTCTTCTGCTCAATTGATGTCATCTATTATATCAAATAATGATTTCGTTAAATCGACATTGTCAAATATCACACAACCATTATCTGCATCGATATGTTCCACAGCCAGTACGACATCTAGTTTTGTATACGATTGTCAACAATCGAATGGCCATCATCGAGCTCACCGGAACGACAATCATTATCGAGCACGCAATGGATCAACTTCTACATCATCATGTTCAAATCGTGATTTATTTTTAATTGATGATGAAATTGCCGATCAACCCGCATTGCTCATTGGTGATGCTGCTGAAATTGCTAAACAACGAATGAATCTAGTTCTAACTTCGAATGATTCAGTCGAAAAAGATTGGGTCATGTCTCCGACAAAAACATTAACACCATCATCTAATTCGACAAATGCTAATTCTGGTTCCTCAGTTGAACTTGCTTCTGTATCCAATATTGAAGATTTTCCATTGAAAGAAACTCCTCATCAAAAGACATCCATAACAAGTTCTACTACTTCTTACGATTCAATGTTGCAATCATTAAATAATGAATTGGAAAATTTAATTTTGCAAACAACTAAAATCGATAATCTATCACAATCATTTGATACAACTGAAATTATCTCCGATTCGAATAGTGTATCAGATGAAAAAATTCTGACCAGTCAGAACAATGATACTAGTCAAAATACCAAACGTTTGGCTTCATCAAAACTTCGCAAGCGTCATTCGTATACATCATCAAATACAACAAACACGCAGAATAATCTTCACAAAGTTCCTGTATTCAGACGTCCTCGTCCATTATCATTTGTCGAGAATCAGGATGGTTCTTATGGATTAGATTCACCTTCTTTACGTGCTGTTGCTCAAGATTTAATCGGAATCAAAACTTTATTATTCCGTTTACAAAATGTTTTGCAAAATGTAAGTTTTGTAAACTCTTATATGATATGTAAACTGAATTTTAATTTACTTCATTTCAGTCTGAAACTCAAAATCCATTCGAAAATGCCAATAATCATCGATACTCATATGATTCGACTTCAACGAAATCTTCGACACCAGTATCAACAACAACACCGGGTTCACATCACACAGATCATTCCTTCGATGAAACAGTGCAATTATTACGAGAAGAAAATTTTGATCTACGTCAACATTGCCAGCTGTTGGAACAAAAATTGGTCGAAAAAGATCATACCATACGACTTTTGCAGCAACAAATGGTCAGTCACATGTGAAATTTTTCATTTTAGCGAAAAATTTATAGTTTTTCAAATATTGATGTTACAGTCTAAATATACTATGACCAACTTTAGCAATCATCGTCAAATAATTACTGCTGATAGAAAAAGTGGTTTTCAACTTTCTGAAGATTTGCATAATAATAATATGCACCCGGGAGAAAATCTTCAACAATTGTCAAATTCAACAACTAATAATTTTCCACAAAAATCACTCATAAATTCAACAACACAAACAGAGCCCCTGTTTGCTAATCTGATTAATCGTGAAAATATTGGGAAAACATGTAAATTTCGCAACGATAATAATAAAGATGGTGGTGACAATAATAATCATGCTACTAGTGGCCAGTGGATAAGGTGAGCATACAAATATTACTTTTGTTTGTCCATTAATTCACTGCAAAGAGGATGAAAATTTGCTAAAATGATTGAATTTTTTGTATTGCATGCTGAATTTCATGTGATGATTTATTTCTGTGGTAAGCTTTTGGATAAATACTTATGCCTAATCGATGTTTTCAATTTATAACTAATTGGATTATGTATACTTGTAATTGATCCTTTAATTATTGCATAACATTTCAATTTTACATATAGGAACAAAAATGTACGAAATGTTGATAGTGGACAATAGCTGATAATTTTCAAGTTTGGCAGCATCGAAAATGGAAAATTATTGCACCAATCTCAATTTATCAATAACGCAATAAGATGTACAGATTTATAAAAAAAACATATGTTATTGGTTGATTACTGTGATTTGTAGCGCTTTGATTTGAAAATAATCCATACTCTTGTATCTTTCTACAAGTTGGAAGGAAATGATACGAAAAATTGTAATTTTTGATATATTATAAATTTATATCTGATCCTATCCTATTTTTTTTCTTTCCTGAAAAAATATAATAATGATAAATAAAAAAAAAATACAAAAAATCGATGAGTCAATAATTTTTCAAAATTTCAATTGATAATGATACATTAACCGGGAAATTTTGCTGAGAAAAAAATGCAACAAATTCCATTTGAATCGGAAATGAGAAAAAGAAAAAAAAACAAAAATCTACAATAACAAAGGACAATGTCTATTGATGAAGACAATTGCATTGGACAAGAAACAAAATTGTTGTATTTTTTTTTTTTTTTTTGTTGCATTTATTTTTCATGTTCGTATCATCATCGTCATCATTGATGATGATAATAATGATGACAGTGGATCCATGTCGGAGAATATCTATGTATGTATGTATTTGTGTGCATTTGTATCTGGAAACCATTTTGTAATGACACAAATAGTCCTTTTTCTCCAAACACACATACACACACTATAATCCTATATTCATTTTCTGTGGATTGAAGAGACTTTTTTTCACTTCCGGAACAAGACATTGAATTCTCTTCACTATGCCTTGACAAAAAAAAATATGAAAACCTAAAGTCGATGGTGAATTACACTATTCATTGAACACACACACAAAAAAAAACACAATCCTCAAGAAAAAAATTACGTATGATTATCGTTTTTGATTTTATATATTACAATGATGATGACTGTGTTTGAACAGATGAACACATCATGTTCTTCCGATCACTGTCTCTCTCTCTCTCTCTTTATGTATATTTCTCATATTACCAAATTCAAAGTTATGACAGCATGAAAAAAAAGGAAACATAATGTTCCATGGTTGCTGTAGTTCCATTTGGATTATTTTGTACATATATGTCATTTATTTTTCATCATCTAGGACAACGTCCAACATGGATTCAAGTTTAAAATCATTAAATTATTTCTATCAATATTTTGATGATAAGTTTGATTGTTTGTAGTAATTAATTTTCTTTTTTTTCTAACTTTATTATTTCAACGAAACAAACAAAGATGATCCCATCGTACTTGGATGGATAAAATTGTAAGCATTGCCTGTTTTTTCGTTCACCATAGTAGCAAACAATAGCTGAGGTTTCTTTCTCTTGTTTTTTCAAATAACACATTTTTTTTCTTAATGGAGAAAAAAAACTACACAAAATAAAATTGAAAACCCAAAATCTACGGAAGGAAATGGAACAATATTGATGAAAATGATGTTCGTACCAAACAATGAATGATGATGATGATGATTATTATTATTATTATTTTTCTCAATATAACAATAATGTTCATTCGAACATCATCGATGACAAGGATGTGCAATATTTCTTTTCACCTTTCAATTTTACCTTACAATTCATTTATATTGTGTAACATTATGACACAAATCGATCATTGTTGACAGTTTGTTATTAAAACATTTCAGCTTGATAATGATTACCGACAACGATTAGCACGGATTAATTATTCAATATAATAATATATAACCTGATGATGGAGTTTGAATGAATATTTTATATTCAAATCTATCATTCATGTACAACAAGTGTCAACATAAAAAAGAAATGAATGAATATTTGGACAATGAAAAAAAAAATCATATTTGCGATACAATATGATAACATATGCATAATGCATTTGCATCTTCATCATCGTCATGATAATAATATTCTAAATGAAGCAAAATCTAGCCGGATTGAATCAGGAAATTGCAATTTTTGTTTGTATTTGTGCTAACTAGATATTGTATTATGGGAAAAACATCATTCATTTTTTTTTGTTGTCTACCTATTTCTTTGTTATCTATTCTGATAAATTATAGTATGTATTATGAATGAATTACCATTTCATTTTATCTCTTTTTTTTTATTATTTGGATCGAAAAGAATTCACATCAGCATATTCATAAATTAAATCAATTAAAACATGATTTATATGATAACATGAGAAAGGAAAGAAAAAAAACTTAATTTGATAATAATGAGCAAATTAGAAACAATTGTCGACCACAATAGAGTAATGATTATCATCAGTCATCATTATCATTATTCAATGCTTGATTATAATGGTGCGAACAAAAAAAAAATTTCAACAAAATCTCATTTTAATCCAAACAAATGAATAATTACATTATTTGAATTCCACAAGAATCTTGATTTGATATTTATTTATCATAATAATAATAATAATCGAATATATTGAATTATGCATATTCGTGGTTAGAAAAATAAAATCAATCACAATTCAATGGTTTGAAAAATTTATTGAAAACGATAAAACGTGACTACCGGGTCTTTAAATTTGTATAATCATAACTGTATTATTATTTATATGATGGCGATTGTTTTTTTTTTTGTTATGATACATCTTGATTTGAACAAATATTTATCAATATATCATTGTTATTCTTATGATTAAAACAAGAAGATTTCAAATCCATCAAACGCCAGGATAATAACTGTAAACTTTAAGAGAAAAAAAAACAGATATGAGGAAAAAAACCATTCACAATGAAATTGCATGAATGAATGAATGAATGAATGCTTTCGCGGCCTAGCTAAATTATCTGTGACTTTACCTGTTATTTTCATTCATTTAATTATCAGTTCGTCTTTTTTATATTTTTTTTCTCTTGGCCTGTAAATGAGATAAAAACCCAACCAAACTCTTGTTGAAAAAAAAACAATAAAAAATGAATTTCGTTTTATTATGATAAAATTCACACATACACACAGGCTATGTGTGTCCCTATTTCTCTTTATCGTTTTTAGTTTTTAATTCAAACAAGTTGTATATCCAAATCGTATTATAGCTACAAAAATAATAAAATAAAATGTTAATTAGAATGTGAAAAAAAAACAAAATTTATATGTAAAATTTTTAATTCTTGCATACAATCTCAAAGACCATGGCTTTTTCAATATCAGTATTTTTGTTTTCATTATTTGGACTTGAATTGAATGATCGGACTATAAAGCGGAAACGAAAAAAAAAAAACAAATTGAATAATCAAGAATGGCTCACTGACCAATGGTGATTGAATCCGATTGAATTCTAATTGGTCAAATGTGATTATCACTAGGCTAGACAACGAAGTGAATGAAGATGAATAAAAAAAAAAAAGAAAAGTTCAACTCAATTTATGATCCATTCGTCATTCGCTATGATATTAGTCATAGTAATCATAGTAGAGAAATAGTTATGAATGAATGAAGATCATAAAATGATGATGATCAACGGATTCGATTGTTTTGGAATATAACTTGAACGATGATGATTACTTATGAATGAATGAACGATTTGACGAATGAATAATCAAAGAAATTTTTTTTTCTACAAATTTTGGACATTTGATTTATTCCACCACCATCATCACAGAAAAAACTCATTCAATCTATCTTTTTTTTGGAATAGGAAGAAATTGGAAAGATTTTTTTTTTTGTTTTATCTTCTACAAATCTTGAGAACATTACAACAATTTTGAACTCGATATTTGGTGATGGGAGGGAGAAAGAAAAAAAATCAAAATTGTAAATAGACATACAATTACTACTTCATTATTATATGAATAAAATGTTGATAGACATAGGCCAAGAACATCGAGACAAAAGAAGATTGATGCACTGTGCTAATGGTTGATGACAACTTTAATTCCCCCCTCCAAAAAAAAAATTCACCATCAAATTTGTGAAGCTGATGATTGGTATTGTTTGATATATCCCATTTGTAATCAAACATCATTCGAATTTGTCTGTGTGGTCACAAACACAATCACCCTTTTTTTTTTTTTTTTTGTTGGTTTTACATTCTTCTTGAGCATAATTTTTTTGTTCTTATTGAATTGAACAATGACGTACTATCATCATTTTTTTAAAGTTCATTTATTTGAAATGAAAAAGCATACTTGGATTTTTTCTTCTCATAGAACCATTATCAACTGATTATTGTCAGCCAATATCCTCATATGGTAAATTTTGTCCATATATATTGTCGTAAAAAAATTGTAATATGTACACTTCCTGTATATGTGTGTGTATCAACATCGGTAATCATCATATGTACCATCAAATCATGACCATAACAATTTTTTTTTTGAGAGAAATTTATTTTTTTTTACAAAGAATGTGTCTTTGTATTATTCGAATATCGGGTATACAAAAATAATGCCACTTTCTCTTTTTCAACAATAACCGAAGATAAAATGATGGAATTGAATTGTGATGAAGAGAAAGAAAACGAAAGAGTGGACAAACGATATGACAAACAAGATTGTTTTGTTCTTCGGCATGCATCATCTTTTTGTGCTTCTATTGTCGGTGAAAAATGTTCGGATCATCTCTTTGAAATTCCTTCCGTAGACCATAATCAAAATGGATGGATTGTCTCGCTACATTGGGTATAAAAAGTCGTTGCAGGATCCATATTTGCATCACAAGTTTGATCAGTTCTACAAACAACAACAACCGACAATAAGATCGATTCAAATATGAAGCTGAAACTTTTAGCAATATCATCCATATTGGTGGTTACATTAATGGTTAATCTACCCGAAGTGGATGCCGGCAAGATGAAAAAGATGATGAAAGACATGATGATGATGTCGATGATGGGGGGAAAAAAGAAGATTATCATACCGATTCCGATTCCGATGAAAATGGGTGGTGGATCAAAGTGTGTGTATGTACCACAACCCTATCCCGTTATCAAATATGTCGAAAAACCCGTTTAGTAAGTCTATGTATCACATGAATTAACTAACAAATTTTGGAATTTTTTCCATCTCGTTTTCCTACCCGATTTTCCCTAATTCCCAATACCCAAATTTTTTTATTTTTACCCAAAATTTAGTATGAAAGGCGGCGGTGGTTACGGTGGTGGTGGTGGTATGATGAGTTATGGTAAGTGAAATAATAATTTCTCGAAAACATTGTATTCAACATTTGTTTTGTTATTTAACAGGTGGAGGAGGTGGTGGTGGTTATGGTAAATGATTTGGATCTGAAATGATATGAAAATTTTTCTAAAATATTGTAATCAATATTTATTTTGTTATTTAACAGGTGGTGGTGGTGGTGGTGGCGGTTATGGAGGAGGCGGCGGAGGTGGTTATGGAGGAAGCGGTGGTGGTGGTGGTGGTTATGGAGGAGGAGGCGGTGGTGGTGGTGGTTATGGAGGCGGTGGTGGCGACGAATATGGAGGTGGTGGCGGTGGTGGAGATTATGGTGGAGGTAAATAATTTGGATTTCAAGTTTTAAAATTGGCGCTAGACAATTCACAGATGAATAGCCCGTTATAAACATAAATATGTGTATATTTATATTTATTTTCTTTCTCACCAGGTGGTGGCGGCGGTGGCTACTAAAACAAGAATTTTCGGATATTTAATGGATTAATGAAAAAAAAATCATGCGTACCGTGTACATAATTTTCATGTTTCATACTTTTGCCATTCTTAATGCACCGAAGCATCATCATTGCCAACCATCACACATTCATTTTCATCATATAATCATTAAACCTTCATTTCCGTTCATTCGTGGTCATTTCGTCTTACCGTCATAGATCGTATTCACATCACATTATTATCGTTGCCTCAACCTGCCATTAACCATTGCAATCAAAAGACAATTTTTTAGTCACATCCTTCATAACCATTGTCTGATTCACACTCATCACATACAAGTCTCTCGTCTGTCATAAAATTTCTAAAATAAATCAAATTTCCCGATCCCCTAATCCCCTTTGATGGTTCCATCTGCTATATTCCCGTTGCTTCAACAACTTCCTCTCCTTGCACTCCCAACGAAAATAAATTCTTCATCACTCCCAATCACTTCCTCCACCCATTCAACGATAATTCAAAAAAAAAAAAAACAAATCTTTCATCATCATTAACACATCAAATCATTTGATCATTTTGCGTCATATGGGAAACTGAATTTCCGCTGGTTACGGAAATTACAGAAAAACAAATGACTAAAAGTTGTTAAAATTTTTATTTGTTTCCAAAAATGCATCGAAATCATCATTTTTTATTTCACTCATTCTAAATTTCTTTCTCAAAATTTATATTAATTAAAATATTTACAAATCAATTTTTTCATTTTAATTATTGTTCGCCCGATGCAATTCTTATTTTCCAATGTTTATCATTGGAACTGGTTTCATCGGATTTCGGACCCAGAACTACAACTTTTCCTTCGCCTGAATTAGGACTAGCCAAGTATCTGCAAAATTAAAATGGGTTAGAAATTCGAATGTTAAAAGATGAAAAAATTTTACCTTTCAGCAACTTCCTGTATATCTTCTCTAGTGACATCCAACAAACGATGACGATACTCTTGACGCATTTGATCTGTTATACCAGTTAAAAATTGTTCTATTCCTTGTTCACCAGGAGGAATAGGTTGATCAATCGATTGAAAAACTTGAAGTTTGGCCTCATCGATCTCTTCATCCGGATAATTCTTTGGTCGTATTAACCATTCACCCACTCTTTCGAATGCGTTGATAGTTGAAATGATATGTGGATCTCGATATGAATAGAAATGGAACACACCACCTGAATCTAATCGAGCACCACCACCATATGCACCGCCTTTTTCACGTATTTCTTTATGTAAAAATTTCATCGACACCAAACTGGAAGCGATACGAAGTTTAGCGTGATCCACATGTGAATATGGTATACAATATACTGAACGACCCAAAAAATTAGTAGAGAATGGAAATATAAAATGTTCATTCATCGAATTCGATTGCACTGTAGGCATCAAAAATTCCATAGCAGCTGGTTCTTCACTTGAAATCGGTGATGATGTGAATCTGAATGAATTAATAAACTTCTCAAGAACTTGTAATGAAGTTCGCATTGTCGCAGCTTCTGCATTTACTGCACATCTCAATGAATTTGATGTAAAACAAATTTGGGCAATTTGCTCTAAATGAGAGATAATTTCTTTCACCTTGTCTTGACTTGCAGCCATCAAACGAAAATAAGCCAATGATGTCATTCCACTTGTCAATTCACGGAATTTATATGCTCCACCAAAGAATGAAGAGGCTCTACGTAAAGCATATTGATGACCTTGATGTGAGACGCCTTGAGCCAATTCTGCTGAACATATTCTGATCAATTGCATTAAATGATCGGGATCATCACGAAATCGAACACCATTAAATATTTCGGTCCATATTTGAAACATTTGCTCTAGATTACGTTCCAAACAATATGAGCCAAGATAGATGCCTGCTTCAAATTGATCGAATGATGCGGGATGATCGGCAATATGTACCAAGGATGATAGACCTCCAGTGTGCATTTGTATTTTCTGATCCAATTGTTTGCGATCCATGTGACCAGCACCAAGTTTACTCAGTATTTGAGCGAACAATGGCAGATATGGGACTAATTTTTTCGGAAACATTTCTGGTTTCAATTGTATGACTGCATTGAAGTAAACAATACCATTAGTTGGTTGTGCGCTGTATTGAACGGGCACTCCCGATCCGATTTGAATTTTTTCTAGATTGGTTTCAAAAATTGTTCTACTAATATCTTGAATGTTTAATGTTGGCAAAACACTGAGATCTTCTTGGGTGCTTTGCACTTTTAACAGTTCAGCACCGTTTTTGAATATCTCTTCACGATCTTTTGTAGATAATTTGGAAATTTTCGAATTTAATAAATCTTGTTCAAGTTTCTGTTGTTGGCTCTCATATTCCAGATCGGGGCTCATCTCAATAATTAGCCGGTGTTTGTTGTCAATAAAATATTCTTTGATTTTCTTTTTCAAGTAATTAGGATCAGATTGAAGATTTTTTTTAAATTGTTCAACTTGCTTGTTGATGTTGAGACATTCTATTGGATTGACATCATGATTCCAGGTACTATTGATGTACATTAACAATCCAAGCCCAAAGTTAGATCCTTGGTGTTTAGTGCTCAATTCGATTCGATGCAAAATAGCATCGATACGTTCCTGAGGAAAACCTTCGGTATAAGCGTCCATTAAGGCCATGTCAATGGCTTTGAACACAGCACCGCTTTGATCAGATGAAATTCCTTGCAAGCCTATCGAAAATAATGATTGCTTCGTGAAATTATTGTAACCCGAAAATGGTGAATAATCTGACCCAAGACCAGAATCGATCAAGGCTTGGTAAAAGGGCGAATTAGGTCCATCCATCAAAAGTGTGCATAATATTGAAAGAGTAAAGTTTTCATATGTATCTTGTAACGATTTTAGCATCCAAGCCACACTGGCCGTTGTCTGACGATCTTGAAACGGAGCTAAAGGATCGTTTTGACAACGTATTTTAACCCGTTGATATTGTACCCATGAATGTTGATCGGGTATTCGTGATATTTGCCGCAACGATTCGTCAAAGTCAAATTGTTCAATTATTTTTCCAATAGCTTCCAAATGCTTTTCTAAAGGAAAATTTCCGTATGTAAAAAATCTAACCATACTTAATTAGTACAATTCATACAAGGATAACATCACATACCTTGCATTAGAAGGATGATAATGACGACTATGAAATTGTTTGAGCTGTTCATAGGTTAAATCAGGAATGGCTAAAGGGTCACCACCAGATTCATTACGATAGGTATTATCAGGGAATAATTTATTAATTAATTTACGAGTATAAATCGATGATGGACTTGACTTTTGACGATAGAAAAAATCAATAAGTTAAATCAATATTTTTATATGAAATTACTCACAAAAACGCCTTTCATTTCATTGAATACAACGCCTTTGAATACTAATGGTGATTTATCATCTTCAACATTAGAATGTTCTAAACGCCAACCTTCTTGAAGGAAATCTAAATAACGTAAACGTGGATGAAATACAGCATCCAAATATATTGACATTAAATTGTAAAAATCTTTTGGATTTTGTGTAGAGAATGGATACATTGTGTAATCACATCCAGTGAAAGCATTCATGAATGTAGATAATGAACGGGTCAACATCTTCATGAATGGGTCGCGCACTGGATAACGATGAGAACCACATAGCGCTAAATGTTCAAGAATATGGGCCACACCTGTTGAATCTTCTGGTGTCGTACGAAATGAAACACCGAATACATTATTTGAATCATCTCTGGCAATGTGTAAATGTTCGGCACCATTTTTCTCATAAATTAATCGATACGCTGTTAGACATAGTTCAGGAACTGATTGAACAGATTCTACACGATATCCATGAATATGCTGGCCAACTTTAAATTGCAATTCGGTCGTATTACTAGAACATGATGTCATTGGATTTGTATTAACCAACGGAGTTTGAATTGACGATGCAACAGTTCGTTTTGTTGGAAATAAAAGAATCGGATCCAAATTTTTGAAAAGAACTTGTAATTTTCTGTGGTAAAATTGTCTTTGAGATTGATGAAGTTGTTGAAGAATGGATCGAAAACCGCGGATTCGATACATTTTGAAATTAAATTTTAAACAACCGAATTCTAATGCACAATTGCAATCACATGTTAAGATGATTATTCGCTGAACATTTACGACAGATGGTGCAGCGTATAACGATGAATATTCAATTTTTGCTTTTGGCCTTCATTTTCATCTTCATCGTCATTCATAATCATGTGAAACGCTGTTATTTCATACTGATTATGTTGATAGGTTCGGAAAATCCTTAACAATCAATAAAACTAAAATAAAAGTGTACATGGATAATTTTCCCATCAATTCCTTGTTTTTCCTGTTTCAATTTGAACAGAGCAAAAGTATATCTCATTTTTTCTTGTTCAACTTGTTTAATTTTTTATTTTATCATTGAATAATATGAAATGAAAATATCCAACGACAACAGAATTCAACTTGGTGATAATTATTATAAGGGATAGAATAAGAACCTAACATGTGTTTATTTTGGGATCAGAATAGTAAGTTTCTTCGCAACGAATTGTGCGCCTGCCAATCTTGTTTCAGGCTTTTCCATCAATCTTGATAAATTTCCACCATATAGCCAAATTTACTATAACAGTGTTTTATGCTACTTCCAAGAAAGAGTCGAATTTTTTCATTGCGACATTTTACACAGGATTTTTCCTTCGGCTAGGTTAATATATATTGTTTATGTTAGTGATGGACCATAAACGATTTATTATACAACCTTGATTTAGTTTCAGGAATTATATAAATTAATACTATACTACTATATTTTGCATTGATTTATATATCTTACACATCTTTTTTCCCAAATTAGACGATCAATAATTATCAACAGAAAAATAACTTCATCGTTCCCTTAGTATACTAATCGATCGATCCATCAAATCATCACTGATCATCATAGTCTTTAACACCAAACTTCAATTGAATATAATCAATTTGTATCAAATCGAATCATCTTTCGACATTCATTTTTTCGTAGGATAGTGAACTGATATTTGCAAAAGAAGATGTAAGTTTATTGATAAAATTTTATCATCAAAATCGTGTCATTTTAATGATATGTTTGGATGCCATTGAAAATAATTGAAATGATTATAAGAGCCATTCTGATTTTCCAATTATATTAATTTACTGTTGCTTTTTCCATAGAATTCATCTAATTGTCATCACATAAAATGTTCCGAAACGTTTTACGAGGTGTTACATCTTCTTCCTCAACTTTCGTCAAATCTCCATCACCACTAATTCTATCATCAATATCACGTCCGTCCCGATTGGATTTATTGCGAAATTCATTATGGACAAGTTCTGCCAGCATTTTAAAATGTCCACAAAAATCAGAGGACTCCATTAAAATGGAAGATATAAATCAGCCACATCAAATTCCCGAACGTTTCAAGTATGTGATCGATGCTGAAAATCCATCGTTTTTCCACATGGTCGAATATTTCTATCATCGTGGTTGGCAAATCGTTGAAGATAAATTAATCGATGAACTTCGAGGACGTATGACTATTGAAGAGAAAAGAAAAAAGATACGCGGTTATTTGAGTATTATTGGTCCATGTCATTCTGTGCTCGAAGTTTCTTTTCCCCTTAAACGTGACAATGGAGAATATGTAATGATCAAAGGGTGGCGTGCTCAACATAGTCATCATCGTCTTCCAACCAAAGGTGGCATCCGTTATAGTACAGATGTCTCATTAGATGAAGTGAAAGCTTTATCCGCATTGATGACATTCAAATGCGCTGTTGTCGATGTACCATTCGGTGGAGCTAAAGCTGGCTTGAAAATCAATCCCAAAGAATACAGCGAAAATGAATTAGAAAAGATGACCAGAAATTTTGCATTGAATTTGGCCAAAAAAGGATTTCTAGGGCCTGGAATTGATGTTCCGGCTCCTGATATGGGTACTGGAGAACGAGAGATGAGCTGGATTTCAGATACATATGCACAAACGATTGGCCATACAGATTTAAATTCACATGCCTGTGTCACTGGTAAGCCGATCAATCAAGGTGGTATTCATGGTCGCATCTCTGCAACGGGTCGTGTAAGTTTTGAAACGAAGCTCTTGTCCAATTTTTTAATTTTTGTATTTTGTAGGGCTTGTTTCATGGAATCGATAATTTTATCAATGAAGCATCATTTATGGCTATGATTGAATCTACACCTGGATGGGCTGGTAAAACTTGTATTATTCAAGGTTTTGGTAATGTTGGTTTGCATGCGATGCGATATCTACATAGAGCTGGTGCTAAATGCATTGGAGTTATAGAATATGATGGTTCTATTTACAACCCTGATGGTATCGATCCAAAAGACTTGGAAGATTATAAATTAAGCAATGGAACTATTGTCGGTTATCCTAAGTCGCAGCCATATCAAGGAGAATCTTTATTATATGAACCATGCGATATTTTAGTTCCAGCTGCTACAGAGAAAGTTATTACCAAAGAAAATGCTCATAAAATTCAATGCAAGGTTTGTCGACATTTATTGCTATTGAATGTTACTTTCATTCAATTTTTTTTATAATTAAAGATTATCGCTGAAGCTGCTAATGGCCCTACAACACCTGCTGCAGATAAAATATTGATTGATCGAAAGATTTTAATCATCCCAGATCTTTATATCAATGCCGGAGGTGTGACGGTTTCTTATTTTGAATGGCTAAAAAATTTGAATCACGTTAGCTATGGTCGTTTATTATTCAAATATGAACGAGAATCTAATTATCATCTTCTCGGTTTGTTATTTATTTTACATCGAAATTCTTGGTTTCTTAATCAATGATTTTTAATATAACAGACAGCGTTCAAGAATCATTGGAACGGCGTTTCGGAAAATCAGGTGGCCGTATACCGATAGTTCCCAGTGAAGCTTTTCAGAAAAAAATATCCGGTGCATCAGAAAAAGATATTGTATTATCCGGTTTAGATTACACAATGGAACGTTCAGCTAGGGTATGAGAATTTTTTTTTGTTGATAATTGAAAAATTTTTAATTTTTTCTGTTTTCAGCAAATCATGCGAACCATTCAAAAATACAATTTGGGTTTAGATCTTCGAACAGCGGCTTATGTGAATGCAATCGAGAAAATTTTCCTCACCTATAAAGAAGCCGGATTGACATTTACATAGAAAACAATGGCGATATTCGTTTTGGATTGAGTATACCTTGTTGCATGTTTTTTTTTTGGTTTTTAATGAAAAAAATCTACAAACTAATCTAAATTCATAACCATTGTATCTGAAAAAAAAGATTTTAGATCAATTTTTTTAATTGTGTGTGTATGTGTATATGACGTATATAAAAATTTTTCTCTTTGTTCTGGTTATAAAAGCATTTTTTCAATTCTTTTATTGTGGTTTAAAAAAAGTATGGATGGATTTAAATTATAAAAAGCACTAATTTTAGAATCCAGACACAATTACAATAATTTCGAAATTTCTGCATTTGTTTTATGGCGATATAGTATACTTAGCAACGAATCGAATGCCTTTCAATTATCTGGCAGAAAAAAAAGCATTCAATGTCAACTATGACGAAAATGCATTAACGAAATAGGGCAGTCGAATTCTGGCGCGTTTTTCTAATCATAACGATTCGATGTTCATTGAGATTACGATTATGGTATATAAACTCTTGAACGAAAAAAATTACATTCAATTCATCGAATCAAAGTTTGACTTTGGTGGTGTTGGTTCACACACATTGCATGTCTAGCGAATGGGAAAGTCGAAACTTTTTCGCCAAGGCGATATAATTTATTCAAGTAATGACAAACCGTTCGTTTACGTACTTTTCTCTGATCAACGTATGATTCGTTGCGATCATTGTTTGTAAGTTTAAAGTGATTCAAGTAAATAAGATTATTTTACCCATCTCTGTTCCAAAAGCAACAAAATTGAAGATTCAAAATTCACGTGTCTTGGGTGTCGCTATGTTCGATATTGCTGCAAAGAATGTCAGGTAATGATAATGACCATAATATTATAGAATGATTATAAAAAAATTGGTTTTTTATCGTTCTTTTAGGAACAATCGATTGATATACATCAGCCAGAATGTCACGTAATTGGAAAAAGGCCATTAAGAACAATGACAAGAATGATTTTACGTATTTTGAACAAAACTAATGCTGTGAATCAAAAATTAAGTGATTTAATTTATGGCCATGAAAGAACGTGGGATTGTTTGATGGATCATTATGGTCATCTCATTCAAGATTTAGAAACAATGTTGACTTTTGGAGCCATTTTTGAAGAATTAGAATTGTTTAATTTAAAACAGATTTTGACAATTGAAGAATTGATAAGAATCTATGGAAAAATTCTGATCAATTCATTTGCTATAACTGATCAAAATTCAGGCAGTGTAATAGGAAGAGCACTGTATCTTGGGTAAGATATTCTGAAGCAAATGAAATGAAATGAATTTCATTATTGATTTTGTTTAAAAGGGCGTCAATATTCGATCATTCTTGTTGTCCGGATCTTTATTATCAATTCGATGGTCTGAAAATTTATTTCATTGCATCCAGAGATATCATTTTACGCGTATCTAATATGATCGAAGAAATTTCCGATACAAATGATGAGGATGGCGCTCAAGATGTGAATCAATTATATATTAGCTATATTGATGAAATTTTGCCTGTTTGGGAACGGCAAAGAATTTTAAAATCCGGATATTATTTCGAATGTCGGTGTACACGTTGTCAGGATGACCTGCAAAGATTACCATCAATAAATAATGAACCACGATTATCACAATGCTTAGAAATGATTGAAGATTATTTCGAATCGGATCATTGTTATGAACTAATTCAAATGGCTGTTGATTATTTTAAATACAATGAAACGCATCCAAACTTTTTAATTCCAGATGATATTCTACATCGAAAATATCTAATTCAAACGAATCCGGAATTATTTTCAATAAAACAACGAATCGAAGCCCTGATTCAACACCATAGACAGCAAAAAGAATATTCATCACATCAAATGTTGCTGGAACAATGTCGATTAATATTGACCAATGGATGTGCATTAGATTTGGCAACAATTCTTCGAATTAAAGATTTCATATCATGTCATGAGTGTGATTCAGAAGAATTGGAACAAATATTACAGATATATTCCCAATATTATGGCAATCATAAACATCCAAGAATCCTACGAAGAATTTGGTTTTGGTTAGGAATTCTGCTATTGGACAAATTTTCATCACCTCAATCATCAAAGATCATTGAAAAATCCATTATAAATTCAAATATTTTATTATCATTACATAGAAGAACAAAGCTTATAAAATCTTATTTACGATTCAAGTTTTTTCAAAATAGATTAGAAACTATCACATAGATCATTGGAAATGATTTTTAATTTTTTTTTCAAATAAACATCTCTTAGGCAACAGCCAGATAAATGCGTGCAACTTTCCAAACAATTCGTCGACATACAGGACCTATGAAACAAAAAACAAAACAAAATTAAAATAGATTCAAATTCAATTTTCCTTCCACATACATACAATTACCGAAACGACGAATTTTTTGCTGTGCACACGATAAACATGAAATCAAATGGCCACAATCCAATAAGACACAATCGATTGTACGTTCACAGCAAAGCCAACAATCTGGTAATTTTTTCGATGATGATAAATTTATGTTACAATCGTTTTGTAGCTCAAATGTTGTTGTGTCATTAAAAATCATTCGGCTGACCATCATTGGTCCTGAACTTGTTTGAATCCTAGTCATAATTTCAAAGTTTTCAAGTTTCAAATAGAAATAACATTTAAATTGTAAACAAGTACAATTGTTGGAATTGACATTTTTCTTTATTAATTCATAATAATAATAATAAAATATAAATTCACAGTTGTAATTTTTTAATAATGACATTAATTTCAATGAATCAATTTATGAATGAATTAAACGAATTTTTTTTCGAAATAAAATGAAGAATGTTTTTTTTAATCAAAAGAATGTTGTCGATTCGTTTGAAAATGAGATGAATTTTACATAAAAGAGAAAAGAAAAAAAAACAATTTTAATGTCGGCGAATAAAAATGTGTGAAAAGAGAGGAAAGGAAAGATTATGGGTCCATATGACAGATTAATCAGCCAGCTAGCAATCAACAAATGAAAGATGTTTGATGTGAAATTAAATTTTATACATATAACACCACCGTTGTATTAGTGATCAGAAGATGATATTACAAGGATTCCCCAATTTGAGTAATAATGATCAATAGGAATATATAAGATGTAAGTTTGTGGGTGCCCAGCATTCAAAAGAATATTCGATCAATAATTTTGATAAAATTTAAAAAAAAATCATCATAGTCCAAATTGGCCAAAATCCCTTTTTTTATCTGAACCAGAAACTAAAGTATTATTCGCCGTGTCCGAAAAAAAATTCAAATTTGTTATCACAGAATCAAGTTGAGAAAATGATAAAATAATTGTTCCGATTCGCAGTAAATCCAGTTGAATTCGATCAAATCATGGTTCATCGTCTGACAAGGGCTCGTATGACAGATTATTCAAGTTTGCAGCTGCTGTAGTCGTATTTGTTTTAACAGGTTCTGATGAAGCATTATCTATCAGGTTAAAAATTTTAAATAATTAATAATGTCAATTCGATTAAGAATGAATAAATTAAATTACCATAAGAATTGTTGTTTAATTTGATCACGCCACTTTTAGCATTTTTACCATCACTAGACGACGATTCATTTGTTATAGAATTATTTTGAACCTCTGGTGAAGATGTAGGTGATGGTGGACGGGGATTTTCATCGATCACCATTTCACCTGGTGAACTTGGGGAATCAGGAAACGAAATTGACATTGTTTTATTATTATCTGTTGTTGATAATGAGGCATTTTCCGAGTTTTGAGTGGTGGATGTTTGTGCTAATTCTTTGTTACATTCTTCAGTAGCTAATTTTTTGGATGATGGTGTTGAAGATCGAGATAATACTCCGGCATTACCATCCATAACCATTTCAGCCGAAGATTTATCAGGCCCACTATCTTGTTGTTCATTGTTGTTGTTGGCATTGGTTGATGCAGTAGCGTAATTACTAGATGAAGATGTTCGTTTCATTGCTTCTGCGATTCGATTAGTAATGAAAACGGAGATTCATGTCCACTTGGTAAATGATGAATGGATGAATCAGTAGCGCTATTGGAAATTTTTGAAGGTGTGAGATGTGGCGGTGGATGATATCCGAATGGCAAAGAATAATTAAGAAAATTTGGCCAATTAGCGGCGCTAACTATTGGATTCGACGGTTGAGAACCCGAAGATGTTCCTTGTGGTGGAGATATTGGCTCAATGTAGTGAGACAAATATTTCGAATTGGAAGGCAGTGGCAATGTACCGCTATTTCCAGCCATACTGGTAGGTGGTGTGGATACATTTCCAGCCATATGAATCACTTGTTGCCTATGCATTGAAGAATCAATTGATGTATCCATCGGTTGTAAAGCGCGACGAAGCTTGAAATTATCAGATACTAATGGATTTGAAGCCGTCGAAGTAGTTGAACCACAACCAGCCGCAGCATTAGCAACTACAGTGCTTAAATCATCTCGAACATTTTTCGACGAACGAGATGAAGATGTTACAACCACTGATGATCCAGGTGATGAACTTGATGATGAAATATTTTGAATATTATCAGTAATCATACTGAATATAGTATCTCTCAACGATGGTTTTCCTGACATACTAGACATATCTATTCCACTTGTAGCGGATGGTGGTGGCCCTTTATGTTGATTGAATAGACCACCGATATCCAAAACACGTTCTTCCACTGGAATGTGTTTAATGTTTAAAATTGGATTACTACTGTTCAAAGTTGGAGTATTCGATGGAGATGAATTATTATTTAATGATTTCAGGCGATTCAATGACGATGGATAATTTGCAAGACTTCCACTTTTTGTCGAATCCGTGTTGATTTGTTTAGTGATAATGGCATCGATCAAATTTGCAGCTGTTATTCCGCCAGATGCAGGATTGGATTCACGATCTTTTTGAAATGATTGAGAAAATAATTTCGAAGCTTCATCCATTGTTGATTCTGAACTATTGTTTATGTGAATCGGTGTTGATTTATTTGTACCGCTTCTTGGCGATTTAAGTTCATCGTTTTTTGAAGACAAGGCAGCCGATGCGTTTTCAACATGTTGTCTCAGTCCACGTTCAAAATGTTCTTGACTAAATGGATTAAGCTCACGGCCAAATTTGAGTCCAGGATTACTGCCGGCAGGATTGACATTTAATAGAGGGGGATATCCTAACAATTCCGGTCTGAAACCACTAGCCGCAGCAGAATTCGCTCGTTGGTGATGTTCAAGTACTGAATGAAAATCTGTAGGATAAAAATTTGACTTTTTTTTCTGCTGTTCCGCTAACAATAAATGACGTTCATGTTCAGATAGATGGCCAGCAGTAGGCAACAATCCAAACGGTGTTGGTCCAGTTCCGGGAGGAAATCCTCGACTTCCAGCTACCTTTGCCATGAGATCAAGATTTTCGGCATGAACTATGCTACTGGTTGAAGAGGGTCTTGAATCTGATGATCCAACTCGATTGCGATTTGATTTTGAATCTTCTTTGGATTTATTGTTTATGGAGAGATCAGTAATCATATCTTGAGTATGGCTAGAATCATTTAAAACAGGAGGATAGACAATACGATTAGACACAGCTTGTTTTGTTTGCGGATTCGTTCCAAGATGTTGAGCGAAACCTTCCGAAAACATTTCTCAAAGCCTTCTTTGTTCAAGCGTGATGAAAGAGATGATACAGTGGCTGATGTCGTACTGGACGTTGAACTCGGTACCGATAAACTAGGCTGCTGAACGGCTGCATTAACAAGAGTGGCTAGAGCGTCATGTTCAGGTGGAAAATTATGCACATTTCCTGCAGCTGCACTTGTGATCCGAGGAGAAAGAGAATTTTTGATTAAATCTTCTCTCGGTGGTACTGATTGTATAACTGATGTCCCTTTTGATGATGGATTTTGATGCTGATAACATTGTTGTATGACATTTTGTCGATTCTGTAAAAAATTCAAAATAAAGAAAAAATCAATATGACAATTTCAAATGAGACATACCAGAAAGGCTAATTGATTCCAATGAAGTAAAGCTTGCTGTTGAGGATCTAGGATAGGGGTACATTTTTCGCCTGTAACACGATCTTGAAGATAAATGGCGGAAGGTGAAGGGGCTGGTGAAATTTGAAATGAAGGTGTTCTTGGAAGATGTTTATCCGAATTGACACTTGAGGGAGGAGCAGAAGGTGGAGGTGGCGGTATTAATCGTCCTGAATCTTGGTGTGAAGTTGTTCTCTCTGATTCTTTCTCACTTGATGCACTTGATCGTCGTGGTTGCATTTGTTTTGATGTATTAAAATCAATCAATATCTGATTCATGTTACCAGAATCGGATTTTGTGTTTCCATTATTTCCGGAAGGAGCTGGAGGTTTTGAAGATAATGGATAATTCGGCGAAAATGGCCTATGATAAAGCGGAAGTTGAGGTTGCAAAACAGATTCATAATTCTTCACACGATCAATAAAATCGTAATTTGGAATCGATCCTGTTGCAGATGTATTGGATTTACTCGAACGCTTATTTCCACCATGTACAACAGCAAAATCCAAAGCAGCTGAATCATTTTTTCGAGATGATGGATTAACACTTAAAAGTTGTGATGGATAATGTTGAGAAGTTGGAATCAATGGCGTTCCTGGAGGAAGAACATTTGGATTGGCTTGATTACCTCCAGGCATGATCAATGGTGTTCCTTGAGTAATTGAACCTTTGGCAAGTTCAGGGTTCATATGTCGATATAAATCATTATAATGTACTGAATGTACATGAGCTGCTGGGTGGAATGACCCTGTTGTTGGATGATGTGATGGATGTGGTAAAACACTTGTTGGATGAGAAGGCGGTGGAGGAAATTTTGAAGCGGCAGATACGGAAACATTTAATGCAGCCAATGCTGCAGCTTGTTGCTGATGAGGCGAAAGTGCTTGTTGTTGTTGACCAAGTTGACCAGGCTGTAAAACAACTGGAGTTCCTTGAGTTATAGATCCACTAGTTAGTTTATCGCGAATGGCTGTTTCTGCTTTAGGTGAAATGGAAAATGTTGTGGATGGTGGTGGCTGAGGTAATTGGGGAGATTTAGAGCTGATTTTAAGAGATGGAGACTGTACAAGGCAAGAGGTAGCCGGACCATATGGATTTGATGATTGACCAGAGGAACGATTCAATTTAATTGGGTCGATATGAACACCAGGCGATGAACCAGATGTCATAAAAGCGTCAATCATATTTGGTATTCGTGATGCCGGATGATTACTCATCAGATTCGATGAATGAGCGTACGGAGGACGTTGAACATTATCCAATGATGAATGCGAAAATGGTGATTTCACCTGATGTGGTATGTTCAAAGGTGATGATCGAGCTGAGGATGGGCCACTTGTTGAAGAATCCATTTTCATGATCTTATTGTTGATCGGATGATGGTGATGATAATCTTTTGGCGAATTACGCTGCAAGATTGTCTGATCATAGGCTCTTTTGGATGATTTACTACTCAAATCTTGTACTTCATCTTCAGCTGGTATAGAATTTGAATGTGAAGATCCATATGAAAAATTCATAGCAGCCAAACCTTCAGGTTTGATCACTAAATTCATACCAGGTCGTTGTTGTTGTTGTTGCAAAGCAGTAGAAGCTAAAATATCCATTTTGCTTGAATCTGGCGTAGGTTGTCGGCTTGACGATCCGCCAGTCGGTTGAGGTGGATTAGGTGTAGGAATTTCACGTTTCAAACAAAGAGGCGTTGAACTATTTGGCGGAATAGTGATTGATGATTGAACGGTATAACAAGGCTCGATCTTTACAGTAGTTTCAGAAGATGAAGCATGAGTAGTGGTCACAGAATTTGAGGGTGGTTGAGATATTGATGATTCTGTTTGCAAACTCTTTTCAATTGCTTTCCATATCAGATCACGAACACAAGTTCCACCGCTACTTGAATTATTGACAGATTCATTGTTTGCTGATGATGATGTTGAATTGTTACGATCATTAACAGATGGAACAGATGTAGATGCTGAATGTAATGGCGTAGGAGTCCGATTTGGATTAACAATTGCAGCAGCAGATGGATTGGTTGAAGGTATAGAGATGATGATGATGATGATGATGCTGAAATTTGAATCGATGGAGCATTTGGATTGATCAAGAACATCGGCACTTGTGGGGCATCGAATCCCACCAATTTATCTCGATGAAATGATGATGAATAAGGATTAGATGGTTTGATATCCTCCATTTTGTTCTCTACTTTTAGATTGTTCGAATGTTGATGATTATTTGATGAAGATCTTGATCCGGAAACAGGGAAAGAGAATGACCCGGATCGATCGATACCCGAATTGTTTTCATTAGTATTTGATGATTCGTCTGCGCTCATCGTAGCCGAAGAATCATAATCACTTTTAAGCGAACCTTGCGAAAGACTTAAAGGTTTGAAATCCTGAAGATTACTTGAACCAGTATTTTGACCAGGTTTCGCCGTAGAACTCTGAGCTTCTTGATCACCTGCAGCTGGTTTTCCACCAACTGATGAAGAAGCAGATGCTGTATCACTTTCATTATTATTGATGTTGCCATCTAAACTTGAAGCGGTAGTATCATCACCACTGAGATCACCATCAATGGCTCCACCAACACTAGAACCGTTATCACCATCGGTATCTTCACCTGAATCTACTGCAGAATTCCATGGCCGTCCAATTGATTGATAAAACTCTTTTAATGAAGGAACCAATTGAAATTCGCTCTTGAATAGTACAAAAGCTTTATAACAATCTTGAGGAGTTTTTTGGTGATCAAATCCAGTAGATGAAATGGCAGCCCAATTTTTACCATAGGCCCGAATCATTGTACGAAGCTTTTCTTGATCTTCTGGGGATGACCATACTTTTCGGAAATCTTCTTTTAACATCAGCGATGTATCGACGGTTGAAATTGATGCTGATGATAAATGTTGATTGGTCGTTTCGGTTAATTTTTGATCAAGATTAGCGTTTCGATTGTTTGATGTCAATCCAGCTAATCGGCGATTTATGCGCATCACACAACGTGCACAACCAATCTTAACATCCAACGGTATCTGTAGTTCTTGTGAAATTTGTCGTTTCATTTCATCATCAGACATATCAAGCCATTGTTGTGGTAATTGTTTGAGATGTAATTTTTTGCGTTTGGGAGAATTTGTAGTCGAATTCGAGGTTGTAGAATTTGTGTTTGAAGAATGACATGAAGGCATCGGACAATGCCGCTTTTCCCGTAGATTATTCGGATAGGCAACTCCATGTTGGTGCTGAGTTTTTTTCAGATGACAGCTAAAACAAACTCGTCCATAGATTTGACTACCATTAGATGTTTTCTGATTTAAATTTGTCGTTTTCAATGCAGATAATTGCAATCCATACAATTGAAAATTGGTTTGAGTAACTGGTCGTGATTTTTGTGGATTTGTAGAAACAAGATGATCACCACAACAAAGACAACATCCAATTGAAGAACCACTTCCATTATTATTATTATTATTAGCCGTATCACAAATTGTGGCTGAAGCAGAACCTTCTGGTGTTGATGTTCCATTTGCTAGATCTGTAACATTATTATTATCACTATTATCACATCGATTGATGACAGACGAATCTGCACTAGCACTATTCACTTGAGATGATGTTACGATGGAAGATCCATTTGTGGATGCAATTGTTGAGGATCGTGTTGAACTAGCCGTAGTCGTCGTATTATCACCATAGCTATTTGCTGTTGAAGATGATGACATTGAAAACGTAATCGTAGCAATACTTGAAGTCAATGGTATCGAATACGGCAATATAACTGATGTTGCTGAATTTGGATATTGACGATTGGTCGTGGATGACCCAGATGATCCATCCATTCCGCTCACCGTTGACGATTGCTGTGATTGACTGTTGATCAAATGTGGTGATCCACGTTGATTGACTAAATTTTGTTGTTGCTGAGCTTTAATCATAGCTCTCGTACGTTTCTTAACATGTTTTCTCAATAATTGTTTGTAATTCTCATGTTTTTTAGATAGGTAATAATAGTGGATACAATCAGCTATTGATTTACGTTCTAAATATTGAGCAATAATTCCAAATTTCTTTGGATTCATTAGGTATTTTTCGCGGAAAATTTCCTTCTCTCCTTCCGTCCAGATGTTCACGTTTCTTATCTCTTTATACAATGCCATTGGATCTTGTAGGTAACCATTTCGATTATCAAAGCGAATATGATTTTTGAATTCTTTTTCCGTATACATTATCGGAGGAATAACTACATATGAACGCATTTTCTTATCTTCCAATTCTTGATGTTGTAATCCATCCATTATCTCTTCAAGTTCGGCATCCGATCGTATTCTATGCTGTTGGGTACTATTTCGTTGTACACGTTCACGATCTTCACGTTGTTTTTTGATTTCGGGAAAATGTTTCTCAAAAGATTCGCGAATTTTGGCATCGCGTTGTTTTTTTACAGGATTAGATTCAATTTTTTCGATTTTTTTCAGCCATTCAATCATTTGTTGATCATATTTTTCTGCTTGCGTTTGTTGATCTTTTGTTACGTCTTTTTTATAATGATGGATACGGTCAATTAACTTTGGACGGAATTGTTGATGATGTTCATTGTTCTCACGAATAATCGGTAAATCCATCGGCTGATTATAAAGAGGCTGAATTTATTTAGAAAATAAACATATGGGTTAATGATGAAAGCTTAAAATGTCATTAAGACATTTAGATACATACTAATGGATTTGCATAAGATGAATTTTCATCCGTTCCCAATAATCGATTCAAGTGTTGGTGTGCTTTCTTTGCTTTAATCTATGAAGATGGAAAAACAAACAATCTTTATAATGCAAATCAGTGTGAATTAATTACATTTCCTACCATATTTTCATGAATGATTTTCTGCACTAATGTAGGTTCCGCTTTGATGCCATTTTTTTGTTTTTCTTCTTCATCCGGATCGGTTAGAGGTTTTCTGGTCGCAGCCTCCAATTGTTGCTAATTTGATCAGTGTTGACAAAAACAAAACAAAAAAAATGATTAACAAATGTTCCTTTGATAAGATTACTATTGTGAGTATTTGATGTTTCGTAGGAAAATAACCAACAACAACCAGAAAAGAAATCTAAATTTATGCTGATTAACTTCATTCTAACAAAATAAAGGTCATTTCTCTCATTCTAAGGGGCTTTTTTTCATTATCTTTGGTTTTTATTACATTTTTCTCATTCTCATTTTTTTTATTATATATAGCAATGATGATAGCATTCTCAAAAATAGTCTCATGTTTGATGATTGACAGCATAGCAATTATAAATACATACCGCTTTCAGTTTCAATGTATTGATATCCACTTCAATTGTTTGGATCTGTCGATCACAAACATTTATTGATGATAGGATTTGATCCTTCAATGATGTCAATGGCGAGATACGAGATTCATCCTGAGGAGTGGGTGAAATGGCTTCAAAATGTGGATTATAACCATCCTGATTTGATTTAAAAATTTATGCATTATACAATAGGCATTCCATTTGAATCAAGGAAACTTACTTCAACACCATCATCAATGGTCTCAATGACCATTTCTTGTTGATTAGAAGGAATAACACGTGAGCCGGTCGTGATTGCTGCTGATGAATTTGAACTTGATAACGATGAAGATGATAGGCCGTCGACCAAAATTTTCTGTGAAGTTGTCGCATGTCCTGGTTGTTGGATAGGGTTATAATAATGATGATGATTCGATAGTGTTAAAGATGACGAGGATGGGGGATGAAAACCACCACTATTTCCACCAATATGAACGAAATGTTGTCCAGAGGGAACGCCAGTACCCACTCCAGGATGCAAAGTCATCAACGGGATACCACCACCAGGAACTGATACTGGAATTGCACTAGGAATCTGTGGAATTGGACCAGTGCCTCCGATCTGAATTCCTGGACCACCGCTTGGTCCATAATGGGACATAAGATTTCTTTTGTTCGAAATATCATAAATTTCATGTAATAAATGACCATGTGATAAATGGTTATGTTGCAATGATGAACCATGATGTGGATGCTGAGAATTATGGTGGGGATGAATGGATGATGAGGATGATGGCGGTGGAGGTGCCGTATTGGTTGTGGACGATGCACCATGGTGATGATGGTGCATTAATGATGCTGGTGTTGATGGAGCCGATATTAGACCGGTCTGTATCAATGTGTTCAATGGATTGGGTGGTGGTGGTGGTGGTGCACCATGTTGTTGCTGATGCTGATGATGAAGATGATGATGATGTTGTTGTTGTGGTTGTTGTTGGTGATGATGATGGTTATTGATGGGCGCCGACTCTGCCGACGATATTGTCATCGGCGATGGCATCGAAACGATCGTGGTCAAAGCAGAATTTGAACCAGAATAATTCAATGAAATAGGTCCAGCGACAGTAGTAAATTGAGATATCACCGTTGATGTGGGTTTACTTGAATTGAATGCTACGCTTTCTTTTCGAATTTCATTTGTATTGTAATTTTGATTCGATAAATCATGTCTTTCAAATGAAAAGTATGTTGAATTAAATAACGGTAAAGTGTATGTCTAAGAATACCTACATGGTTAATAATTTATCATTAACTGATGATCGTTTTGTCGTCGATTCCGAACCACTATTATTATGTGATGAAGAGATTTTTTTACGATACGATTGGTTTTCAGTGTTGCTATAAACAGTATCGAATTGTTTAATTGGTAACAGATTTGAAACAGTCGTTGAATATCGGTTAGTTGTATTTATTAATGAAAACGCTGATGTCGTGGTCGCCGCCGAAGATGATTCGTTTTCCGTAATTTCACGTTTATAACTTTGTTGATTACTACTATGTCCAAGTGCAATTTCTTGAGCAAATCGTTCCTATAAGTTTTCGTTTATATGGATGATGATGATGATGATGATTATGAAAACGAAAAGAAAAAAAAACAAGATGAAATTGTGAAAAAAAAGAAAACATCAAGTTATTGGATTCAATGCGAATTTTGTTTAAGAAAAATCACGAATACAAAACCGATTAATATATATATATAATATAAGAAATAAAGAGAGAAGGCATTGAAAGAGACAAGGATTTTTTTTAGAAAGTGAGAGAAAGAGAGATTCGAGTTATGGTCTATGACGAGCAACTACAACAACTTAAACTTATTTCAATGATAATGATATTGGTATATACGTTTTATACGAACTGTATGATTGAATGAATTATTTGAAGACGAAATTCAATTCAATCAATAACTATAAAAAAAAGAGTATAGAGTATAATCATAATAATATAATATAATCATCATTATCGAATGCAGTGGAAATCAAACAACAAATAAACAAACTACATAAAATTAAAAAAAATATATGAAATGAATAAAAAAAAACAGCAGCACTATTTATTTATCTATCATCTCTATTCGTTTTGATCCTTTCCTGATTCCATTCAATTATCATCATTAATAGGATACAATATTATTCTAGACAACAAAATTCACAGAAAAAAATAACTAAACATAGCTGCTAATGGCTGCTATATATTACAGGACAAAATTTGAAAAAAAACAACAAGATAAAATAATCTGTGTGTGTGTGTGACTGAACCAAAAATCCATATCTGTTGTACATGTATATTATATTTATATATGTGTCCAGTTATTAGATTTGCGAAATTAAAAATTGTACAAAAATGAACACACACATATTCAATTATTCACAATAATAATATGATGATGAAAACAATGATTATTGGCTAGAGTTTAATTTTTATCTTTCTAATTTTTCTTTTCAATAATGATATTTCATCTAATATAATGACGAAAAGAACTTAATAATAGATTTATTTTGTTGCCAAAAAGTCATTGAAAGATATATAAGTGATATATTTGGTATCTCATTATTTTGAAATGTTTATGATGAGAATCAAACATACACACACAAATATATTAATAATACATACAAAATCTCTTGTCGATGATGATGATGATGATGATGATGATAATGGCTTAAATGATGGTGAACAAGCAAACAGATCACAACCACCATCATTTTTCAATAATGGACCCAATGGATATAAAGCGGATGGCGTTTCATTTAACGCCGTTATCCCCGAACCACTTTCGTTATATGTGGATCCTATTGATTTTTGATGATTGTTATTGGCCAATGGATATAATAATCTTCTGGTTGAATTATTGTTGTTTGTAACAAATTGATGATCAAATTGTAATGAATGAGGAATAGGTAGCTGTGGCGGAGTAGTACGATTCGGATGATAAAGTAGAGGATTATTATTATTATTATTATTGGTTATAAGATGATGTGGTGATTGTGATTGATACGAATTGTGTTGATGAGGATGCTCAAAATGTCCATGATGATAAAGTTGATGTTGTTGTCTTTTATTGTTACTATTGATGAGAGTTGATGATGTTGGTGTTGTCGTGGTTGTATATGGAGAATTTCTCGAATGAAGAGCATTATTATCTGAGGCACTATTTGATATTGATGATGATGATGATGATGATGAGAAAGAGGATGTAACTGGCACATCTTGCTGTTGCAGCTGATGATGATGATGTTGATATATAATGGACCTAGAATGCATTGAATGAATGAAATCATATCATCATTCAATGTTCTATTGATGATGATCGTGTTGTATAAATGACAATCAATCTATAAGATGTGGATTGAATAAAATTCTTTTTAATCCAGATTCAAATCAATAATAACAAATGAATGAATAGAATTCAATCAAATTAAGATGGATTGATGATTGTATATCAAAATTTTCTAATTTAGAAATTAAGTTATCAAACAAATAAAGAAATAATGATAATGATGATAAATTTTCAAGACAAAAGGAATGCAATATACCACACAAACACATACACATAAAGAAAAGAAACGGAACGAAAAATATTTAGGATTTTGTTGTTATAAATTGTGTGTTGCAACTTTGTTGGTTTCTATCGTTTCAATATTATATTATAATAAGATCAATGAAGATGATGATGATGACGATGAATAATAGACATGTATACAAACAAATTTGATAGAAAATGTGAATTATTAGATCATTATTTTTTGGAATAATAATAATAAAATAAAATCAAAAATCAAATATGACGACCAGAAATTACTTCATTTCACATTTTTTTTTCTTGTGTGTGTATGTGTCTTTTTTACCACCAATAAACATCATCAAGATCTAAATCATCATCATCATCATCAAATTCGTCGTGAACCTAACCATTACACACATTACACCACTGAATCACTTGTGCTCAAATAGAGAGATACAATTTTCACTAGAAACATAGATACACAACAAACATACACACACACACACACACAGAGGGATAGTAAATGATTTAAGTGGGGAAAAGAAAAGGAATGACTGTGACTGTTTGTGGATAATTTTTTTTGCTAGTAGCATATTTATACAGTGGTATCTCGGTTAACGTTGGTAATCCGTTCCAAGACGACCATCGTTAATCGAAACACGATTTTCCATTGGATATAAGGTTCCTTGATGGCTTATTTGTTTTTTGAAATTTTATATTTGATATTCCGATCCATAGACTAGTTCACTGACCATTAAAGAACCGTTAAATGATAAAAATGACCAGAATTGCCATCATACAAATGACTGAAGAACTGAAAATCCTAGCCAAAAAGTTGATCAAAATCAAATGAGATTTGATTGATGGAAAACCCGAAAAAAGACGATGATCCAAACAAGCTAAACATGGTCAGAGAAAATTTTTATTCAATTAAGTTTTTGATCTGGTTTTATACATGAGTCATGTTTAATAACTTAGGTTATGATGACCATAAATTATATAAAAATTTAATCAAATTTCGACCATCGTTAACCGAGATACCACTATCCTATGCCCCACGCTTGGTTGGTATAAGTTTTCTTTTCTTTTTTTTTTCTTTCTTCTTATTGCCTGTTTTGTTTGTTTGTTTGTTCATTCGTCGGTATATACCAGTCGCGTCATCAGAAAAAAAAATACACATACACTATACATCTATACATGGATCCAAGGCTAATATTCAAACCAGTCTTACTGTTTTATTATGCTACTACTACCATCATCATCATCATTAAAACAGAGAGAACAAAGAAGCATATACAAAACTATGTTTTTTTTTATACGCCGCATGTATGAATCAATCAAGTCTTCCATTGTGTTTTTTCATCAAAAAAAAAAATGATGTTGATGATGTTGATGATGATAATGATGTGGATGAGGATGATCAAGAATAACACAAATGAATAAAAAAAGGCTTCCTTTTGATAAAAAAAAAAACATAGTCGTCCTCGCTTTTTTTTCTTTTCTTTTCTTTTTTTCTCAGATTGTTTTCATCATGAACTTTGAATTCGAATCCATCAAAAAAAAAAAAAATGTAGCCCCACAAAAGTGGCTGAAAGTTTGGTTACATATATATATAATAGAATAGATAATACAAACTGTATGTATTGCCCACCCAAATATGTGTGTGTGTCTGTATAAACTACGTTATATACACTGAAACAGAACATTGAATGGAGTGTGAGTTAGTGAGTGAGTGAGCGAGTGAGAGAGTGAGAGAGAGAGAGAAAGAAAAAAAAGAAAGAAATGAAAATGATAAATTGGCGCAATCAAATTGGGGAAAAAAATTGAAAATCGAATCATTTTTTTTTCTTTTACGTAGAATTTATTTTTGGTTTTGTTCGATTAGTATCGATACACACACACGCTCAAGTTATAAAGATTTAACACACACAGACACACACACATACAGGAGCATATCATCAATAAAGGGTTAGAAATTCAATCACATTATTATTTATTAATCCATGAATGAATTGTTTCATGACTCCATGAACCATAACTATACGTTCAAAATTATTTTATTGACGTCAAATACAAACAACCAAACCAGAGAAACTATGACCTAAACCTAACAACATAATTTTTAGCTTTTTTCTTTCAAAAAAAAAAAATTTTTTTTTTTCATTTCCATTTGATAACACACACATTTATATACACAAATGTAAACAGGTAAAATTTTTACAAATCTATTAATACAAAATTAAAATCACCTGTCACGGTTAGTTCCAAAAGAAAAAAAAATTATCATCAAAAAAAAAAAAAAAAAGAAATTACCACATCAAGATATCAGATGCGGATATCTATATGTTATTTATACATGCCCTTCCCCCATTACACACACACACACACACTATTATAAATGAAATGAGATTTTTGATGGTGTGTAAATATACATAAGTAAATCTTGTGGTGTTGTTAGGATAGGGGGAGAGAGAGAGGGAGAGAGAGAGAGATAAAACCAGAAATTTTTTCCATTTTTTTTGTAGATTTGTCTATATCTCTAAAAAAACCAGTGCAATGATTTTTATGATGATTTTTTGTTTTCATTTCATTCATTCATATTATCAATCAATCATCTTCATTGCCGATACACTAAATACCCGTGTTTGTATGTGTGTGTTGTGTTTTCATTTACTTATCGAAAATTTTTTTTTTTTTTTTTTGATTAAATAAAAAAGAGACCTAAACCTAATCTCACCAATTGGTCGAACCAATCAAAACAATTGATATTGAATTGAATGATAGCTGTTTATCAAAATCAAATCAAATCGAATCATCATATCATCATTAATTGATTAATATTGATATGATATGATATGATATGATTTGATGATTTTGATGAATGATTGAATATCTATCGTATGGAAAAAGCCAAAACATAATTAATTTACATGCACACACACACACTGACATAGCCATGATTTATGATGATGATGATGATGATGATTATAATTAAAAACCGGAAGAGGCGTACATTCACCTTGTGTGAGATTTTTTTTTGTTGTTGTGTCCGGCTATCTATTCATATATTATAACATAACACAACTACCGCTACCCCCCAATGCAAGAAAAAAAAATCAATTTTAACCAACCACTCAGCCCACCATTAGACAAAAAAAAAAAAAATAAACATAGTTCTGTTCAAATAGATGGCCCCATTTTTTTTTTCTATTTTTTATCTATATATAGTGTTCCTGAAACATATAGAGAATAGGAAGAGAAAAAAAACTAAACGAGCTTAGACTGTTGTTGTTAAGAATTTTATTATTCTTGGATGTGCGTGTGTGTGTTGTGTGTGTGTGAATTAAGAGAATCGACTGTATTCTACACATACACAACAACAACAACACAAGCCGGTATTAAATTTTTTTTTTTTCTTTTACTTGAAAACAGTACGACGACGACAACAACAACAACAACACAAACCAGACCAAGATGAGAATAATCAAAATAAAAATAAAAAGAACCATCACGACAATAATAACAAAAAAACAACAACAACAACAACTTCAAATGAAAATAATCAACATCATCATCATCATCGTTATCATCAAAAATACGGACGAATCCACAATGACACAAAACTATGAAGGTAGAGACGAAAGACACCCACCACCATCACCACCACCATCATAATCATCATCATCATCATCATCAAAAGCAACAACATAACCATACATAACACTGAATTCAGGAAAAAAACGAAAATCCATGCAATATATATCCAATGTACCTTTTTTTCTTTTCTATAGAAGCCACGAGTCGAATCGAATGATGAGAGAGCAAAACAAACACAAACATAAACACCATTAAGACTACGAAACAAAAAAAAAATTTTTGTTGTCGATTATTTTTTTTTCGCTATACCCAAATGATGATGAAATGGATTCGGTTTTTTTTCGGCTGTCGACATACTAACTACAGTCATTCATCGATATATAAGGATAAGTTTTGTGTATGTATAAAACAAAAATCGATTGTAATGCTGATGTAAAACTATCATGTAATTTTTGAAGAATCATTTATCAAACAGACAAATAAACAAAACAAAACAAAAATTTACTATACTAAATATCCATAGATAGTGGATATACTATTGAAATTTCAAGACACCTTTACCGGAAAATTGATAGATTCGAATCTATTTTGACAGTGTCGATCATATGATGATGATGATGATGATGATGATGATGATATTATTTTTATTATTAGTTCTAAACAAGTCGGTGAACCTGACTTTTATTTATGAATGTCAAATAATAAAAAAAAAAATTTCGGATGATTCATTCCCTCCAATTCCCTTTTCGACATCATCAATATGATTATGATAATAAGAATGAATAAAAATTTCAGTTTAGGACAATTAAAAATTAAAAATCAATTCATATATGAATTGGTGGGAAAAAAAATTGAATAACAAAAAGAATAGACATCAGAATTCGTTGAATTCATTTTTCATTTTAAGACACACAATTTCATTTTTGTTGCTTGTTTTGTTCTAATTCTTGGGGCGAGGGGGATTCATAGAATTTTTTTTTTTGTTGCTCTTTCGATTTTGTATTTGTATTTTATCCACATCTACATCATTATCCATATTTAAAAATAATCCATTCTAATCTGTGTATGCGTTATTCTTGAACCAGAAAAAAATCCTCAATTACCATTGCATAATAATAACAGCCAGCCCACACACACACACAGGGTGGTTTTCTATTTCATCTGTCATCAAATGGGCTGGTAAGATTTTGGGCTATGGGGGGAGCTATGCATGATTATAAATAAGTGTTGAAAAAAGATTGCTCATGCACGATATGATGATGATTATCATCATCACAAACAAAAAAAGGTTGTGCAAAGATATTCTATTCATCTGGAACTAATGCTACCATCTATTATTATAGAATTTAAACTAATCGAGAATTCTCATTTTTTTCGTCTTGCTCATTTTGTTGTTGTTGTTGTTGTTGTTGTTGATCGATTATTCAACCTGTGTATTTGTGTGAGTGTTAACAATTGTGTCTGTGATATATAGAAGTTATAACGGAAAAAATAAAATTAAAATCCACTTAAACTTGCAAATCAATAAAAAAAAATTGCGTCGTCGTCGTCGTCTTCGTCATTCTTATCATCAATAAAATTGTACAAGTGTAATTTCTCATTTTGAAGGTAAACTTTTTGATTCATATACTGTGAAATAATTAACTATATTAACCACAAAATCGATTATTACGTGTGCATCAGACCCAAAAAAACTGTTAACCTGATCAAAAATTGTTACTACAATCTTTGTAATTTATAATTTTTACCCTTGGTTGATTGAATCAGAAAAAAATAATGTTTTGTGCAAAATATTCCAACAAAAGTTTCAATTGATTCATTCAATTCGTTTCATTGGTTTGTTATTAATATTTTTCAAATCCAATTTATTTCATTATGTTAATGATTATTCTTTATTAGTTTATTTTTTATACTTTTCTTCTGGTTCCATTATGTTCTCGTATGCGACAGGAACTTCGTCTTCATCATCATCATCAGCGAATAACCGCAATAATAATAATAATAATAGTAGTAGTAGAGAAAATTGTCGAAATTCAACAAACCAGAATAACAGCAGCAATCCAAGAGGTCAATCATTTAAATTCAATTTTAACGAATCATTTCGTAAAATTTACGACGATTTTCAAGATATCAAAGTGTCATTCGATGACATTTCAAGTTAGTATTTTTGGATTTTTTGTTTCATTGAAATCATAAATTCTTTTTTTCAAACCTTAGAGAATATACCAGAGATGAATAAAATATTCAACATATCGAAAACATCTTGTAATTCGTGCAATTCTGTTAATTCAAACATATTTGCAAGGAAAAGAAAATGTGGTAAATGTTCATTGACATTTTGTTCACAATGTATGGTTTATAATCCAGTGCCATCAAGAAAATCTATCTGCAATCGTTGTACAGTGTTTAGCCAACATCCGATATCAAAAGAAGCTTTAAATTCATTAAAAGTTCGTGATTTAAAATGGTTTCTTGCTTCAAAGAATATATCTTCGCATCATTGTTATGTAAGTTTTGTTTTGTATTATTATTATTATGAATTATATATCCTAATTTTTCAAATAAAGGAAAAATCCGAACTTATTGATCTGATCATATCGTTTCGCAATGGAACTTCTTCATCATCGTCATCAGGAATAAATTCTTCTACCAATGCACATCAACGTCGTCATTCTTATGCCAATGCTTCTGCCTCCAGCAATAATGATCAACAACATGAATCAAACTCATCGTCATCATCGAATAATCATCGTCAAAATTTCTATGAAACATCATCACATTCATCGCCAACATCGTTTTATAATAATTTAAACAATCGATCACCATCGTCAACATCATTCGAATCACATAATGAAACAGTGGATCTGAATGCAAATTCCAATGACAATGATACAATCAATTCAAATAGTGATAAAACTAATAAACAAGCGAATAAAACATCACCATCATCATCGTCGTCGTCTTCTTCAATGAATATAAAATTAGATGATATCAAAAATGAAGAGGAGATACGAAAATTATCTGTAAAACAGTTGAAATTATTATTGACTAGAAATTTCGTTAATTTTAAAGGCTGTGTTGAACGTGAAGAATTGGTGGGCAAAGTTTTACTATTGTATAATGATAAAAAACAAAATGATATTCTTAAAGGTTAGTTTCAGAATATTTTTTCTTTGATAAATAGCTATAAAAAAATTTGTTGAAATGAAAATCTATAGATCAATTGGAAACAGAAAAAGCATCGATCAATAGCGGTGGTGTGGATGAAAATCAATGTAAAATTTGTTGGGAAAATGTAATCGACTGTGTTCTATTGGATTGTGGTCACATGCTTACTTGTACGGATTGTGGTAAAGTGTTGAGTGAATGTAAGTATTTGCTTCAATCCTTATTCTATATGTTTCATTCAAAAACAAATTGATAATTGATTTATTATTATCGTTATTAGGTCCTATTTGTCGACAATTCATAACTCGTGTTGTTCATGTTTTTAAATCATGAATTTTAATTTTTTTGATTGAAGCCAGCCACACCAACCAGATCTCTATTCTCTTTAAAATCCTGTTTACGAACAAGATGTTAATGTTATTTGGTCGAAACTCCATTATCCAAATCTGTTTTTTTTGCCGTTTGAAAAAAGATTTATGTTTTTCACAGTAAATACGTTTATTTTCAAAAAAAAAAAAAAAAAATAAATTTTCATTATTTTTTCATAAATAAAATGTTTTGCTGTTTCCATTTTGATCCAATACAAATAATTTTAACAATGATAACTTTTGATATTCTTCAATTGCTGTGATTTTAAATGTTTGAATGGGTTCATCGAAAATTTTCGATTCGCTAACGAAATTCGTTTCGATATGACGATATTCAACAAAACGTAGTCCATATTTCGATGTCAGTACTTTGTCATTATTCATGATGAAAACATTCTCATCATGATTATTATGATTTGTGAATGAAAATAAATCATAATCAAACCATGGATTTAAATTCAAAATTATCAAATCTTCTTTTGTCCACCAGCGATTAACGGATAAATTTTGATGTAGAAAAAATTCATCAATTAAATTAAATTCTCTTGCCATTATTCCCGTTTGACGATGAGCCAATCCAAACACATGTCCTAATTCGTGTATCATGGCGCCGAATGTTGTCGTAAAACAACCAGAACGAGTATTTCTATTATTACTATCATTCATAAATCTTTTTACATCAATCGGACGTTGATCATTTAATCGTTGATGAATTTCTTCAATTTTTTCTGGCCAACAATATAAACAATGTGTACTCAATAATGCTAGACCATCTCCACCTAATGAGACATAGCCTTTTACTTGTTTAGATGGTATCCAGAATGGTTCATCAGAACGAGGAAAATATCTTGAAAAAGAGCAAAAAGCTAAAAATTTACAATCATTTGAAGCAAGTGGAGAGTTCATCAATTGATTGGCAATTAAACGCCAAAGTTTTGATTCATTCATCTGCCAAAGAACATCATTATCAAATCTATCGACTAGGAAACGATGAACAATTGGTCTATTATTTTCTTGTTGTTGATCAAATTCTAAACGAAAAGTTTTACCAGTTGTTTTCCAATAGAAATACTGTGCCATCATGGCTGCCAAAGAAATTCTTTTGCAAGCAGATTCGATCGTATTGGTTTCATTTTCTGGCGCTTCAAATTTACCATCATCAAACCAAGATGATGAAGTTTCACCATTACAAATCAGATAAATTAATCGGACAACTTTTACGTTTTTGGGATTCACAGGAAATTCTATAACAAACATCCATACAGATATATTATTATGATGATGACTTTTCCAAATTCTGAATACAATGTCAAAACATTGAATTTTGAAAATAAAATACAATTCTGTTCAAATAGTATGTTCAATTTCAAGATTTTCTTATCAAGTATCACAACAATACACACAAGAATTTGAGTCATGTCACTTTCTTCAAGGAGTTATACAAATCTACCACGAATTTTGCAGATAAAAAATTTACTTTCTAACATTGGTTATTCTTTTCACAATTCTGTGATAAAAAATGGCCCCATTCAAGATCGAATTGAAAGCAAATTGAAATCAAAACTAGATGTAAGTAGTGAATCACAAGATTAATAACATCCCTTTATTGATTTTCTTGTCTGACAGTAATAAATCTGATTTTATAATTTAAAATTATTGTCTATGATATTATGAATAGCCATTAAATTTGGATGTTCAAAATGAAAGCTCAATGCACAATGTACCACGAGGTTCGGAGACACATTTTCGTGTAGTGATTGTTTCGAAAAAATTCGATGGATTAAACGCTCTGCAGGTAGTTTTTTTTATCGTATTGAATTTTACACTGATCTTTATTAATAATTATGATGATGATAGAGGCATCGAAAAGTCGTCAAAGTTTTACGCGAAGAATTTCAAAATATTCATGCAATGGCAATCGAAGCATACACTCCTATACAATGGGAAATGGATCTGAATGGAAAATCTGATTGTCGATCACCAAGATGTTTAGGTGGATCAAAATCAACGAAATAATAATTTATTGTAAAAATTACTTATGATTAAAATTCATATAATGATGATAGTGAAATATAAAAGATATATATTGATTGATTGATTCCGAAATTCGAACATTCATGGATACACAATGTCTATGAATGAATCTAATTCCATATCAAGCCAAGTAGCGCCACTCATTCTTATTGGCCAACACCACGTTCGAGAATTTTTGTTGCCAGTGTTTTCGGCTGATTTTTTTCAATATTTATTAACATCAATTTTTTCGTTTTAATTTTTGTTCTAAAAATGTCTACTTTTTCAATACCAAGTTCAAAATGTTTCGATTTGATACAGACATTAAATTTTGATCAATTAGATCAATTATCATCACGAGATATACGTTATATATTACCTTGTTTAGTACGTATGTGTCATTGTGATACAATAGATTCATCAAGAAAATGGCTGGAGAATCGGCGAAAATTGAAACGAATTCTCACAACATTTCCGGAAGCAAACGATATTCGTCAAGTTTTAGATATTGATTATGTTCAATTAGAATCAGAAGTGAAAAAAGATTTGCAATTACGATTAAAATCACCGAGCCAACCACAACCATATGAAACATACCTGTTGTCATCCGTATTTCAATTATTCAAAATTTCAAACGCTGACTATGCTGAACATAGTTTGATAAAAATTTTCGAACATAATGATCAAAAACTTTTAATACGTATGAAATTAGTTTTAAATGAATTGCTTACATTATTTATATATTTTAAAAATCAATCATATCAATTAAACCAGCTACATTCCGGTCCAGTTGCATCAGAATTATTTGATACAGATATCTATCTTGATGAAATTGTTGATCTTATCTATTTTGCAATCTCTGAAATGCCAAGCACATTTCAATTGTTTGAGATTGTTGAAACATTATTGATTGTTAAAAATGGTCTACCATTGGTCGTGCGTTTAGTGGCTAATTTTCCCGAATCATTTCATGAAATATGTAGCACATTGATAAACAATAGTGATAGCAATGTGATTGAAGAGCAAAATTTTATTTCATCAAATCGTGTTCAAGTATTACGCAAACTTTGCCAAATGAATCAATCAGAAGCTTTATTGATTCGAAGTGAAGCAATTGAATTATGTCGTATGCCGAATTTGATCGTTATGCTTACATTGGATCACATAAGACATCGTGATGATAGTAATGAGAAAACCAATTCCGATGTTCTATCATTCTTGACAGGAATATTATTAAGTAATGATGATAAAATTCGTACATGGTTCTCACAATATATTAAACGAAAAAATCTAGACACATCGCCACAAACAAATTGTTTCCTAGAATTTCGGGAACAACTTTTACGTCGTTTTCGTTCAATCACTGAAACTATGATGAATCTTTCGAATAATTTTTCTTCAGCAAATGGTAACCCAAAAATTGAAGAATCAATCATAACCGAAGCTTGTTTGATGCTACGTTTATATTGTGCACTTCGTGGTGTAGCCATGATGAAATTGAATGACGAAGAAACACAAGCCATAAGCAAAATGATTGTTTGTCGTCCACCACATATTGATATCGGTGTCCGTTTCGTATCGGTTGGTCTTTGTATGATATTGGCCTTTCCTAAGATGATTATCAGCCAAGAAACTGAAATCATTGAATGGATCAAATGGTTGGTAAAAGAAGAAAATTATTTTGGACAAAAAGCCAATACGAAAGCATCGTTTGGTGAGATGCTATTATTGATTGCTATATTTTTTCATTCAAATCAATTGACTCAAATCGGAGAATTAGTATCGTCAACAATAGGCATCAAACATTCATCACGAACCAATGAATTAACCTTAATCAAACATATTTTCATTCAAGATATATTTACTGAACAAACTGTCACCGCACATGCTATAAAGGTACCAGTGACGAAAAATTTAAATGATTCAATCACAGGTGCCTTGCCCATTCATTGTATCTATCAACTTTTAAAGAGTAGAGCGTTCACCAAAAATAAAGTACCGATAAAAAATTGGATTTTTCAGCAGCTATGTAATTGTCGGCCACCGATTCATCACATTCTTCCATCATTGATTGAAGCATATGTAAATTCAATATTACTTCCTACTAGCCAATCGGCCCATATGACTAATGAACCGATTGCCGAAGAAGATCTTGTACAAGTATTTCAACGAATCGTATATTCTTTTGAGCCAGATCAAATACAAAAAACTGATCGAAATCCATCAGGCGATGAGGAATCAACAGATGACGATCAAAATGACTCAGATAATGATTCAGATGATCAAGAACGAATGGATGTCGATGATGATGAAACCGAGAATGAAAATGATGATTCGAATCTATCGACAGGAAATGCTAAAAGCTCAGAAGAATCATTGAATTCGGTATCCTGCTTATTGACATCACAGTTATTATTTCTTTACTATGTTCTTCTTTATGAGGATGTTCGGTTAGCAAATATTCGAAATGTAGATCGTCCATCAATGACATATTCAAGTGAATTCATGTCTCGTTTGCCAATATTTTATCTAATTCAGCGCACTCAAACATGTCCAGAAGAATATGGCTTACTTAGGCCTCCATTATTGCGATTGATTTCATTTCATTATCCACATTTATGTTTGGTTCGTGATTGGCTACCCAGACCGAATTTTTCCGTGTCTAATCATAGATCATTATTCTCATTACATGATCGTCATCAAGTTAAACAGATTGTTGCTCACCGAAAAAAATTAAGAAAATTATTCCAGACAACTTTACGTTCATTAAAAGAAAAACTATATAATCAGAATCGTGAACCATTCTATTATTTAGAACAATTAGTCAAATTGCCTGATGAATTATTATGGCCATTTGCCACTGATTTTATTCAGCTTTTACCATGGATATTGGATGTAGATACACCGAAAAAAATTCTTTTACTAATTCGACAAATTTGGTTCCGCTTAAATTACATATTTCCTACCAGACTTTGGGTTATGACTGTGAATATTCTTCGCAATGGATCTATAAACGGATTCTTGAGCTCCTGGAATCAACAAAATTGGGAGGATATTGTCATGAATCCGAATTTTATTTTTCGTTGTGATCAACGTGTTTTTCGGATACCCGAACTAATGGAGATTCTTTTACACATGATCGATGGATTTCTTTCGGCATCAAAGATTAAATGCACACATCATAATATGGAATGTATTGGTCGACATACTGGAGATGAAGAGAAAAAGAAACGTGAAGAATTGTCACGAATTTATAATCTAACTTGGGATTCGGCTGCCATTCAAATGTTATTGGACTGTTGCTCACCTCAAATTGATCAGAATGTTCGAGAAAAATTTTATCAATATAATCCATGTGATAAAGTGTCCAAACAAAGTTCAATATTAAATCATCAAATTGATTGTCTACTATCGAATAGAAGAGAAATTCAAGGATTAATTTGCACACATTTACATCAACGTTTCATTGCTGATTGGAATCTAGCTAAAACGGTTTCAACACAAGGTTATGATCCAGAATTCTTACCAATGGCTGTAGCCGGTATACCGTCATTACATATTTGTTTAGATTTTATACCAGATATACTACAATATACCGATCTTAGCAAACAGGTATTTTAATTTTTTTTTTCATATAAATTTCTTTCACTAATTTATTCATTTTTACCAAAATTCAAATGTATATAGTCATTCGCTATAGATTTAACATCACATCTATGTGTTCAATATCCAATACCACGTTCATTTAGTATCGCTAAATTATGTTTTGAATTTGCCAACATTCATCTTACCTTATTACCAAATCCAAAACTTTGTCAATTTTATCTTTCAATATTACCGGCATTAGAACGTATGACACACACATTTCCACCATTGATTGAAGGGTTCCTAAAACTTCTCATACGACTTGGTCAACGTAATTTATCAGCATTCGCAGCAAAACCTGGATCAAAATTTTTCCTAAATTCTACTGATCAAATCCTGTTTCTACCTTCTTCTTCATCATCATCATCGTCATCATCATATGAAACAATTTCTAATGAATTTGATGCAAATTCAGATTCATCATCATTAGTTATTAAAACGAACAATAAATCACTGTTACCGGATCAAGAAAGATTTTCCAAATCTAAATTAATCGATATTTCATGGTTGGAATTTAATCAAAATATAGCGAAAAAAATGTCACCAGAAGAATCATTAGCATTGGCTATACATAAAACATTTGCTATGGTATGTCAATTGAGTTCGATTAATCGAATCTATCGTGATAGTAGTACAATTTAATCATATATATAATGTTTCAATTCATTCATTTGTAAATTATTCATAGATAGAATATTCTATTCATTTATTTTTTTTTTTTATTTTTTTGATGGGAATTTTTTTCAAATAAAAATCTTTAACATTTTTACTATTAAAATATCATGAGCTTTTTTTTCATTATTTCTAAATATGTTCAATGTAAAAACGTGAATAAAAAAGAGGTAGATACAGAAGAAACAGAGGTAAACAAAGTTCCTTGAACTTGATCGTAGTTTTACATAAGAAAACTTTCTGTAGAATTTTCTTTTTTTTTATTTTTGCACTAAATATATAGTTTACAGAATCATATCCAGATGGTGTTGATGCTTAGATGGAATGCTGAGCAATGAGCACGAATTTGTGTTGTAGACGTATGTATCGATGATAGTAGAGAGATCTAAACTTAACAACAGAAAGGGATTCTCACAGTGTCACTCGAATGGTGCTTTTTTTTTCCTACTATGTGTTGTTTGTGTATTGTGTTTGTATATGTGTCTGCTTCTATTTTCATGATCATCACTGTTTCGGTTTTATATATAGAGGTAAACAAAGTTCCTTGAACTTGATCGTAGTTTTACATAAGAAAACTTTCTGTAGAATTTTCTTTTTTATTTTTGCACTAAATATATAGTTTACAGAATCATATCCAGATGGTGTTGATGCTTAGATGGAATGCTGAGCAATGAGCACGAATTTGTGTTGTAGACGTATGTATCGATGATAGTAGAGAGATCTAAACTTAACAACAACAGAAGGGATTCTCACAGTGTCACTCGAATGGTGCTTTTTTCTACTATGTGTTTGTTTGTGTATTGTGTTTGTATATGTGTCTGCTTCTATTTTCATGACTTTGGCTTATTTTAATTTTCTCTCATTTTTTAACTATTTTCTGTTTTTTATATATTCTTCACCGCCACCAACAACAATAACAATAAAAGATATACATACGGATGATGCGAATGATATTTCCGCCGATGTAAGAATTTTTTTCTCTTGAATCATCTGGAGAAATTATCGCATCAATTTGAGGCCAATGATACTTTTTTATTCATTCAAAAAAATTGATTACAAATAATTTCGAATACAGTGATTGTGTTTTTTTTTTTTGAGTTGAATCGATATTCCCCATCATCATCGCGTGGATCGTTGATTAATCACCATAACACCATAAAATTATGGAGATAATACAACGATTCAATGCATCATTATCATCATTGTATGATGATAAATTACCAGTGTCAAAGGCTAAAATATCAGAAATAACAAAGGCAGCAATCACGGGTATTCGTGTGTATAAACACATTGTACAATCAGTGGAACGTTTTATACATAAATGTCGACCTGAATATAAACTTCCAGCATTATATGTAATTGATTCTATTGTTCGACATTCACAACATGAATTTCGTAATTCTAAAGAACGTGATGTATATGGACAACGGTTCAATAGGAATTTAGGACAAACATTTCAGAATCTATTCTCGACGTGCCTTCCCGAGGATAAGGTATGACAATTTTAAGGCATATATACTTAAGATTAATTAAAATTTACGGAATCATTTCTTTGAATATAGCCAAAAATTGTACGGGTTCTGAATTTATGGCAAAAGAATAATGTATTCTCGCCTGATGTGATACAACCATTATTGGATTTAGCCAATCCAAATACTTCACTATTACAGACTTCTAGCTCGACAATTTCAAGTGAAACTACAAATATTCATCATCATGAATCATCCAACACGTTCTTGGGACAGCAGAAACAGCAGCAACATCAACAACAAACATCATCGACTACATCGTCATCATCATCATCTCATCAACATCATAGATCGCACAAAAGATTTTCTAATAATCTTGATTTAGATTTATCACCAAAAACCAACGATGGCAATGATTCACAAAAAAGTCAAATGCTGCAGAACCAAGATCAGAATAAAGCATCTTATGATCGAATGTTTTCAGAAGCTTCAGCTGCATTTCATGCCGTTCGACAATTGGCCAATAAATGCGAGAATCAAAATTCAACAAGTTCGAATGCTGATCAAGCTTTAGCATCTCAACTTCAACAATTGGCATCCTGTTTGTCACAACTTCAACAAGATCATACTGTTAAAACACTAAATAGTGTTGATGGCTTAAACGAGACCAATTTTGATGTTGATCCAGAACTGGATTTGGATGATAATGATGATGATGATGATGATGATATTTCGACGCCTACAGAAGCTGAACCGCCATATCCAAAACCATCAAAATTATCAAAAAAGTTTATTCCAAATGAAAAAACATTAAACACATTTGCAGGTTTGATGCAAATCATTCGCCAACAATCTATAAACAAAACATCAGGTGAAGAATCAATTACAACATCAACTGGTAACAATGGTGAAATTCAACATCACTTCCATCATTATCATGACGATGGCAATTCAGCACAAGACACCATATTTCAGAAATTTTTCAAATCTTCTGCAGTTACATCAGCTTCAGCAGTAGCAGCTCAAACGCAACAGCAGGCAGCATCAAGTTCAATGCTACTACCGAATCATGTCAATTTACAATCATCTAGCTCAGATTTATTAAATTCGTATCATTGCCAAAATCAAGGTGATCATACTGAATCCCTAACAGAAAGTTCAGCGCAGCTTAATGAAAATCAACAACCATTGGCGACAAATTCATTAAACAATGAATTTCAACAGTCGTCATCAAAACTTCGTTCATCATTTCGATCATCTCGATCACCATCGAATGATCGAAACCATGGTAGGGATCGTCACCATAGGGATCGTGATCGTCATCGTTCATCACGGTATCGTCGGTCATCATCTCGAGATGATCAAGACCGTAGTGAAAGGCGTCGTTCACGTGAACGAAGTCGTTCATCAAATCACCGTAGATCACGTTCCCGTAGTTCAAGCCGCTCACGTGATCGTTCCGATCAGAATATTGAACGCGAACGTGAAGAACGAGAACGACAACGAGAGAAACGTCGTAAAGGCTATCCACCATGTCGAAAAGATCGAATGACCATTTGTAGTACGACTTTATGGATCGGTCACCTTCCTAAGCGAACTACATCCGAAAGCGAACTTAATGATCTATTTGGTGAATTTGGCGTTATTCAAAGTATCGATGTATGGACTTTTTGAAAATATTTTTATTCTCTTTTTTTCTAATGTATTTTTTTTTGTTCTGATTCATAGTTGATTCATTCACGAGGATGTGCATTTGTTTGCATGGATCGGCGCCAGGATGCTTACAAAGCATTTGCCAAGATTAAATCGCAATCAAAAATTTTAAATTCAAATCAAGTCAAAATTACCTGGGCACCTGGCAAAGGGATCAAAAACAAAGAATATAAAGACTATTGGGAATCCGATATCGGCTCTTCATTTATACCACATAAAATATTGCTAGAGCAAGAAGATATTGATTTAGACCAATTGGAAGAAGGTGGCATGATTGATGAAGATTCTATACCGGAACAATTAAAAGAACTGCGCCGACTTAAACGTCAAGAGAAAAAAGAAAAAGAACTTTTCATTAAACAACAGCAACAAATAGCCGCTGTAGCTCCAACTATGGTTACAGGTGCTGTTGCAGTTAATTCTTTGATTCCTTACCCTGCCGGATATGTTGCCGCGCCGCCACCACCACCACCACCAATACCGTTATTAACAGCTCCCACTTCAACATCTTTCAAAACAAATCCTCACCCATCTCCGATTTCTTTTAATAATTCTCATCATCAAATTCCGATACCAGTGCCGCCACCACCACCAGCGACTGCACTATTAGGATTGTCGGGCTCTTTTCCGCCAAATGTTCCACCACCGCCGCCGCCACCACCACCACCATCGTCATTAGGTCACCCTAATCTATTACCGCCAACGAATCCGGTACATGTTACAGGAAATGGGGCTCAACCACCGAATTTTCCTTGTGTCAATCCTTGGGCTCCGAGAAATTCTTATCCGCTACCGGTTCCAAGACCACCAGGTGTATTATCAAGTTTAAATCATGTTCCACCACCATCATTACCATTGAATTTAAATCAATCAACAGTCAAACCGCCAATTCTTGAAAATAAATTTGAAAATTCTTTCAATCAACAAACAAATATAGAACCTCAAAATTCCAAAATTGAAAATAATGATAATACCCATAATTTTCACGAAATCGAGAATACTGCTGTAAAAAATTCAAATAATGATAATGAAAATAGTGATGGTGATCATATCAATGATTCTCAGGATACGCCAAACGATAATATTTCGAATCATTCATTCGGTTCCGATAATATAAACAACAACAATAACCACATAAATCATCAACAAAATCGCGACGTCCATGCAAGAAATTTCAATTCACAGAGATTCAATTCTCCTATTACAAATGATCAATTTCATCCATTTTCTATGCTTCCTGAAGGACACAGATATTCACATCCACCTTCACCTATTCGTATTTCCGGTCCTATTATAGAAGCCCCTCTCATGATGAACAATCATCGATTTCCATCTTCTCCTCCACTTATGTTAAAAAATAGAGATTATCCACAAAATCATCCACCGCCACCGCCACTTACGCATCATCAACCTCCAATTTTGGGAGGTGCACTACATCCTCGATTTTTACCACCATCTCCTCATTATGGAAATCGTTATCCACCTCCTGGTGGTCCACCAATGTTTGACAGTCCCCCTATGAGTCTTCATCATCCGCCACCAGTTCAAGGACCACGATTCAATAATGGACCGCGTGGACCGTTTCCACCAATCAATCATCATTATCCACATCATAGAGGACCACCACCACCTTCGAATTTCTGTTCTGGTCCACCGATTCCTCCACCGCGAATGCCTCCAATGCATCAAGGACCTCGAGAATTCTGGCATCCAGCCGATGGACCGATGATGCCTCCATATCCATCGAACAATAATCAACGGCATCGAAATTTTAGAAACAATAATAATTCTAGGTTTCAGCAAAGAAATCAGAATATCCAACAATCAAAAAATAATCGAAATCATAATCAGAATAACAACAACAACAATAATAATAATACGAATAATAATGGTTATGATGTGGCATCACAATTGACAGCAAAAATTGAAAAAATTGATACGATAATTGATCAATCCAATATCGAACCAACGAAGACAACGGATTCGGATTCTAATACTGTGATTGAATCCTCATCGACCGCGATCGAATCATCGTAATATTCATTGTGATAATCGTAATTTATTTCATTTCGACGCAAGTATGTCTTTGATATCTGATAATCAATACGTGTATCTAATTTTGATTCAAGCAGTTTTTCGTTTCTATTTATGATTTATTTTTATTTCATTATCAGCAATTTTATTGCATCTTGCATTTTTCCCAAAAAATACGCATACACTAATGACTATCATCATCATCATCATCTTCTTCATTTTGGCCATATTCAGCATGACAGAATCGGTTCTAATCATTTACATCTACTTTAAACTTGCCATTATCAACAAAGTTATTGAATTTTTTTTTCATTACGACATATTGGTCATAATTAATTTTTTCAATTTTTCTCATCGTTGGGAATTATTTTATTGATTGATTGAAACAACTAAAAAAAAAAAAAAATAATTTCAATATATCGTTTTTATCTATTCAATTGTAATCGATTTTATTTTCAATTTAGCATTTTTATTCATATTTGATAATCGTAGATAAATAGCTTTTGCTTTTTTTTAATGTTTGCATTGATCATTATTTTATCATTATTATATAATATTGATGATACTTAACAATGATAAGTATTTGTCCAAATGAACAAGTATCATGGTTATTGGATAATATGAATTTAACTAATTTTATTATGCACTATTATTCAACTTGATTAAATTATTATATTCAAATAAACAAAACAAAAAAAAATCAAATTCCAAAATCAAATTATATTGAATGTAAAAATTTCATTTAATTCGTAAAATTCAAATAAACAATGGACGTTGTGTTGCAAGTTTGAAAAGCAAGGCTGGAAAAACAATCCATAAAGCTGTGGCTATTCCCAAAATCCAATCTAATATGGCATTTATGATACGGAAACTTAGACTTTTAGTTTTATCATATAATGCTTCGATGCCTCGTTTAGAAACAATTTCTCTCACCACTGTTGGTGAAGCTGTTTTCAAATCATATGCCAATCCAATAGCAGCACATAAGCGAATAAATGATGTTGTAGGATTGAACATTTCCCACTGTGGTCGATCATTGATGCGATAATCATAAGGGAAAACATGATGATAATTATGTAGACCTTCGCCTAATGTAAGATAATTGACAAAACGATGATCAGTTGGTCGTATACGGAAATCGTATGGTCGGTATCCAAAATGATGAGCCAAAGAATTAACAGCGAATAAATGATGTAACACTACGAATGTGCGAAGAATGACACAGATGGAAAAAGATAACCAAGGATCTTCATTCCAAAGAATAATCGGAATAACTGTTGGAATGATCATACCAAACAAGATGAAGATTGGAATATAAAATTTGTGTTGCAAAAAGACCAATTTGTCTTCATAGAGATCGGAAAAATCTAGTTTTTGACCGGCTTGCTTGACTGATTCGGTTTTCTTTACTAACCACCAACCAATATGAGAATAAAATAAACCACGAGTTGGATTCTTTGGGTCGCCATCGGTATCCGAATATTTATGATGTGTTCGATGATCACGAGCATAAGAAAGAGCACTGCCATTCATTGTGATTGCTTGAAATATGAGAATCCATAACTTCAATGGCCAACTAACTTTGAAGGCTCGATGAGCCAAAAGACGATGAGCTCCTACCGCTGCCGCAATTCCAGAATTGGCGCCAAGGATAATTGCCAACAATATCGTTTTTAAATGTGCTGGATTAATACAAACATGCACATATGAAATGACGACAGCAATATGCCATAAGGACATGATGATTATATTGGACCATTTAAGTGGTCGTTTCCAAGCCGATTGCTCCACTTTGAATCGAGGATCATCAACACCATAAATTGTTTCAATTTTTTTTATATCATCACCTTGGCAAACAATGGATGATTCTTTAACAGAGTGATTCTCAATAACCATTTTCGTTTTAAAGAAATCGAATAGTAGCGATGTTTGTTTAATAATGGAGAATTTGTAATTGATGGCTGGTTTTATTATTCTTATTTAACATTCATTGTACATGTACAAATGTTAGCAGGTCGACTTTCGAAGATTCTTCTGGGATTCGATTGTTCGTAAGTAGAGAGCTAAATGTAATTTGTCTCTCATTTGACTATATATCTTTATACATTTTTTATTTTTTTTATTTTTTAAAGTTAACTTCATTCATTATTCATTGGGTAGATTTACCTTATGTAAAGGATATTTTATAAAAAAAACCATTATCGATTAATGCTTAACTAAAAGAGTTATACTTGAATTTTGATTTTTCACGTGAAAAAATAATGTTGCGTGTGAATGATGAAATTAAATAACGAAAATCCCCTTACAATATATTTGTTGTTTTTCAAATAAATTTCTTGATAATTGTTGGCATCTTGATTAATCATGTGGTTGTGGATAAACCTGTCATCAAATCTAATCGTTTGTGGTGACGTGGTAACGTTTTTATTTTATTATTTCTTTTAGTGAAAATACAATGCATTCAAATTTCTTTTTTGTTAAACAACTTCACACTTCAAACAATGTAGAATGTGATAGGAAACCATCATTATTTTATGCGAATAGGAAATGTCAATATTCTATTCAAATATAGATAACGCGTTGTGTTGCTAATTTGAAAAACAATGCTGGATAAATAAGCCATAGAGCGGTTGATATTCCGAATATCCAATCGAATATAGCATTCATGACACGGAATTTCAAACTTCGAATTGGATCATACAATGCTCGAACACCTCTTCGGCTAACAACTCCTTTCACTACTGCAGGTGAAGCAATTTTTAAATCATATGCCAACCCCAAAAGAGCACAAGTATGAATGAAAGTTCCGGGAGGATTGAACAATTCCCATTGTGGACGATCGTTGATGCGATAATCGAATGGAAACACATGATGATAATTATGTAGACCTTCTCCGAAAGAAATATAATTAACAAAACGATGATCGGCTGGCAGTATTCGGAAATCGTATGGTCTATAGCCAAAATAATGAGCAAGTGAATTTACCGTAAACAGATGATGCAACACTACGAATATACGAAGAATAACACAAATGGAAAAAGATGACCAAGGATCTTCATTCCAAAGAATAACCGGAATAACGGTTGGAATAATCATACCAAACAAGATGAAAATTGGAATATAAAATTTGTGCTGAAAATAGACCAATTTGTCTTCATAGAGATCGGAAAAATCTAGTTTTCGGCCGGCTTGCTTGACTGATTCGGTTTTCTTTACTAACCACCAACCAATATGAGAATAAAATAGACCACGAGTTGGATTCTTTGGGTCACCATCAGTATCCGAATATTTATGATGTGTTCGATGATCGCGAGCATAAGAAAGAGCACTGCCATTCATTGTGATTGCTTGGAATATAAGAAACCATAGTTTTAGTGGCCATTTAGCTTCGAATGTTCGATGTGACCATAAGCGATGAGATCCGGCAGATGTGGCAATACCAGACATGGCACCAATAACAATTGAAAACACTGCTGTTTCAATATGGAAAAGAGAGATGCAAACGTCTACGTAACAAACAATGAAGGCAATATGCAAGATAGACAGAATGATTATATTGGACCATTTGAGTGGTCGTTTCCAGGCCGATTGCTCCACGTTGAATCGAGAATTATCGCCATCATAAATTGTTTCAATTTTTTGAATATCATCATCTTCGCAAACAATGGATGATTGTTTGTCAGAGCGTTTTTTGTGTTTCTCAAGAACCATTTTCATTTTAAATGAATCGAATAGTAGCGATGTTTAACAATGAAGAATATGTGATTTACCGTTGGTTTTTATATTCATAACATTCAATGTACATGTATAAATGTTATTAAGTTGACTTTCGTTCATTCTTCTGGAACGGAATTGTTCGTAAGTAAGAGCTAAATGTGATTTGTCTTTCATTTGAGTTTATATCTTCATGCATATTTTAAATATTTTATAGTTAACTCCACTCATTATTCATTGGGTAGATTTAAGAGAAGGGAGAGAATTCAAAAATGTTCAAATTGTCAAACAAATTGTAGAATCTTCTGAACAATCCTCTGTTGAATTAATAAAACCTGTTGATAATTTTATTTTTTGTTATTAATGGCTATTATCATAATCAAACGTTTTCAGTATCAGTTGTCATTGAAGGGCGACATATACCAATTACCGGATATGGATCTTTCATTTATTTTGAGAACTGATGCGTCAGACAATGGGCGCCGTTCTCTGCCAGGAAGAAAACGGTTAGCGTTATGCCGTGTCATATTCCAGTTCTAAGTTCTCTGAAACTCAACGGAAATACGCGGTGATTGAGAAAGAAGCGAAGGCGGTGTCCTTACAACAACAACAACTTAATTTTTGCTTGTGTGATTTATACTTTTTCGTTAACAATAAACTCACAACGATATTTTATAAAAAAAAAACCATTATCGATTAATACTTAACTAATAAGAGTTATACTTGAATTTTATTATTTTTTTCATGTGAACTTGAAATAATGTTATTTATAAATAATGAAATTAAATAGCGGAAATCCCCTTATAATATATTTACTGTTTTTTTAAATAAAATCCTTATTAATTTTTTGATTAATCATTTGGTTGTGAATAAACCTGTCATCAAATTTAATCGTTTTTTTTTAATATTTCATTAATGGAAATACAATGCATTTAAATTTCGTTTTTTAAAACATATTCACACTTCATTAGAATGTGATAGGAAACCATCATTATTTTATGCTAATAGGAAATGTCAAATATTCTATTCAAATAAAGATAACGCGTTGTGTTGCTAATTTGAAAAACAATGCTGGATAAATAAGCCATAGAGCGGCTGATATTCCGAATATCCAATCGAATATAGCATTCATGACACGGAATTTTAAACTTCGAATTGGATCATACAATGCTTGAACACCTCTTCGGCTAACAACTCCTTTCACTACTGCAGGTGAAGCAATTTTTAAATCATATGCCAATCCCAAAAGAGCACAAGTATGAATGAAAGCTGCGGGAGGATTGAACAATTCCCATTGTGGACGATCGTTGATGCGATAATCGAATGGAAACACATGATGATAATTATGTAGACCTTCTCCGAAAGAAATATAATTAACAAAACGATGATCAGCTGGCAGTATTCGGAAATCGTATGGTCTATAGCCAAAATAATGAGCAAGTGAATTTACCGTAAACAGATGATGCAACACTACGAATATACGAAGAATAACACAAATGGAAAAAGATGACCAAGGATCTTCATTCCAAAGAATAACCGGAATAACGGTTGGAATGATCATACCAAACAAGATGAAAATTGGAATATAAAATTTGTGTTGCAAAAAGACCAATTTGTCTTCATAGAGATCGGAAAAATCTAGTTTTCGGCCGGCTTGCTTGACTGATTCGGTTTTCTTTACTAACCACCAACCAATATGAGAATAAAATAGACCACGCGTTGGATTCTTTGGATCGCCATCAGTATCTGAATATTTATGATGTGTTCGATGATCGCGAGCGTAAGTCAAAGCACTTCCATTCATTGTGATTGCTTGGAATATAAGAAGCCATAGTTTTAGTGGCCATTTAGCTTTGAATGTTCGATGTGACCATAAGCGATGAGATCCGGCAGATGTGGCAATACCAGACATGGCACCAATAACAATTGAAAACACTGCTGTTTCAATATGGACAAGAGAGATGCAAACGTCTACATAACAAACAATGAAGACAATATGCAAGATAGACAGAATAATTATATTGGACCATTTTAATGGACGTTTCCAGGCCGATTGCTCCACTTTGAATCGAGGATCATCAACACCATAAATTGTTTTCAATTTTTCAATATCTACAGATTCTGGGCATCCAATGAAAATACTAGTATTTTGATTTTCATCTTTTACAGAATTCATGATGTAGAATATATTTACAAATAGGGAAAGAGTTGAGTTCAAGTTGAGTGATGGCTGAAGTTTAAAATAAAATTTCTTATATTTTATTGGAGATAAATGCTGAATATTAAACAAGGGATAAGTTTTTACACGAAAATTGATATGATGAAAGTGGACAAATTTATGTTCTATCATGTTGAAAAATCAAAAATTGAAATTAAAATCATAAGTAATCAAATCATATCATGTACACTTCTTGACCAAAACAAGACAACTTCTACTGTACAAAACCCTCTGAAACGGAAACAAAATCTCTACTATGACCTATGTGTATAGTGATGATTGATTTATCATTTGAATTTTGATGGATTATTATTTTTATCCAACCCCCATTTTAAAAACAATAAAAGATCATTTCTTTCAGGTCAAGGTCCAAAGGTTTGATCATGTCATTTTTAAAAAGTGTAACATTATCATATTCAAACAAAACAAAACAATCCTGGAAAGTTGTAGGAAAAAATTAGACCCTTGTTATTTAGGTATTATTGTTGTTGTTTTATCAAAAAAAAAAAAAAAAATTATCATCATATTGAATGATATATGGAATGAAAAAAAACATTTGCATATAACAAAAAAAATATATATATTTCGTGATATATATTTGTCTTAATTTGTTCAATTTTTCAGTTGACAATTTCAACATCTCTTTTTTACTTGTCCTCTTGAATAAAAGTGAGCCTATGTGAACATTATCGCCACCAACACTATATTATTCCCAGATGTGTTTATATATTGTGCTATATTATATTACACAACCATAAATAAATATTACCTTCGAAAAAATGCATCAACTAAAAAAAAAAATTCAAAATTGAAATGGCTATTTTTTTTTTGATCTAACATCATATCATTCTGCGCATGTGTTTATTTAATCAACAAAAAAAAAAAAAAAAAAGCGACAGCACTGTTCTTGTGTTAGCGGTATATACACCGCTAATGCAGTGGTAGTGGTGTGATTGTCATCCAAGTATCATTTTTATTTTGCTGCTATCACACATCACTGGATAATACTTTTCCTTTTTGGTTCACCGTTCATGTATATTTTCAACAATGAGCTCATCAATAAAGCCCAACAAATTTTGCACACACACAAAAAAAAAAATGATATGCTTTACTTTTTGGCTGCTGCCTTGAAATAGGTTCCATTGTGTGTTTTTATATGCAATATAAATTGTCTTATAAGCGAAAGGAAAACAAAATAGTGACGATCAACTTTGTTGCCATGAAATAAAAATTGAGTCCAGATTCTTTTATCGTAATTCTAATTTATATTACTATCGAATAATCAAACAACATTTCATTTGTCCATACCGATCAGCACTATTCTCTTTTATGTGTTTTATTAATATTGGCTGCATCGAACGGTTGTTTTGGCGCCTGATGATCCATTATTGTTTTGTCGTACAATCTATATTTATTATTCTGTAGAATTAGAATCCACCATCGAGATTTATTCTCCATCTATAAAACTCATCGTTATTTAATAATTGAATTTTTATCATCATTGTTGTTGCTGTTTTTTTCTTGTTTTGTCAAATCAATATAATCATCAAATGTAAGTGTCAAAAATTTTCTTTTTTTTGTTGAAAATAATATCTATATATGTACCATATATAAAATGATATAAAACTTGCTTTTTCTCTACTTATTATCTTTCATATTTTTATCTCTTCTATTTAAAGATCTTTTTTTTCGGATGTGTTTGCAACTTTATCATTGCTAATTTTACCGTTTGATATGTTAACATTTTGAATTTTTAATTAAATGGCAATCAATGTTTAAATTATAAAAAACAATCAACAAATTTTCCATCGTGGTCCAAATATTTTTTTTTCAAGGTTCGAATCATTTTACTTTATTTAAATCTAATTTTTTAATATTATTTCAATTTAAGATTTTACATTTTTTTTCAATTAGTAGATAACATTCCAATTTTTTTACATTAGCTTATTTTGCATAAACATTTCTCTCTCTCTCTCTCGATTGTTTATAATTATCATCAGCCACCAAATATGGAAACATCACCCGCACCCCAAGCATCAGCTTCATTGCGTAACAGTCCACCCCCACCAATGTCCGTTTCTCCAAGTGGCCAATCATCAACATCATCCAATATGAATTCATCTGCTATTGGTGGTCTAGCTCCTCCACCCTCATCGTCATCATCATCATCAACTGGTCAATCATCATCAAATAGTGGTGCAGTAGCTGAACCATCACCAGGTGGAAAAAATTCGGTCACTGAAACCGTACGTGGACAAATATTTGAAGTTGGACCACGTTATACTTCGCTTGAATATATTGGTGAAGGTGCTTATGGCATGGTTGTGTAAGTTTTATTCTTATTTTTTTTGCCATCCATAATGTACGCTTATATGAAACGTCAATCTTTCTTTCTGAATGCTTCGAAAATCGAAGTTTAGAAATTTCCAATTTATTTTGATTAACGAAAGCGCTACATGTTGAAAAGAATAATTAACATTCAGTAATAATGCTGAATGAAAAGGCATTTTCCTTGCGTATGCAATTAATTATAATCTATGATAGAATCAACATCATAATTCTCTTCTTTCATATATAATTCATTTTATTTATAAGCTAGTTGTATTTGTTTTTGGGTGCAAAAGTTTTTGATTTTCTCTAAAAAAAAAATTAAATTCTCAGCTTAAATAACGGTCCAAATATCCGAATCATTCAAAAGTTGAAATCCTTTCCACGTCAGTTTCAGTTTTCATTCAATTTAATGAGTTTTTTTTAATTTGTTTTTCGTTTCATTGTAAACTTATTAGATATATCATGTCCGATCAATTGCCAAATTTGTCTCCTTGTTGTTTGTCTTTCATTCATTTAGAATGGTTTCTTATAGAAAGAATTTAGTATTCGGAAAAAGGTCTCATTTTTTCAATTTAGAAAAATTACTGTATATACTTTACAATACAAAGTCTAGCTTTCAATTCTCATTTTGACGATAAGAGATGATTCAATTTTTTGTAAACAATCATTAAATGAATGTATTGAAAATTCGTATTATCAATAATTCACCTGTTATTTTCGCAACAACAACAATTCATCCATTTTGAACAAATCGGCCAATTTTTTCGTGCCTAACAGTTGAAAGAAATGGTTTCAGCACTTTGGGTTGTTACACATCATATACTTCCTCTATATTTTTTTTTAATGCTAACCGTTCTTGTATAGCGAGAGAACGGAACGTTTAGCCTTGAAAATGATCTAGACTCAAAGTTGATTGTTAGACATATATAAATCCACACATGCACGAGAGCTAGTTCATGGACATGAATATGGGTTTTGTTAGTTTTGAGATGACAATCTAACATTGATGTTTGCGTCAACTCAAATGATGAAAATAATAATAGGTTTCTTCAATTCTTCATTGCTAAGTGATTAACTAAAAGATTTCAGATTCGAATCGAATTTTCTTTTGATTTCAAAAGAATACAGAAGTACAAAATTAGATTCTGTTTTAGCCTAAAATTGTTATAACAATAATTGGAATCATATTATAAATCATTTTTTTTCATTATTTCAAATTCTTTATCCTTGTTTTTTAATAATGATGTTGAATTTATGTTGAGATCATCAAAAAAAAAAGAAAAAAAATTAAGATATGCTGAATTTAGATTCTGGAAACAAAACTTTATGCACTGCAATCAATTTTTTAAGAATCTATTTGGTATTGAGTTTATTGATTAATGTTCTATTTTTTTTACAGATCTGCCTATGATAACAACACTAGAAAAAAGGTGGCTATCAAAAAGATTAGTCCATTCGAACATCAAACCTATTGTCAACGTACATTAAGAGAGATAAAAATTTTGACACGTTTTAAACATGAAAATGCAAGTTTTTATTTTAATAATATTGGAAAATCTTTATTTATTGAATTATAATTATTTATTTAAATATATAGATAATTGACATTCGGGATATAATCTGTGCATCTAGCATACAACGAATGAAAGATGTTTACATCGTACAATGTTTAATGGAAACTGATTTATATAAATTATTGAAAACACAACCATTGAGTAATGATCATGTATGCTATTTCCTGTATCAAATTCTTCGTGGTCTCAAATATATCCATTCGGCTAATGTTTTACATCGAGACCTTAAGCCATCGAATTTGTTGTTGGATACTACTTGTGACCTGAAAATCTGCGATTTCGGTTTAGCTCGTGTTGCCGATCCAGTTCAGGATCATACAGGCTTATTAACCGAATATGTTGCCACACGATGGTATCGAGCACCAGAAATCATGCTTAATAGCAAAGGCTATACCAAGTCAAGTATGATTCATTTACTGTTTTATTTTTTTCTCTAATACTTTTTAATTTAGTCGATATTTGGTCAGTTGGTTGCATACTGGCGGAGATGATCTCAAATCGACCATTGTTTCCGGGAAAACATTGTATGTAATTTATTCAATTTAATTATTCATATTAATATTATTATATTATATGGTTTAAATTGTCAATTAGATTTGGATCAATTGAATCATATCTTGAACATTTTGGGTTCACCAAGTCAAGAAGATTTGAATTGCATTATCAATCCAAAGGCACGACAATATTTGCAAACTTTACAACAGAAGCCAAAAATACCATGGACTCGTTTATTTCCGGATGCCGATGCCAATGCATTGGATTTATTGGATAAAATGTTGACATTCAATCCCAACAAACGAATCACGGTTGAAGACGCATTGGCACATTCATATTTCAGTCAATATTATGATCCCAGCGATGAAGTAGTAATTTCTAATATAATCCTTGTTCATTCTTTTGACATTTTTTCCCATTTTTAGCCTGTTGCTGAGGAACCATTCAATCTCGATATGGAATATGATGATCTCCCACGAGAGAGGTTGAAAGAATTGGTTTGGGAAGAGGCAACCAATTTTCATCGCCGTCAATGCACTATGATGCAAAGAGAGCAGTGAATATGAATGAAAAATGACAATGATTCATGAATATGACAAGTGATTCTTAACTAAGCTACCTTTATAAATATTGTAACTTGTCTCCTATATTTTGATATTACTTGAAATTGAAATCTGAATCACGAATCAGACATCAACAATGAATTCTGATTTATCATCCATTCATCTTCCCTCCGTTTTTTTTGTCCCATCGATTGTCATTTTAATTAATTTTTTGAAATCTCCTGATGATTAAAATCCCATATATATCCATATGCATGTGTTTTATCAATCTTGAAAAATTTACTCGAATCGCCTTTTGGAAAACCATTTTGCAATATACCTCATGTTTGCGTATTCATCTGTGTGACTGGGCGTGTGATAAGAATTTTTAAGTTTAAATTTGTTTTAAAGTTTGAATTTTTGTGCTTTTTAATCTATTAAAAAAAAGACAGTACCTTCTATCCAAACAAAAGTCATGCATTAGTTTTCAATCATATCAGAATTCTACATTTTATTTATTCTCCATAAAATTGTCATGAAAAAAAATTGTCCATCAATATTTGTTTTTTTTATTATTTTTTTCCTTTTAACAGAAAAATTAAAGTATCCCTCAAATTCCTGATGATTCAAACTTGTCTTTCACATTTATTTGTTTTGAAAATGATTCAAAATTCACTTTTATCTCTCATTCATAGATGGCGGTATATTCAAGTTGTTTGAAAATCTTTTTTGTTAACCAAATAATTTTTGCCGACTTCTATGTATAATAATATAATAAATGTCTTTGTCTATGTGTGTGTATTCATTCCATTCAAGGCTGATCATTTCCTGGTTATTGAGCAAATTTCTTTTTCTGTTTGCTGTTTTTTTCACTGTTTTGATGCAATCAATTGATTACATCCATAAAAATTGAAAAATTTAGATAGAAAAAAAAATCTGGATAATGATGAGATCATCAATGGTTCTACGAGATGAAATGAAATGAAATAATTATTTAATTTAAAAAAAACACACACACAGATGATGTTTCGGGTTTGGCGCACGTACACCCAATTTTTCATTAAACCAAGATTTCATTTGTCACCAGAAATTTTTTTCCATGAATTGCATTCAAATGAAAAATGAATCATACATTCATTTGTTTGAATTTTATAGAAAAAATCGGAAATTTTTTTTTCTTTGTACGTTCAATTATTGATTTTGGTTTTATTTTGTTATATATCATTATATCTACACAAAATTGAGAATAATTATAATAATAAGAAAAAAAATAAGAACAAAATGGCGAAAAAGAATGAGAGATAATGAAGATACGAATGATGTTACACGAATATATGACAATGTAATATGCGTGTAAAATTGAGATTCAACCACAGCGGAACGGTATTCCTGTATAAATTATTATATGAATGTTTGTGAGTTGTTGTTGGTGCAAAAAGAATAGGAAAAAATTCAAAATTTCAAAATGATTTGAGGATTATGTATGTTGGGATTATAAGAGATAGAGTAAGAACGATTGATTGATATTAAAAATTATCATTGAAAAGAATTTTGACCATTTTTTAAAAAGAGAATTGCAGACGATATAAGTGTATCAATTGTTTTCGTTTATGTGTGTGTAATAAAGAGAAGAAAATTATTTTCATTTTTTTTTTTTTTTTTGACTATTTCATATAAGAATTATTACATATTATATCAGAGGTGAAAGAAAGAAAGGTGAGAAAGGAGAAACGTTGGATTTGAATTAGAACCAGAATTTTTTTGCTTTTTGAACATTAATAACATTTGTCGTAAGAAATAAGTGATGAGCATGAATAAATGAGGATATTTCGAAAAATACGAATTAAACGTTAATCGAAATGTGTTTTGTTTCGTTTTTTTGGACTTATCATTATGAAATGTATTTGCACTGGGGTTTGTTCCTTTCAAATAGAAAGAGAGAGAGAGAGAGAAAGAGTAGTGATGATAGAACTTGGTCAGATGTCCACATCTTGTTGATTATTTACATATTAATATGTCTGAGGGACTGGTTTTGAATTGATTAAATCTGTTGATGACAATGATACCTTGATTCCCCTTCATTTAAGCATTTTGAGGATCAACCTCAATTTTGATCATCGAAGAAGTAATGGACGATGCAACTGTTGGCGTTGAATGAATACCGGAATGGGAGGAGGAAGACAGAGGAGGAGATGACATTGGTGATACGGTTTCAGGTGGTGATACTTTCTTTGAAAGATTGAGCGGTTGACAATCGAGCTCATTGTCGGAGGCTTGGGCCGCTGTTTGTAATAAAATAGGTCCTTGTGACGCCATTGGTGGTGCTACTGTGGCTGTCAGACAACGTTGAAGATGTGAAAATGGATGGCCACCATTTGATGAAGATGAATGATTTGATAGCGCTGATGATGGCCGTGAATGAGCGGATGTTGGCGAATGTGCAGCTGTTGGGACATTGCTGATGACTAGAAGTTTTTGGGATGAATTCTGTTGATCCACAAGGTATGTCGATGGTGATGGCGATGTTCGATATATTGGTTGTTGATGATATTGTGATGATGGACTTGAATTCGATACAATTCTGCTCTGTTCAGAACTGAATGGACATCCACCGCCATTGGAGGAGATATGATGAGAGTAAGGATAACCAGAATTTTGTTGTGCATATAGCACAGTAACTTGTTGCTGCTGCTGCATACCGACTAAATGCGTTTCCGAAGGATATTGGTTATGTTGATGCTGATGATTGTATTGTTGTACTGGTGCTGTTGCTGCTACAGATGAATCCTTCAAGATCGACATAGAAATTGGAGTTCCTGGTGTTGTTGCCGGTGTTTGCACGGCTTCCGTATTCATAATGATATTGTGGATGAGATCGGTTCGTTTCAATTGTTGTTCATTCATGTAGCGCGATGGCTGTTCTAATGTTTTCAACAATGTCGAATGAGTTGAGGCCAATTGCGAAGTGGTTGATGTTGAAGACGAATGTGAAGTGATAACGCCGGTAGGTGTCGAAGTTACAACTGCGGTATGATGATTATTTGAAGATGTTGTCGATGGACTATGTGGCTCTTCTATACGCGATCCAGTGCCGTTCCTAGCAGCTGCACGAAATTTCTTATGATGGCGATATGCTTCATCCATCAATTTGTTTGTATTGACTAATGGCGGTGCTTGCAGGGCTCTTTTCAACACAGGCATATCATCAATGGTCTCGTGTTTTTCACTTCCTGTCTCCGAATCAGACGATGTACAATGATGAATATGATCTTTGGTGATTGGATGATTTGTTACTGAATCTTCGATTGCCGATTGTGGACTAGAACAGACACTGGGGGTTGGTGTTGGAGCACTGCCATTGCTGCTTTGTGTTTCTTTTCCTGATTCAATTCCAGAATCAGTTGGCGAATCGGCACGGGCTGTCGATTGATGGATGTGATTATGATTTTGATGACCATAGGTAGCAGCATCTTCGACCACAACCATTGGTGATGGTGATTTTGTTGTATGTGATGAAGGCGTTGCCGGTGATGTACGGATATAGCTGTAATTGGCCAACTTTGGTGCAGATGATGATGAGGAAGAAGATGTGGATGATGAGATCGATCCTTTACGTCCAGTACTTGAGGTTGTATTATCATCGGACGACACACCCGAGGACATCGAACGAGGTGAGCCGAAACATTGCTGTTGTTGACCAGATCCATTAGTGGCGCCAACCGAATCTTTCACTGAATCCATCCAAAGATCATGATGATTGAGGTGATTTGAGTTAATTACATGGTTATGTTCGCCATCGACCGATGCTGGTGAGAAATGTCCCATTATCGTTGATGATGATGAGGTTGATGATGTTGATGACCAACGATCGGGAGATTCATTTGATTGACTATCGGGTTGTACAGTTTGATGATGACCCGTGACCAATGTTGTGGTCGTAGTAATACCCGGATCCATACGAGGACAGGTAGGTGTAGTATTCGATGATTGTTCCAATCCACCAAAACTTTTTCCCAACAATTTGTCTGAATGTAAGGCATTCAATGTTCGAAGATCGGGAATCTTTTTGGTCAATTCCACAAACAATGTATTAGCTGCGGCTGCAGCGGAATCTGAAGAATTATGTGGAAAATTTTGATGATGATTTGTCGCGATCGCTTTCTGTAGAACTTCTTCTAGACGTTTGTTAATTTTTTGTACTAAATCAACGTTTCTTAAACCAGGACGATCTAATTATTTAAAAAGATAAGCAATAAAAAAACACGTGGTTAATAAGGATAAATATTCCATTTGTAGAATAAGCTGTCATGCTATTATCGACAGACAGATACATATATAAACTTCTATACCGAATGGATGAGAAAATGATCACATTGGTAAAAAAAAAGACAAATCAAACAGAAACTAAACCCATTAAAATGGGCGTAAAATAGACACAGTGTTTGGCAAAGTTCTAAAGGGAAATGCTAATAAGATAATTTTTTTCTGTGTCTCAAGAACGGAACTAGCCTACTACAATGCTTACGACACTAGACATAACATATCGTATGTGTATGTGTTTGAATGAAACAGCAATCTGATCTAGGTCAAGGGAATATCTTTACACAAGCACAATGCAAACAACATTGGCTTTTTAAGGGAAACAGACGCTGTCGAATGTACGCTATAGTTGTATGTATGTATCGATGACCTCGTAATATACAATATAGATGCAAATTATTAATCGTGCAGGATGTAGCACAATCAAAAAAATGAATTATCTTGATCAAATTTGAATATAAGGAAAACTTACCAGGTGCAATAACAACGACGGCACAGAATAGGCCTAATTCTTGATCGGTCAGGCGCAATGAATTTAATCGTTCAGCAAATTCAAACATTGAATCGAGAAGGAATCGAGCATTCGATGCTGAATGTAATGAATCGCGTCTCAATGATAAACCATTTAAGCATACCATTGAATTGGTTTGTGAATCAAACATACAAGCTAATCGAACCAATAAAACTTCAAATACACCAGCCTAAATTTACAAAAATAGAAGAAAATCGATAAATTTGATGAATATTATAGAAATTCGAAAAATCTTTCAATACAAACCTTGAGTAATGTGACTTGATCTTCTTGTGCTAGCATACTAAAACCGGGTATACGTTTAGCAAATTCCACAACACCATGTATGGCGGGAGAAAAACGTTCACTAAAATCTTCCATTAGACGATTAGTACCGTTAGCATCGAGTGTGATTGAATTTTGCGGTGGTAATGGATTCAATGGACAAGTCTATTGAAAAAAAATTAAGAAAAATTAAAAAATTAAAAAAAATTATTAATTTGTTAACAATTATAGAGTGTGTCATCTCATATATTCAAAATATTGTCGATCTATCGATCAATCAAATAAAAAAACAACAACAACAACAAAAGACGATAAACAACAAAATCACAAGATGATCGAAGGACAAATTTTTCTTTCGCAAACTATCAATCCAAACTCCATAATCAATCATTTAAGGAAATTTCATATTTTCCATACACCCAACCAAGATAATCATTTCTTATGATCTCAATCGTGACCCTGAAATTATTGTTCCATTTATGTTTTATTCTCTAAGAATATGTCTATTTTTCATCATTTGATAATGGTTGATGCAGAAAAAAAACAAAATTCACCAATCGATAATTGATAAATATCAACAAAGTAAAAAAAAAGAAAGAAAAATTCACTGTAATTCCATGCATATATTATTCTTTTCATTATTTTTCTTTCCTTCAATCGAACATGCCCAATTACCAGATCATTCAATCAAACGTGATGAATATCATGCTTGAAAATTATTAAAAAAAAAAATATTCAGAGAGAGAGAGAGAGAGAGAAACTTCATAACAAATTCATCAATCCAAAATGTGGATAAAATAAAAAAAAAATTTTTTCTACATTGAAAGGAATATTGCAAGCAAAATAGAGAAAAAATCGTTAATTATAAAAATAGCACATTATAAATTTTCACACATACGCAAAAAACACACACACACACGGTGACATTGATTGCATTTGAAGCCATGTGAATCGTGTCCTTGATTATTTTTATTTTCACTTTTCTATCCGATATTTTGATTGCAATTACGTTGCAATGCAATAATATATTAATATATATATAGGAATAGGAATAACTTTTTTGTTTATTATTTGTTGTTCTGTTCAAAGGACAAATTTTACAATAAAATAATGTGGAACACAAAGGGCAAAGATTAGATTATTTTATTTTTTGTCCAATAATAATATACTCAAAATAGTATCAAGGTTATGACACTTGAATGGAAAGAGAATCTGAATTGAATACCTAAAAAAAAATAATGTGATGTTTGATTTTTTTTTATTATTTTCAATGCCATTCTAAAATCTACTACTATTATTATTATTATTCGTTAATAATTCATCAATGGCTTATCATTTATTTTAACATGAAATGTCGCATATATGAATAAAAAAAATGGTTCTTTTTTGGTGTGTTTGCGTGTATCTCACCAAAAAAAAAAGACCAAAAGACTTGATAGAATGTGATTTGATATGATGATGATGATGATGATATACGTGTGTGTTTGTACTTATATACTTATATAAACGTATGCGCACATCGATCTCAATGTCAAATTCATCCAACATCCCAATAATAATGATGATGCTGATGATGATGGATATATAGTTTTTTATTATTATATATATATATGTGTGTGTGCAATAATAATGTTTTGCAAGATTGTTCGGATGTGTGTGTGTGTGTATATATGGTATGTGCGTCAATGTATATCTGTTTTTATATATATTTAGCCAATATAATGGCCTTGACATTGGCATTGATTTTTTTTTCTTGCATATAATATAACGATCTATACATGTGTGTGTACTATGGATGAATGTGTACAATGTACATGGTTTTTTTTTCTGATGATGATGATGATCATCATCATCAATGATTATCATTATAGCCGGCGTCATGCGCAAAAAAAAAATATAGAAATTTTAAGATGCTATATGATGATGAGATTTAATTTGAGACAATCAAGAATCAATCATTTACAATGTATCTTTTTCATTCAATCTATATATCTTATAGAATGATGATGGTGATGGGCAACCAATCAATCAACACCTCTATTTTTTTTGAGTGATAAATATTAATTGATTAAATAACAATAATGATGATGATGATGATGATGATGGTTGGAAAGATTGTTTCTACAATAAATCTCATTTCCGTTTTATTAAAAGAATTTATATTTAATTTTTTTTCACTTTACACAAACTCTCAATTATATTTGGATATGCGAGAAAACAAAAACAATGAATAAATAACACACACACACAAGATAACGTTGAGCAGATAGAAATTGCTTTTAAATATAAACAAACAAATAGATCAAAATATATATGGAAAATAAAGTTTCATCATTTGGAACAATCATTACAGAATAGAATCGAAGACTACTACTATATACCTACTATGTGTCACACGATTCTTCTATGAATTATTCTATATTGCATTATTATATGCTATATATTGATCCATTAATTTTTTTTTTTGGCACTCTACATTCAGTTAAAAGTTCTTTTTTCATGATCAAGGAGACTTGTGACGTCAATATATCTATTGACGGGGGTGTGTATACAATATATTGGTACTACCACCATTTTCAAGGTTATCTTTAAATGTTTTCTTTTCTTCAAGGATTCTTTCTCCCCTCGCTCTTTCATTTCTTTTCCTCATTTCACTTTTCAAAATATATTGGGGTATACTGCCATTTTGTACAAATCAAGTGTATTCGAATCATTATTATTTGATCTAGATAAAAATTTCAGTGAAATGACGTTTGAGTATTTGTTTGAAAAAAACAACTATTACTCAATCACAGGAAAAAAATTCTAAATTATATAACCAGAATCTAGAGGGGTGTCTCCTGAGGAGACTCCTTTGTATATGTTTCTATTTTTTTCTCTTCTCTTTATTTCCAAAAATTGATTTTTTCTTCTTGGTATTTTTGGTTTGTATAGTTCCAATGAAAAAACAACCAAATACTGAATACTGTATACCATTTTGGCATTTTCGTCAAAACAACAACAACCAGAAATTGGTAAAAAAAATCGACTTTAAGGAAGTGAACACACACAAACATGTATATATGAGTAGGAAGATTTAAAAAAAACAAAACAAAAAAGAAAAATCCTTGAAAACAAGAATGAATGAAAAGAATCTTTCTGAATGGTATTTCACTCTCAACAACACACAAACTTGCACTTTTGCACATATTCCCATTCAGGATGTTTCCGGTATATATAATACATGTATGTATGTTTAAATAAAGCTAGATGCGTCGTATATTCTCTCTATTCTTCCTTGTTTCTATCATTTGATGATAATGATGATGTGAACGCATGCCGATTGTATAGTTATTAACAACAAAAAGGTCGAAAATACAGGAAATAAATTTTTTTTTTCGTTCTACTTCTGGTTACTCATTAAAACAAAATAATAATAACGTTGGCGACAAATTTAAAGGAATAAATGAATGAATGAAAAAAAATCGAATCAAAAACTTACCATTTGTGGACATTGGGCATAAATTGGTCTTGATCTGGCTGTTTCCAATAATGGTGCCACTTTTTCTTTTGTATAATCACACGTTTCTTCATGTGCCCGTATTATTGATTGCATCAAATTCTGTTCATCTTCCAATAGTACTGATAATGCTTTTTCCAATGAATGTGCATTGACTTTTTGCATTGCTGCCAATATTTTTGCCTTTTCACGTTTCGGTACACGGCCAAATCGTACAGCTATATAAAAACAATAGTTATTGATTAGTAAAAATAAATAATCATTAATTAATTTAAAAGAAAAATGAAAATAAAGAATGGAATAGGAAAAAGAAATGAACGAATGATAACAACAACAACAACAATGATGCAAACATATTTTTTTTTTAAGAATTTTAGTTAGGTTAAACATTTTTTTCTAGTAATAATAGATAATATATAATGGCTTACTACTATTTGAAGATGAATAATTATTGTTAGAACAAAAATAATCATCGATATTGATTCCGTCGATGTGATATGATTTGGCAGGTATAAAACCGTTTAAATTATCATGATGATTACTATTTTGTTCATTACATTTACTGTAATTGGCCGTATTCATGGCGGTTATCATGACGTTATCAATGACGCATGAATTCTCATTATTCTTACTACTAGTTGTTATTGATGATTGGTGTTGTTGTCTACCATCTGAATTCGAATCGCTACTACTATTAACGATTGTATGGTATTTATTTTTTCCATTATTTTCACCATTAGAAAATGGTGGTTTTATAGTTCCTTTAGATCGTAGATAAGAACTTAATAATGGCATTGAAGCAGCCAATGAATCATGTGTATCATTTTGATGTGCCTGTAAAAGAATCGATGATGGTGATTCAAATTGTGATTGATATAATGATGATGTAAATGGATATGCAATCGATGTTGAATGTGATTGTTTATTATGAGATCGATGATTACGTTGATGATGATATGGATTATTGGCACCGGAACAATTAATTGTACGTCCACCTGATGATGATGATAATGATGTACGACTACCGGATATATATTGTTTACTATTATTACTATTTGTGGTTATAATTTGTCCACTAGTTGATACGGTTTGATCATCACTAGTTGAAACCTGTGATGATGATGATGATGATGAAGGGATCGTGATCTTGATCTTGATGATGATAATGATTGTTGTTGATGTTTACGATTTGTTTGTGAACGAGATTTAATCATTTTATTATTATTATTTGAATATTTAGATGATGATGTAAGATGATTGGTCAATAATGGTGATTGTAATAATGTATGATAATCGAATATACCACCACCAATAGGCTGTTGTAATAATGTGGAAAGAAAAGCCGGTACAGAAATTGAAGATGTTGATGATGGTTGTGTTTGTGATTGATGTGGTGATGGTGGTGGTGGTGGAATAAAAGAAAATTTATCCACATCAATACCATCATCAGAATGGCTTTATATTATTATTATTATTTGTATTATGATTTAAAACCGTATTCGAACCGGTCAATAATATTCGTTGTAATGTGGATGTTGTTGGCATTATTGTATGATGATTTTTGGAACAACCATTAACATCATTCGATGATGATGACATACAATATGATGATGATGATGATGAGGATAACATTTTGTTTTTTTTTTTAAAAAATATTCATTTGTCATATGATGTGATGATAAAATTTAAATTGCACACAATAACAATAACAACAACAACAAAAAAAATTGCACATTGAATTAAATTATCATAACAAATTAATCTGATCAAAAATCAACAACCAATTATCACTCAAAGAAAAAAAAAAAAATAATTTATTCATTTCAAACAAATAAACAACCGAAAATAACAAAAACAAAAACAAAACGATAACAACAACAGGAACAGGAACGATTTTTTAAAACATTCAAATTATTTAAGATGATGATAATATAATGGATTCAACAACGATGAATAGTAATAACAAAAAAAAATTGCTGATAAATATAACAACGAAAACAAACGACAACAACAAAGCAAGGAAAAAAGAATCTAATTTCCAATGTCTATGGCGCCATTGTTAATGGTTTGCGGTATGACGCCGTGTAGAACAGTAGGTAAATGGATGTGTGAATCCTATGCTAACTAATGACTGAATGAGCAAGAGGCTTTTTCTCAATTGGGCAACAGCTTGAAACAACAACAACAACAACAACAACAAATGACTGAAATACAGAATTTACAGAAGGAAAAGACACACATACACACAACACAACACATGTACACATACAAAAAAAAAACCACACAGTGAAAATATAGACAAGACACACACACACACGTACAATGACGACGACGATTAGGGAGATCCAAGTTCAAGTGCAAGGCTAAATCGCGCACGTCGTTCAATATCGGGATTCAATATAGCAATAATATTATATTATATACACATACATATTTTATTAAGGGAAAAATGAAAAAGGAATGATGCAAAAAAAAAGTAAGCAAGCAAGCAAACAAACAAACGAGCAAGCCTCGTTTTTCTCGCTTCTACTGGTTAATGTGTTTTTGTGGGTCTATATCATGAATCAAAGCGTCATGTGTCGTATATATGTGTTGATTTTATTTTTATTATTATTATTATTATGGAAAACATCATAGAGTCGGCGTATTTTTCGATCCAATGTCGCCGTCGTTTCCGTCCCCTCGACGTTCATCATCAAAGTTATATGATGGCAAAAAATAGGGGGAAGAAACAACAAAATATCATCAAAAACCGTATTGTCTAGAATATAATAACATATATATGACATTTCATTTTCTTTGTTTTGATTCAATTATTGAAAAGAAATCTAAATCTAAACGGAATATATCATTTTTTACCTAATGAATCAATCAAATATTTGATGACAAAAAATGATGAAAAGCCTATAATTTAAATTTACAAACGTGTTTGCGTGTCTTTTATGTTTGGAAGCGTGTTCACAGCAACAAAATTTCAGCAAACGCTGCAAAAATTGCAATATCTCTCTCTCTTTGTTTCATAGTTAGCTAATTCCAATTCTAATCAATACAATACACATATATAAATAAAACGAAGATTTTACAGATTATTAATGAGAAAAATATTATTGCCGATTCAGATGCAAACCAAACAAAACAAAACAAAAACAAAAACATAAAAATAACAAGACATTTTGAAATTATGCGTTTGCGTTTTTTTTCTGGTGACCAGAATGATTCCTTTTTGGTGGTGGTGGTGGCGGTGGTTGGCAATAGTAATCAAAAAGATATAGCGGCAACAAAAAAAAACATACAGACATGTATCACATGCCCCTTAACAATTTCAAGGTTTTTTCTTTTCCATGACGCCCGGTAAGCTTAATGATCTCATCATTTGTTTGCCACAGCCATCATCATCATCATCATCAACAACAACAACAACAACAACGACGGCGATAATATTTAGCTAGTTACTTTTTCTCTGGCCACAATATAATGATGCAATTCTTAATGACCAAAAACTAACCTTTATAACTAAACCAAGGGAACAAAAATTTCATATATAATTCATAATAGAATCTCAGTTATATATAGAGAAAATTCTATTATCATTGGAATAACGAATATATAGTAGAATAATAATATTGACAACGAAAAAGAAAACAAAGAATGCAAGGGGAACAAAAAATTCTAGCATATTGAATTTTGAGAAAGGGAAAAAAAAATTCATGAATAAATTAAAAAAAAATGCGTGTAGGATGATGAATATGGAACATCATAATAATGATCATATATGTATAAAGAAACAAAAAGCCTGTTGGGAAATTTTGTCATCATCATCATCATCATCATCATTATATATCAAAGATATGGATAAACATACAAGAAATTGAAATTGTTTGCTTTGTAATTTATCAAAGACGGAACTTATTTGAATCATCAAATATATACCTGTTTAATCTGATATTGTTAGGAAATATACGTGTGTTTGTCTATGTATGTGGCTAGTAGTTTTTCAAGTGTAGTTATTATCATCTAATTTTTTTTTGTATATTCATTTCATTGTATTTGATTTTCATTCAAAATAATAGAATAATAAGCTACTGTTGGTTGATTTTTTTTTTTCTCTCTCTCTCTCTCTCTCTATCTCTATGATGTTTTTATCTGATGTATATATATAAAAATTGATAAAATTTGATAAAAACGGATATAATCATGACATATTGCTATTTTGCTATTTAAAATATGAAATTGGAAAAAAAACCTAAAACACAGACATACACACGACAATTCAAGGTTAAAATCAACATTTACATTCTATATACATGAAAAAAAAGAGAGAGATTTATCTATCTTTGTTTATTAATTAATTGTGTTTAATGCAATATATGCCAAATATGTGTGTTTGTATTTGAGCAGAGAGAGAAAGAGAGAAATTGTCGTTTTTTTTGACAAAATCAATTCTTGCATATTAGCAGTGATTCTAATATGAATTCAAATGAATGAATCAAACAACGGAAGTACAATTCAACATGATGATGATGATATATCCATTTATAAACTACTAACTAAAAATAGCCATAGTACAGCATCAAAAAAAAAAAAAATCATATCATGAATGAATTGAAACGATAAAGTTGTACCATATAATTTTTTTTTTGTTTGACGTCCAAGGTCATCATCATCTATTCAGATTCGATCGATATCAATCTCTCTCTCTCCCTCTTTCCATAACATTCTCATATTCACTTTTGGGTTCTATATATGATCCGAAAATTTATTTATTTTTTTTGTTGTTAAAGCAAAAAAAAAAAAAAAATAGTAAATCAATGATATTAATAATTTTATGCTTTAATTTGCGTATTTTGAAAAAAAAATTATCATAATCATCATATTTTTTTTCTTTCTTTGAACAAAATTTCTACACGAATATTTTGGTGGTGTACACCATCATGATTATGATGATTTTTATATAAAAATAATAATAATAATAAGCAAGCGCCTAGAAATTCTTGAGTTTCCAATATTTTTTTTTTTTTTTTTACTTTCACCCCCTCTTACCATCACAAAATTGTATTGTATGGTACAGTATGGTATAAACAATATATATATACACAACAATCCATGGTCATATAAAATTTACAGACACACACACCGTTATATTATATAGCAAATATATACAGTGTGCAATAAACAGTAAATAGCAAGCCGGGCTTAGCATAGGATACCGTTTTTTTTCCTCTTTCACATATATATGTATGTATTGTATATATATAAGTTTAGTTTTTTCCATTAGGTGTGCGTAACACATGCACACAATTTTGTACATACATATTTTCAATGTCGGCGTCATGGCCTTGACATTCATTTCGCATCAACACATCATCATCATCATCATCATCATGTATGAGAATAACAGCAACAGTATTTCTCTATCCAAAAAATCGCATATACCCATGATTGCACATTGCGGTATTTCAATATTATGGACACAACACAATATAATATTTTATATTATATATGGTGTTTAGCATAAAAAAAAAAAAAAAAAAAATGGCGCCCAGATATCGTTACTGTTGTATTGTATTTGTTGAACAATTTGTAATATATCAATCATGGCGCCATATAATATAAATGTGATGATAATAATTTTTTTTTTCATTTTTATTTCGATAAAAGCCACATCATCATCATCATCATCATCATCATCATCAGGATTCGACAACAAAAATGACATTGAAAACCATACTGATTTTCCATGTGAACAATCCCGGGTGGTGGTAGTAGATGGTAGGGCAGGGCAATATTTTTTTTTTGGATAGATAATAAAATAAAAAAAATGATACAAAAGTGCAAAAGATTAATGCAATTTGAGAGCCATGTTGACAACAACAACAATGACAACAACAACAACATTTGCAACTACAGCTTCTTTTATATAAGATTTAAGAATTTTGAAATAATTTTTTTTTGTTAACAAGAATTCTGGCATGTGTAGGCGCTATACATAAATTTTGTTTATTTTGTTTCTCATTTCAAAGGAATTAAATTTTTTTGATTATATTACCAAAATGTTTGGCAATACTATTGCGGTTTTTCTTTTTTATTTTTATTTTGGTCTGGATGACTAACAAATCATTCCATTTCAGAAATAAATTCTGTGTTTGAATAATAAGAAAATTAAAACAAACAAAAAAAATAAAAATAAAAATCATGGGGAATATAATTGAATTTTAAGATAAAAACTCATCAGGTTATTATCAATTACAATTTTTTTCTTGCTATTCTGAATGTTTGGCAATACAAAATTTAAAAAAAGAAAAAGAAAATACAACAAACCACTACTACCAACTCTAACCACGATTAATATCATCATCATCATTGAGTTCATGTAAACAATCTACTAGTCAACATTAATATATAAAAAAACACACGATGATGATTATATCAAGTCAGTCAAGTCAAGATCAAGGTTGAAAATATTTTTTTCTTGAATAACATTTTAAAGGAATGTGTTAAATATATGAAAAAAAATCAAAAACCCATATAATATAAAGTACAACGATCATAAAAATAATAATAATAAATATATACGCACAAATATTACCGATACATACAAGATACCGTTAATGATAATATATGAAACTGTTGCAATTTTCATTGTCAATGTCATCGTGTTGTGTATAAAATGGGTACATCATCATCATCATCATCATCATATATATTCATCATATTGATTGAATAAATGATGAATGTGAAAAAAAAACTTGTGATTTTCAAGGATTTCCTACAAAAAAATGTGTGTGTGTATTTTCAAATGTAAATTGAATGATGATTTGAGAATATAAAAATGAATTCACGAATGAGGGGAATTTTTTTTTCTTTTTCTTCAATTTCGGTATATACTTGTAACCTATGTATAGAATTTAACAACTGAGACCTTGACTACTACCATTTAATGGGAAAAATGGGCAACAAAAAAAATGAAAAAGAAAAAATGATTGCTCAATGTACAATGAGTAAAAGTAATCGCCATACAGTTAGCCAATCATCATCAACATCAACAAACAAACAATAATTTTGCAATCACACAATTTTTTTTTAATGAAAAAAAAATATTTAGCATCATTGATGTCACTATCGCCATCTATCGAAGCGTCAGTGAAAAAAGTTGAAATAAAATTTTTGTTTTGTTTTTTACAACACATACCATCACGAGACATTCCAACGGCTATACATTTCTTCAAACGACAATACTGGCAACGATTACGATTGATACGTAATATGGAACATTGTTGATTTTTTGTACATGGTCGATATTGGATTTTTTGCTGAATGGAACGACGAAAGAATCCCTGTGAATTGGAAAAGAAAAAAAAAAGATAAAAATCATTTATTGAAATCAACCTGTAAAATAAAATTTTTTAGAAAATGAAATTTTTTTTTTTTTTGGTTTGCTTTGCTTTACTACCACCCATTCATTTAAAATGAAACAAGGTCAAACTATACTACAACAGTAAAGACATTGAGGCCTCACCTTTTCATTCATGTCACATATATGGGGTCATAAAAAAACAAATATTCGGTGAATGATAACAACAACAACAACAAAAAACAATTTCTTCTCCATAAAAATTGGAACCATCGATTATTATGATAATAATAATAATATAATCTCATGCTGATTTGACAGATAAGTAAAGAAAAGTGACAGAATCAGAAAAAAAATCGTCAAATTTGAAATACTTCCAATTTTTCAATTCAAGGTTATGAGGTCATAGTACTTTTTTTTTCTTCTTAAAAACATTCATAAGAAAAACCATAACCAAACCAACAATAACCTTTTACATTCAATTGAAATAAATTCAAATTCAATACTGTCTTGACCTTGAAATTGTTTTTTTTCTTTTTAATACCTATATATATACACACACACAAGTGAGAGGACAAAGGGCCCCGCATCTGAGTGAATTTAGAGCAAAAACTTTCTTCATACTCCAATGTTGAACTTATATTTTGTTCGACCTTTGAGATTTACCTTGAAATCGCTTCCCCACTACACCTTGGGGATTGGTATTTTCTCTTCTACTTGCTTTACTTTTTCCCCTTTTGTGGATTTGTTACCTTTGACCGAGTATAAGCTTTAGTTTGTGTTTATTTAAATAAAATTCACGAGAACGAGTTCGAAGCTCATATGTATTATATATAGGCTTGTATGGTGTGTATGAGTGTATAAGTGCATATTCAATTTGTGACCAAATATCAGTTCAGTGACCTAGTGATGATGATTAGTTTGTTTCGGGTCGATCAGGCACCATTTATTTTTCATTCAGTTAATTGCAAGAGAATGAAACGAATTCACCATAACCAAACCAACAATAACCTTTTACATTCAATTGAAATAAATTCAAATTCAATACTGTCTTGACCTTGAAATTGTTTTTTTTCTTTTTAATACCCATATATATACACGCACACACAAGTGAGAGGACAAAGGGCCCCGCATCTGAGTGAATTTAGAGCAAAAACTTTCTTCATACTCCAATGTTGAACTTATATTTTGTTCGACCTTTGTAGAGATTTACCTTGAAATCGCTTCCCCCACTACACCTTGGGGATTGGTATTTTCTCTTCTACTTGCTTTACTTTTTCCCCCTTTTGTGGATTTGTTACCTTTGACCGAGTATAAGCTTTAGTTTGTGTTTATTTAAATAAAATTCACGAGAACGAGTTCGAAGCTCATATGTATTATATATAGGCTTGTATGGTGTGTATGAGTGTATAAGTGCATATTCAATTTGTGACCAAATATCAGTTCAGTGACCTAGTGATGATGATTAGTTTGTTTCGGGTCGATCGGTGGTATTCGTGTGTTTTCACATATATATTGGCATGTGTGTATGTGTTGTATATATTCTCAACACAAACACAAACAACCTTCATCAAAACCATCATCTATCGACCATGGCGGTATCAAATTTGGCCATGAACTTTATATGTATATCTGGTATGATATGGTCTGGTATGTATGTATATATATGAAAGGAACAGAAGGGTATGTTCTTTATCGTGGTTGAAGGACATTCTCATCTTTTTGAATTTTTGTATATATTGCATGCACTTCTGGACCACCGCCACCATCATCATCGTCATCATCAGCCACTACAACTTGTCTTGTGAATATAAATTAGCAGAAGAGAATACACATCGAATTTATTGAAACAATATACATCATCCGACTATACCATCATCATCGTATTCGTAAACGATTATATTACCCACAATGGTAGAGCATTTGTAAGGCAGCAGGTCATTGACTGAATTGTAAGCACAAGCAATGCCTATGATGATGATGGTTTGTCTGGTCTGGTCGCTTAGAAATTCATTAAATGAATGGACACACAAGATTGCAACGAGATGCACGTATGTTTCTTTTCGGCAGAAAAAAATTCTGTGTTCTGTTCTCGCTTTTTTTGCATGCTGTTGGTTATGTGTGTCCTTCCCATTGTTTCAAGGTCTATATATATTCAATTCTATACATCACTCGAATTCATCCTGTCTGTATGTCTGAACCAAATGTGTCTCGATAACAAATCATTCTGATAGAATAGATATTACAAGGTCAAAATAACGTAACTCAAAATAGCAATAGATAAGAAATCAAAAAAAGTTGTCAAAAAAAATATTCAGTTCTTAATGAATAGTACGTGTTTTAAACACACACGTGCAATACCACACACACACACACACAGAGTAGTGGTGGAAGAAATTCTTAAACATCTGAATGAAAAATATATACCGCAGTACATTGACATTAATTTTGTCAATAAATTTGACAATGATGACGATGATGCTCGTATCGTTGTCTGGGTTGGATCATTTTAATGATGATCACATAAAGAAGACAATGACAATGACAATCATCAACAACTAAATATAATCATTTATGAAAATTATAAACAAGCACCAAAAGACATACATACAGAGGGATAACAATTATCCCCGACGCTATCTGTGTGGTTGGCCTTGAAGCCCACCAGAAAAAATAATGTCATTGTACGTACTATACTAATCATTGCATCACACATATACGCAAATCATCATAATCATCATGTAATGATTTAATTTTCATTATAATAACATATTAACACTTGAAATCAATAATTGGTCATCAATAAACATTATATCCGTTTGATCAAAAAATTTAGAATTAAAATTTTGTCAACAAAAAAAAAAAAATGGAAATTTTCCCTGCATTTTAGAATCATTAGATTTTGTTGTGATTTTTTTTTTTGTTTAGAAAAAAATCGAGGTCACTATCACTTGTCATAATCGAAAATTGCAGCATTCTTTGAAATTGGTTGGCTATTCTATTTTTTACCGATTTTTGTCAATGATAAAACCCGATAACAGATTCAAGGTTATTATATTAACAACACAATAAAGTTGTTGTTTTTTGATTGGTCGAAATATTGCCAAAATGAAAAAGTACGACCAATGACCTTTCCATTTTCAGAGTGTTATCAGAGTAAATTTTTCCATCTTAAATATAGAAATTATTATCATCAAAATAATATTGTTTAGCGCTAATGATCTGATGATTTTTTACCCACTTTTTACACACACACACACACACACACACTATCTAAGTGTAACAGTTATAGAAAAACAAACTACCATACTATTAAACAGACATAGCAACAACAACAACAAAAACAACAACATAAATGAAAACAAAAACAAAAACAAAGCAAAACAAAAATGAAAATTTCAGATTCAAAAAAAAAACTTACCTTGCATCCTTCACATGAATGTACACCATAATGAAATCCACTGGCTTTATCACCACAAACACGACACAATACAGTTGTTCCATCAAATTCTACAGAATTCATAATGAATAGAAAAACAAAATAATAATAATTTTATAAAATGTGACTGGAATTATTATAATAATCCATAATAATATTTTTGTAGAGGGGAAAAATTTTGAACATTCTATATGCGTGTGTGTATGTGAGTGTGCATCGTTATTTCGTTTCATACCGATTTTAAGATCAATATCTTTACATCTATCACTACTACCACTACTACTATTATTTGTATTATTCGAATTATTGTGATGGTGGTGATTTTGCTGTGCATTGTTATTTGTTGTTGTTGTTGTTGTTGTTGATGACGATGATGATGTTGTTGTTATTGTTGTCAATGATGATGATGATAATGTGCTAATATTTGATATAGATGTCATTGTTGTGATAATTGGTGATGAAGACCTCATCATCAATGATGAGGATTGTTGTTGTGTTGAATCAATCTTTTGTTGTTGTTGTTGATTATATAAATGAATTTCTTTATCATTGAGAATCATTTTTTTTTTTTTTTTTTTTTTTTTTGAAAGGTTTTGAAGAATCGATGAAAAAAAATTCTTTAGCGTGAATTAGGATCAAAGTGGAGACTTTTTTTCATAAAAAGAAAAGATATGAATGTTTTCAAATAATTGAAAATTGATCAAGAATTTATCATTGTCACTATAGTGGGTGTGTGTTGATCAAACAAACAGAATATGACGAAATGAATCATATATAAAGTTGTCAATTTATTCAATTATCACAAGTTATCATAATTATATAAAACAAAATAATAAAGAATTATCGAATTTAGTTCAAATGAGAATTTCATTCGTATTTTAAACACCTACATAGACGAAAATAGAATGAAAATTTTTTTCGAATCAATTTATATTTATTTTTTTTCGCTTGTTAATTCGGCGGCAAGCAAATAGCATGTGTTGAATTCAAACAGACGAACATCGGTTCTTATATTAACTACGGATTTTTTTGGACCTTGTTTCTGCATGTGTATCTGTGTATGGTGTGTATTTTTGTGTGTGTGTGTATGTAATATTTGTCATACCTCTCTAAAAACGAAACCCAAAAAGCATATCCATGTACCGTAGACATTTTAGTTGTAGTAGCATATAGAATAAAAGGCATCATATTTTTATCGAATTGGGATACCCTCCTTTTCTCTTTTACTCTTTAGCAGATTTTTTTTCCCAAAAATTGTATTGTACACAGTACACAATCATTGTATCGTTGGTCATTACCCCTCACCCTCCGCCCTTCTAGTTTGTTTGGTTGTAAATTCTGTGTTTTTATATTTTCAAGGTTAACCTTGTTGTTGTTGTTGTGTGTGTGCTTTTGTGTATTCATACATGCCATTGCCGGCCCAATGCAATCAATTGATTTTATTTTTTATTTCTTAAATTATTTATTAGGTTCGATTTTTTTCAATCATACAGTCATTGCTCTTATTATTATTTATCATTCAAAATATCATTATATCCATTATAAATTGAGTGTTTGTAGGTGTGTTGTACGCATACAAACTTTCTCTCTCTCACTCCCTCTTTGAGGAAATTTAGACCTGGAAAATTCGATTCTATCGGAATGTAGTTTTTTTCTAATGATTAAAAAAAAAAAAAAAAAAAAAAAAAAAAAAAATCATCTTGTGACCTCAACATCATCATCAACAACAACAACCCTATCAACACATTGAACTTTGCTGATGAAAAAAAAAATTTTATCGTTAGATTTCAATTCTACTTTCTCTTTGGCCAAATATAACAAATCGTTCGGTCGATTGCCTAATTGCGTGGCATTGTTGTTTGGCAGCCATCCATCCATCCATCCAAACAGCCAACCAAACAATCATACAGAATCCAAACATATACACATCAAGTTAGCAAAACCAAAACCAAAGCTGAGGTCATTGAGCTTGGGGGTTGTCGGTTTTTGCTTGCTATATTTACAATGTGCGCCTGAGCTATGGCTCCCATGAAATTTTTTTCTCCTATTCATCATCGGTGTCGTTGATTGTAGTGTTGTATTTTCATTTTATCATTGAATCTAGCTCAATCTGAATTTAGGCAAACAAAGTCAAATAAAATATATCAAGAAAGGATATATTTTCAATTTCGGAAAAATTTGTTGACAAAAATTTATCGCCAAAGATAACCTAAATATTAAAGAAAAATCCAAATGGACCAGATATTTTTTTTTCGAGAATTTTTGCCATCATCATGAATATGACACATGACTCTTCATTTGAAAGTGATGCCATTATGATGATTAGCCGGGCAAAGTATAATCGACCAACCAACCAATCCAGGCAAATAACTCCAAGTCTGACAATTGACCAACCAACCAACCAAGCAGCCATTATTACAAATCTTTGAAAAAAGTCAAAGTCATTGACATTTCGAACCAAGTGTATGGTGGGGGAGTATAAGAATATTTGGCTACAGCCAATGCATTCTAACAACAGTCATCCTACACATTCACATGATTAGAATCGTCATTTTTTTTTTTTTTCAAGAATTCAAACAAAAATGACAACCAGAATTTTTTGTTGTTGTTGTTGTTGCACCACAATCATTTATCAGGTGAATATAATATGTTTGTGTATATGAAATTCTAGTTTCGTTTATATATTAATTGAAACAAACGAACAGACAAAAACAATTCAAAAACCAAACTTTTAGCTTCATCAGCGGGCGCCAAGTTCGTCAAACTTTTCTGATCGAGATTTTACACTCGAATATTTATCACAATTGATCAACAAATTTTTTTTTGTTTCTGTACTCGTCGTCTTCGTTGTCGATTTCGGTTTCGATTTAATAATTTTTTTTTCTTCTAGTGTTTCGAATGTTAAGCAACCAGCTATAATGTGGCTTCTCCATTTTTCGAACTCAAAACTCTCGTCAAGCTTTCACATGCGCAAAAATATAAAGAACAAAGAATGAATTGAATGAATGAGTGAAAGAAAAAACGAATCCAAACCAGATCCGGACATACAACCCGACAACAACACAATACACATTAAATAGGCGCCACTATCATCAGTACCAGGTCAATGTCACCGTGTTGGTGAGTATTCGTTATCGTGATCATTTACCATCTAAATAAAATAAGAACAACGAAATATTTGCTATATAGAATTCCTCAACAACAACAAGATACATTGTAGCTGACGTGTATGTGTTTTTATGTAAAAGAATATCAAAAAAAAAATCCATTCAAATATTCTGGGCGTTCCAATGATCTATCCAAATGGATGAATCGTCGTCGTCAATCAATCATTGAAATTATTTGGTTCAACGTCTTTTTTTCGTATGTTGGTTGCACCATCTCAATAATATAATGTGCATCTACGAAATAAGAGAAAAAAAATGAACCATATACTACCTCCCCCTATAAAAATTTTTTGATAAGATTAGATTGGATTCGTTCATCGCCAGGCTCACCAGAAAAAAAAATATTTGGCACAACTTGGATGCAATATATATCGATGGTAGCAAGAAGAAGAAAAAGAAAAGGTCATTGAATCGAACGCGTAAACTGTTTTCAGCTGAATAACAAAATCGTGTGTCCTGTTCATACCATAGTATTTGTGTGTGTGTGTGTGCTATGGCTTCGGTTTCACTTTTTTCCCTATTGAATACATTGATCATTACATAACATATTGCCACGAAGAATATAGCAACGATGCCGAAAAACCAAAAAGGTTTTTTCAACTTTGACCTCGCTCTCTCTCTCTCTCTCTCGGTCTTTAGGTTGTTCGCCATCATCATATGTGTAACCATCCCAAGAAATTATACCAATTCATGCCATCAAATGAATAAAGAAAGAAAGAGATGCTTACAAACAACAACAACAACAACTTAACCTGATAAACCTGACGATTTTGTTTCGAAGTAAAAAAAAAAATTTTAAGTTCATTCAACAAGGTCAATAACAAGTTAGAAAAAAAATAATGATGATGATGTTTAAAAATTTAAAAGTTAAAGTTGAAAAAAATTGTGGACAAACAAATAAAAAAAAATGTACAAGAACACAAACACACATAGACATTGAAATACCATAGAGATACAATAGATGAATGAACCTCGCTTCTCAGCAACGACAATGAAAATCAACCAAGCCAATCCTTGGAAATTCTATAAAAAAAAAACAATATCCTCATGTTGTTGATGGCAATGAACGAGTTCAATATAACGTAATATATGGATTTTACGATTTTGATGACAATCGTATAAACAAATCCGATCATCATCATCATCATCATCATGCTCCAATTATAGAAACTAGAAACAAGGTTTTTTCACACTGATCAATTCAAACTATTAATTGTGAATTAATCTTCCTCATATGCATATGATTTTAAACGATTTTAAGATATATGAAAAATATTATCTAATGAAACGTGTTGTTGATGAATGATGAATCAATTTTTTTTTTGTTTTCATATATATATATATTGTGATCAATTCAATCAGTCAAAAATCAAATCGATCGATGAACTTGTTACACAAACAAATCCTATACACACACACACACACACGAAATGTATTTACATGAGGCTATTTATTCTTTGAATAGAATGATTGCACACGCACACACATTCTTATTTTATTCATTCATAGAAATATCATTAATAAATGAATGGATTTGATCGAAAAATGAATGTCATTCAACTTGTATTTTACAACACAAAATGGCCTTGTAAAATGGAATGATTGTTCATACCGGGATCCGGTGCAAAATTTAGTAAAATTTCTGTTTTAAAGCAACAACAACAACAAAAAAAACCCAACTTAAAGAATGTCAGTTTCCCATCATCATTAAAACCATCATTTCATGGGTTTTAAATTACTTTAAAATTTACAATGATATCAATACAGTTTTCAGTTTGATTCATTTCTCAATTCAATTCAATTCAATTCTTATTGACAAATGTCACAGATCAAAACAATAATCGTTGTAGAAAAAAAACCATTTTTGTATTGACCAACCAACACATTGACCACATTCAGTGTGTGTGTGTGTGTGTGTGACACATTACATCACAATTGTGGTCAAAAATTGTCGTCGTCGTCGTCGTCGTTATTGTCCCATTAAATGTAGATCCCAAATGGAACATAGCACAAAAAAAACAACAAAACCAAAAAAAGAAAAAGATAAATGACATCTAATTAATCTTGTATCTTAAGTCTCAATGTTTGACTTGACAGAAAATAAAAAAAAACACGTTACACAAGTCCACTGAACTTATTATTATTTTTTATAACTGTATGATTGTAACTATACTGTTTTTTGGGCCCAAACTGACCATTATGGTTTGGTGTGTGTGTGTGAATTGTTTTTCACTCTAATAACAACAACAAAATCTGGGAACGGATTTTCTTTCTAGAGAGCCCATTTCCTTCTAGAGAGTTTTATTGTGTGTGTGTGTGTGTGTCATATAAACGTACTTGCGTGCGAACAGTCATCGTTGTTGGTTTGTTGATTAACACTTTCACCTTATATG